TGCTGTCGCCTGAGTTGTTCAGCAGTTATCTTGCAGGCAGCATGAATCTCACAAGATTACAATAAGCCTGTCAGCTCCCGAATCCTCACAGTTTCATCATGTTAAACACCTCCTGTGCGCTACAGTTTAACAGTCCAGTATCATGGGTCACTGATGCGTGCACACTGACTCTGATGTCAAGTCTCCACAGTTAAACCACCAACCGCGGCTCAAGGGGCTGTTGTCGGATCAGCCCCTGAGCCAAGTGTCACTGCCTAACTATGTGAAATGCAGCCATACTGTAATGACACAATGGGGAATTGACTTTGCATGACACGAGTTTGCGTTCGTTCCATTGGGTTGTGAGACAGGGGGCAAGAAAGGAGCTGTGACACACTACTGATCTTCAGACTGTCTGTTTCACACATCCGTGACACTCCAGATATGATTCTTGTTTTTTTGTTTTCTTTTCTTTCTGAAAAAAAAAGGACAGCAGAGGTGCTTTCAGAACAGGATGATTCCTTTGTGCTTGTTGGAGCTGCTCTCACTTTTCTACCGATTGAAAGGCGAATTGTAGTGAAGTTGATGCTTGCTCGTACACAAAATAAAGGATGATGAGACGGATGTAAGCTGTGTCCCACCCTGTTTTTCTTCGCTCACGGCTGGTGCGAGTATATGTGAACACCGCTGTGTGAACAGCAGAACACACCCTGGAGTCCTCTGCAGGGCTCCCCCTCGTGGTAAAAACCAATGTCCTGAAAATCTCACCTGCAAAAGGACAATTCTGTAACATCTGTACTCTGAAAACACTGGAGCCATTTACCAGATTTTAACATTAGGCTGCACACTGACAGTTAAATGTTAATCAATCCTGAAAACATTTGAAGTGCCTGATTTTAATAGTATTGATGAACACAAACTTTAGCAACCACACGACTTTCTTAATAGAGATAAGGAAACCAAATAGTAACCAAACAAAGGACTCTTACACAGTTTTGTGTAAATAAATGATACTGCCAACACAGGAATTTTAGTCAAATGAAGACTTTTAGAAATGTCTAAATAGGTTAATTGTGGATATTGGGAGTAGTGCTTAATGCTTTCCTCTCATTTAATAAAAGGAAGTGAAAGCAGAGGGTGGCTGCTGTCGGCCATGATGTCCATCAGTTTGTTCAGTGTCCTGGCCTCTGCCACCGTCACCAGAGAGTCCAGCTTCATGCCGACCACGGAGCCGGCCCGCCTGATCAGTTTGTCCAGTCTGGACGTGTCCTTCTTGGATGTGCTACCTCCCCAGCACACCACGGTGTAGAAGAGGACACTGGCTATCACAGACTGGTAAAACATACACAGTAGTTTGTTGCAGATGTTAAAAGACCGCAGTCTCCTGAGGAAGTACATCCTGCTCTCTACCTTCCCGTAGAGGTTGCTGGTGTGTTTTGACCAGTCCAGTTTGCTGTCCAACCACACCCCATTTAAAATATATATATATTGCTTTGATTAGATCAGTGTTGGATTATGGATGTGTAGTCTACAGGCAGGCTGCAAAATCAGTTAGAAGTAATTCAAAATCAAGCATTGAGATTATGCTGTGGAGCTTTGAAGACATCTCCATCTTTGGCAGTGCAGGTTGAAATGGGAGAGATTCCTTTATATTTAAGACATAAGCAAATTATGCTGAATTATTGGGTGAGTTTGCAGGGACATAAGGAGGAGAATAATCCAGCAGTAAGAATCTTGAGACCTTGCTGGGAGAGTGGAAAAGCTAAAACAGATTGTTTTGCATGGGCAGCAGATAAATCCGCTAGAGAAATGGGGATGCAGGGAAAGAGATATTGTGCTGCGGTGCCTTATCCAACTACTCCTTTTTGGCTGTTTCCATATGTGAATGTTGATTTAGAAGTTTATAACAAAATGCAGGTTAATAAAGATAACTGGGTAAGTTTAGTAAATGACAGAATTAAGAATATGTATAAATCCTTCATAATCATATATACAGATGGTTCAAAAGATTTAGTTTCAAATAAAACAGGATTTGCTTATGCTATTCCTGAACTAGATATATTTATGAATCAAAGAACATCTGACCATTTAGCTGTTTATACAGTGGAAATGTTAGCGATACTGATGGCCTTACAGTGGGTAGAGCAAAATAAAATAAGAAAAGTTCTTATATGTTCAGATTCATTATCAGCACTAATGTCTATTTTGAATATTTCCTCTGAAAGTCGTATGGAGTTAATATACGAAATTTATGAAGTTATATTTAGAATGACACAAACTCAAGTAGAGGTTAGGTTTATGTGGATTCCAGCCCATAAAAATATAGAAGGGAATGAAATGGCAGATCAATTAGCTAAGGTGTCTTTGAAACAAAGTAGAATTATGGAAATAACGTATTGTAAATCTGAAATAAAATCAATTAAGACCAAAATTAAATCTGAATGGCAACAATTGTGGGAAGAAGGTACTAAAGGTCGTCATTTATTTCATATACAAAAGAAAGTAGGAAATATGGAAATAATAGGAGAAAATCGAAGAGAGCAAGTAGTAATGACAAGATTGCGCCTTGGACATACTGGATTAAATAAAACTCTACATTTGATAGGTAAACATCCAACAGGTAGTTGTGAGTGTGGTATGGATATGGAAACAGTAGAACATGTAATTATTCATTGTGAAAAATATACAGTAAGTAGAGAGAAGTTAAAACAAGAAATTAGGAAATATGTTATAGAAACATTAAAGCTTAATAATATTTTAATTAAACATGGAATAAATAAAGCAGTTATTGCATTTTTGAAGGTAACAGGATTATATGAAAGAATTTAGATTGGGGCGAGATGCTCTGGTCCACACTCCAGCACAGTAAATGGCGATAATACATCTTAACGTTAGCTGTCACCCGCCAATAAAAAATCACAAAGAAGAAGAAGCTGGTATAAATGTGTTTGATGGCTTTATTTGGCTGGTGAGGGATTTTTCCATCAAGATAAATGTTTCAAGTTTAGTTGTTAGGCTTTCTGTGCAGTAAGTAGTTTTAGTGACACAGTTTACTGTGTAACAGCAATGTTTAGAAGGTAGTGAAACCTTTTATCACGTAGTGGAGGGGAACCTTTCCTCCACTGAGTAAACCGGTAGCAGAAATCGTCTGATGCTGTTACGGGAAATCAAACATTAGCACAATCCCAATGTTGTGTTTTCTGTGAAATTTGTTTATTTGTATAGTTTATTTCTTACTTGCATTTTTAAATTAAATGCTTACATTAAACCAAATAAATAAAATAAATAAATAAATGGCAAGTATCAGATTTGAGGAGTTTGGGAGCTAATAGTGTTGTACCTCTTTAAGAGAGGCGTGTGCTGTGGTCCCATGTGATCTGTGCTTACCCTGTGAAAAGGAAGCGCTAGATTTGTTTGTTTGAACTTACTGTCAACTCGGTGTGCAGCCACTTGATAAGCTCCTTTAATTTCTTGCTTTCTTGTCTGCTTTAATGTTGTATGCTTCATATTGTCTGCTACGCTGTATTGTTGCACTGTTTACGTCTGCCGATTCCTTGTGCTGTAACGCTACGTTAAATACGGTAACGTTTGCTCCGGTGGCATCAAGCAGTTTATGCCGATAATTAAAGTAAAAAAGTTATGAATGGCAAAGCTGTAAAATAAATATTTGAATTTGCTACGTTGCCGTCTTATCTATGATCGTTTCTGTAGCTTTAGAAAAGTTTAATGAAGTGATGTGTGCAGATACCGGCGTTTGACGTGAGTGCTGTACTTCCTGGTTTGCTGCAGGGCATTGTGGGAACTGTAGTTTAGTGTAGTTATTGCAGAGAACGACTAAAGAAACAATATGCATTTTGCATGTTTTTGTAGGATTTGAATATGGTGCATAATGTTGGATATATGAAGCATGTACATGAAGCAATTCTATTATATATTTGTGTTTTGGTTAATGCATATAATGATCACTATGCTATTAGTTTCAATTTGGTGATATTTGTCAATTGATTTGATTTGTTATTTATCATTATTGCTTGCTGTTATTGGGTCTTATATTGTGAGTGAGCTATGTGTGTGTTGTGCTGTTATGTGCTTTCGGCACATTATATTTATTTCTATTTTTTCTCTTGGATCGTTTTGTAGTTACTTTAGTTGTATGACGTTTTGTTGTTTAATATACTTTAAAGTAGATAATTATTTATTCTAATTTGGTTTGTTAATTTGTGACGCTGTTGGACTGCCTATAAATAGGCTGGGTTGCGCCAGGTGAGGCGACGCCCACTTCCGATCACCACCTAACATGCATGCGTTTTGACGTATCCAGCCTGCCTCACGGTAGCTTTGTTAGGTCTTTGCTTGGTTGATGTTTTTCTTTGCTTCGTTATGATTTTGACCTGGTGGGACCGATTGTCCTGTTTTCGAGTTTTCCTTTCAGTAGTTTTCTTTCCCTGTAGTCTGATACTAGCAGTGGCTTCGACGGCCCTGTACAGGGTTGGGCTCTGCTGTATCGTTTTGTTCTTTTTGATCGGCTCATCAGGTCCAACTTTCTGTTTATACTTTGGGATTTTTGTGTTTTATTTTTGGGACACGGGGAACCCTGAGGAATAATTCTCTCTTCCTTCACAGAAAAAAGAGATACAGAAAATGTCCAGAGAGAGTGTAAAATAAAATACGTTTGAATCCTCATTTTCGTCTTCGTGTCCTCAAGTATGTTGTGCCCTTTGTGGACGTAACATATGCATATACAGGGATTGGACAATGAAACTGAAACACCTGGTTTTGGACCACAATACTTCATTAGTATGGTGTAGGGCCACCTTTTGTCGCCAATACAGCGTTACTTCGTCTTGGGAATGACATATACGAGTCCTGCACAGTGGTGAGAGTGATTTTAAGCCATTCTTCTTGCAGGATAGTGGCCAGGTCACGACGTGATGCTGGTGGAGGAAAATGTTTCCTGACTCGCTCCTCCAAAACACCCCAAAGTGGCTCAATAATATTGAGATCTGGTGACTCTGCAGGCCGTGGGAGATGTTCAACTTCACTTTCATGTTCATCACCCCCTAGGTGCTTCCTGTGTGAGCTGGAAATAACCACAGAAACAAGTATTTTTTTATATATTATGTTTAGCTATATTTGGCTAAAACTTAAATAACAATAGCACTTCACAAAGTTATTATTCAGAGTGATGACTTTTAACCCACAATAAATTAACATATGGGGCATGTGAGTATGAGCCATAGTTAAAACTTGCTCTCAAACACAATATCATACTCATTCACACACAATGCATGGTGTGCGTTTGCTTTGAATTTTCCATACAGGTTTGATTCTCTGCGAGTTGCAGGATTTGATGGGCTGAAGTCAGAGCAATGCAGACTGTGAACTACAAACACCACCAGCTCTTTTCACACAAGACTGTAAACTGATGTACCAAAAGCAAAAGGGTCACGTTGTGGTTCTCTTATTTTGCTTACTCCCCTCAAGTTAGGGCAGTTTCGTGTAAAACTACAAAAAGCAATCATCTCTCACACAGCACTTAAAAACAGCACCGTTCATTTTTCAGGTTTTAGGGCAGATAGAAGTCCCATACAGAACAAATCACAATACTCCCGTCTCTCTTTTTCACATTATTCTGATCATGTGTTCGTACCTACTGCACTTACAATTTGGCAATTAAAAGAGGCATACAAAAGTTGACATATAAAACAATACTGTTAAAAAGCTTTACAACTACGGGAACACCTAAAAGTGCACTGGTTATTTACAAAGTATGTGATCAACAGGCACATTTCTCTATTTTTACGAAGAGAGACGGTGACTTCAAATGAACATCCTCTAGACGAGTTAGACTTTGGTTTTTACGCCGGAGCTTGCTAAGGCCAGAATTTTGTCTTCAGATCCTAGAGAGGACAAAACAAAAAAACACGTTATGAAGGTTAATGCAAAAAAACAATTGTGTACTTTCACTCAGTAGTTTGGTGAGCGCATTATTCAAGCTCACCTAAGTTTGCAGTCACTTTTTCAAACTGGCTCAGTGTAGCTGTGGCATTTTCAGTAAGAAAACTCTCCTCCTCTGGAGTGAGCTGTAGGAAAAAGTGTTCACCACTCGGTCAGCCTGGTCGCTGCATGACTAAAGTCTGGTATGTGTGGACACATGAGCATGTGCTGGTGACTCATTTGCCATGAGTTCCTTACCTTCTCTCCAAGCTTCTTCAGGGCCATGAGGATTTCCATTTTCTGCTGCGTGTGCACGTCTCGGGACAGCTTCCCCACCATCACATCTCGGTCCATCTGCGTGGAATGTCACACACCAGTTGGACAATTTGCAGGAATTTGGATGCACGCATACATACACGCAAGACCAGAGAGGCACGGGTCTCCCACATTATTAAAACCATCTAAAATATAAGTTAAAAGTATTAGCCATCCTTCTGGTATTCATTAGGATGTTTACTTTGCGTGCTTTAAGACACTGTTGTAGAAGACCAGCACAATGCAAAACCAAAGACAGAGCAACATGTTCAATGTTTGCCCTGCATATCTCAGGGCAAACATGGCCAGACCTATTTGTATTTACTATTCATAGGATGGGCTGGAACACATCAAATTAATAGTACATTTGAGTTGGTTTTTATGTTCTGGTGCACATTTCAAACCTCTGCTAATCTGGTTCTCAGCTGTCCCGGCTGCTTCTTAGCAAAGAGTCGGATCACCTCTGGGGTCTTAAATGCCTGGCTGATGGCTGCCTGGATAGCCTGATGGAGACAGATATAGTATTTAATTTTTGGTAACTTCCTGTTAGAGCTGACAATAACTAAGTATTTGAAGATTAATTTACATTCATACCAGCTGCATTCCACTGAGTTCATCCACCAATGTCATGTCTCCAGACATGATCTTCTTCAGGGAGTCATTAAATTCGCCCAGCTGTTCCAAAGTTTCCTTCTTCGTTTCATCGTACTCTTCCTTATCGAGTTCTTCCCTAGAACAAATAAGGAAACGATTAAAAAAAAAAAAAAAAACCCAGAGGGGAACACGTTTAAAGGACTATGCTGCACCTGCATTCCTCCAGGTCCTGAAGCTGCTGCATCAGTCTGTCAAGCTGTTCCTCCATATTCTGTCTCAGCTTGCCGGTTTCTGATTTCCCCCGAGAAGCCATCCTCTGTTGACAATCCTGACTTCCAAACACACGTACATACAGCACATTAGAATGGGCGTTATTAACCAGTTCACAGTTAACAAACGGCGTTTTAAACGTAGCAGTATGCAGTAACTACGCAGGCTGAGGAGAAGAAGGCTAGTTGAACTTAAGCATTATAAGCTCTGAAAAACTAGAACAGTTAGCAGTTTAGCAAGCTAGCACGCTAAAAGCAACCATCTCACTTGGGATACCTTTGTAAACACTTGTCAATCAGCCGAGCGTCACGAGAAATGCTTGCGTCAGATTAAATGGATGTAGCATAAAATGACCTGGGTAACTAAACGGAATCCCAACAAAAACATTTAAGTTTAGCGACGACAAAATGTTTACTATTTGTGGGTCGGTTTGTGAAGAGGAGATTTGTGTTTGTGAACCTAACTCGCCAACGTGGGTGCGGCCGTCGCCTTCCTTGTGCAATCTGTCCAATCAGATTTCTTAATCATCGCGTAAACCAAACGTCAGCACGTACAGGAAGCACATGACCCATTTCACAGCAGCTGGAAGTCGCTGTTTCCTCTGGTAGTACACTACGTTAATTCACAAGAGATAAGAAAATAGTTTTTTTTTGTGATGTCTAGTTTATGATTTTATTCTTTTGAAAATAATTTACACTAATTTAGTGGTACAGACTTATAAAACGGATAGCTTATGTGTCAATGACAACGGTTTTGGCTGTTAAGCTAACATAGCTTATAGCTTTGTTATTGCAACTTGCTTTTTTAAAATTTGAAGTTTTTTCCACTCAGATTAAGTGGATACAGACAAATGTCCAAGGCTGAGAGGCTTTATAAGATTTCTGACATGTTGCTTTCCAAATAAGTTAGTTAAACGAGTCTCTTTATCTGTTGCAGGGTTAATCAAACTCCATTATGAGTTATGGAGAGTCAGAGTCTAACGAGAGTGGCCCTGCTGGCCTGCGGGTCCTTTAACCCCATCACCAATATGCACCTGAGGATGTTTGAGCTGGCCCGTGATCACCTGGAAGACACAGGTTGAGTTTTATTCAGGCCGACATATTTCATAGTGATTCTTAATTTCAAATTTCAGTTTACAGACTTCTGTCAGAGCTTTTTAACCCTCAGAGCACCACACAAAAAACATAATATCATGTAAATGTTATATTAATTAGAGCAAGAAATCTCTTCAACAATCAACGTAAACCAGATTTATTAGATATCTCTGACAGTATTTAAGATTCAAATACTTAAACATTTAATGTTTTCTGTATTTAAAGCATCCAAATTTCAAATAAAGTGTGAAAGCATTTTGGGGAGATTTCAGTGGAATAATTGTGATTAAGTTGATTAAGGTTCATAAATACTTACTGTGAGTAAAACTTGATTTCAACCAGTGCTTCATGGTAAAGGAATTGTAACTGGAGACATTTATTAAAACTTTATGTGTGTGTTATCTGAATGTCTTGCATCCATTGTTAATTCCCACTTTTTGCTTTGTATTTAAGGTCAGTACAGTGTAGTAAAGGGAATCATCTCTCCAGTGGGTGATGCCTATAAGAAGAAGGGTTTGATTGAAGCCAGCCACCGTGTGGAGATGGCTAGACTCGCCACAGAGAGCTCATCCTGGATCAAAGTAGACACTTGGGAGAGCTTCCAGCCGGAGTGGCTGGAGACGGCTAAAGTTGTTCGGTAAGTTTACAGTTTTTTAGATTTATTGGAGGCAGTAGCTGTGGTGGATGTGTGAATTGGCTTTATTGGCACAACATAAAGCGACAAGATCACACCTTTCAATAATTCAAGTTTTCATTCTTCCTCTTTTTTCAATTTTCATTAGATACACCTCCATCAGCCGGCCGTTTATCAGTGATATAAACATTCCTGTTTATGATGTACAAATTACTTGCTGAATGACTTTTGATCTGCACAAGTGTTACTGAGTAATAACTGTATTAGCTGAATCAAACATTGCCATTTGTTTTATTAATCTATACTTCACATCACTACTTGCTGTCTCTAAAAGTTGTTGATATGGAATGTTGCACAGAATTTCCCCCTCAGTTCATATTTGTATGGATATTTTGTACATACTGTGTACTGTGAGGTGGACTTAACTTGCTTTAAATCCATTTAAATGTCATTATACTTCTTTAAAAAAAGACCTAGACTTGATGTTACAGGAAGAAACTTCTGTCCTACTTAATTCTAATCCTCTTTAAAATCTCTGAATGCCATGCTTAAATTGTAGAGATTCTTTTTAAAGTAAACCACTACCATTTACTACATTCAGCTGTTTCGTTTTCAGACAACTGAACCCTTTGTCTTTCAGTGGCATGTCCTTGTTGTAAACTAAGCAAAATGGGTTGGGCTAGATGGTTTGTGGTTAGCAGGAATCGGTGAACGCCTCTCAGAATATTGCCCCAGCATTCCATACAAGATGCTTTAGTCAATCAAGTGAAAACATGTACGTATGATGGGAACATCCGCCTGTTTCTTGACTGTATCCTCACAATCAAAAGTGAAGACATTAGTAAAGGTTGTCCAGAAATATAAGTTGTATTTTGCTTAAACATTTGAGAAAGTGAAGAATATTTCACATGCTTATGAACAACACACAGATATGTGGAGTCCGTCTGGCAGCATGACGTATGCTTCAAATATTCCGTTTGGGGAAACTTTGAGTGCAGTTGACACCCGATTTGCTTTGTCTGCCCCCTCATAGACATCACTATGAGGAAATGCTCTCAGCTGAGCACAACAGCGATGATGTGGACACAGTCAAGTATGGAAAAAAGAGACGGGTTGAGGAGAATTGCTTTGAGGGTTCAGTCCATCAAAAGAAAAGAGGTGGGTCATGTATGGCTTCATAAGGTAACATTAGATATTCATTTCCCACAGTTCTTGTCTGTCGCCCCCCCCTTTGCATGCATTTTTTGTGCAGCCAGGAAACAGGCCTGCTCCTGCCCCAAGTCACTTTACAAACGGCTCAGTTACATGCAATAGCTTACCTGCAGTCACACCCAACAAAGGCAGGAAAGGTGACAATAAGAGGTAAGCCTGTGGGTAAGGACGAGTGAGAAACAGGTGCACGGTATGCAGAATCTAAACCGGGTGGTTGCATTGCAAACATTAAAGAAGAGCATGTGAAGTGCAAAATGAAAATAACTGATAATTATACCCACCCCAGAAATGCTTAATTTCACACCTGTACCTTTTTGGAAAAATGCACACAAGGGGAAAAAGGGATCAGTTGGTCTCTTATAAACTGTATTTTGACTTTATTTTGGTCGTGTTTGGTTGGACAAAACACAACATTGGTTGGTAAAATAAAAAATCATCTTTCGTCCCAGTTTGGAGGACTGATTTGTTGTTGTTTTGTTTAGTTTTGCATTTTGGGCTGTGGGTGCTGTTTTAACCGGGCTCTTCCCTGTGCTCAGACGGTCCTCAGCTCATGCTGCTCTGCGGAGCCGATGTCCTGGAATCGTTCGGGATTCCCAATCTGTGGAAGCAGGAGGACATCGCTGAGATCGTGGGCCGCTACGGTTTGGTGTGCATCACCCGCAGTGGCAGCGACCCTCACAAGTTCATCCACCAGTCCGACGTCCTGTGGAGGCACCGCAAGAACATCCACATCGTCCACGAATGGGTGACCAATGAGATCTCAGCCACTCACGTGCGCCGCGCGCTGCGCCGAGGCCGGAGCGTCAGATACCTGCTGCCGGACAGCATCGTCCACTACATTCAGGAGCACCACCTCTACAGCGCCGAGAGCGAGCAGAAGAACGCGGACGTGACCCTGGCTCCTCTTCAGAGATACACGACGGCCTCCTCCAGCTGAAGGTTTTCTCACACGGCTGGACTTAACTTAACTGGACTGAGGTTTTTGGTGAGATAGAAACAAATATGCAACCATCCAGTTGAAGGAAGCCTCCACCAGGGCCTTCGTGGCAGAGCTGTGTCTCCGCTGGTGAAGAAGTTCAGACCGCAAACTGAGTGAAGCATTTAGAAATGGGTTGAATTTGCACTAGGTTTGCATGTTTTGAAGGTTTTCTTTCTGTTAATACTAACTGAGCTCCGGTTCATCTGAATAGCTGCTGCCACTGCTGCAAGCAGAAATGCTATGTTGCTATCGGAAATGTACTCAAGATTTTGTAATGAACCCATTTGATGTTTACTACGCAAGATGTGATCAGGAACAAAGTGAGCCTTTTTAACACAACACAATTACTTGTTTTACAGCCGACGCTGTGCTTTTTCATTAACTCCCTCAGCCAAAAGCCTCAGGCGATAGCCCGCCTTTCAACATTCAGTGCTGCGGACTTTGAGAAATAATAATGTGTGACATGTATAGCTCTGAAAATAAATATTTTTCTTTATTTTACACCTTCGCGTGCATTATTTCTACCACAAAATAATGGTGTCATTATAACAACACTTCATTCCTTCTGAGTCAAATGAATTCATGTGATTTATTTTTCCGAGGGGAAGTTTACTAAACCTGCAGTTCTTAATTTGTTATCAGATCAGAGATTAAATTGATTACACCAAAGGAATAAACTTTTTTTAACACCTAAACCTTTAGATTTTTTCTCTGCTTTAAGTTATCAATCGTAAAATGGAAGAATTTAAGACAGAACTCAGTATGATTCCATCAAAAGGTCAGGTCTTGTGAACCATTTTTCACGTCGCAAACATGTCATCTGCCAATGACAGAGTTTACACAGGAAAACCCAGAATGTGTTTTTTCCACCTGCTCTGCGTCACAAAGGGGAATAACAGCTTTCCTGTCTGAGTAAGCTTCTTGTTTATTTTCTTTTGAACTGGAAATTCATCATTTTTTCCACAACCCTACATGACAGAGTATGTGCTGAGGTCTGTTGTTCTCCTTTGAAAAGTTAAATAGTTTCTTAAAAACTTTTTTAAGGTCAGGTATTATAATTGAAATGTTAAGTTTTGTATGCATAACAAAAAATTGGTGCCCCCACCATCCTTTTTGCACATTTTTTACACCAAGCATATCGAAGTGTTTCTTAAACATAGCTGTAGCAGAAATGTATATTGAGTAAATTTCTTCTTTCCTCTCTTTAACTTGTTTTGCGCATGTTATTTCTTGTGCTGCTTGCAACATCTTTGTGGAAAAACCCTTGCTGCAAGCATCAAGGTGAACATAGTTTTCCATCCGAATTTATTTCCCACCTGAGGCAAAGTCTGAAAGATGTGTATCAGCCAACTTCATAGTGAGACCAGTCGGACACGTCTGACCACTCTTTGTCACTCAGGTGATGAATAGAGCACCACCCTCGTCTTGACGTGGTACTCAGGTGTCAGCAAATCAGGTGGTGGCCACTGTTATATCACAGGTTCTCTTTAAAAACAGCGTTGTTGGGCTGAAGATCATATTTTACACCGACTCTAACTTGAGAACACAGAAAGAAAAGCCATCAAGATGCCTGCCAGCCTCTGTGGTACATGGGAAATGATCAGCAATGTCAACTTTGAGGGCTACATGATTGCACTTGGTAAGAAAATAGTCTGACATTAAAAAAATGTTGAATGCTTACAAGAACTACTTTGAAATTTACAGATGCATAACATTACCCCATGTTCAACAAAGAATGAACTATCATAACACTGTGCTGAAGGAATTTTGTGCCTCCAATGTTGCAAAAGAGTTTTCTATGAAAATGTGTGAAGAGGAGAGATTTTTGTTTTCTGTTTTGTGGCATGCAAAAGACTCGATCTTCTCAGTTTATTTATTTGTATTTATTCTTCTTAATTCATTTAATTCACTATTCCAGGCATCAGCACCTACCTGCGAAAAATTGCTATGAAGTTGAAGCTGAAGAAGGTGATTGAGCAGCACGGGGACAAGTATGTCATCAAAACCATCAGCGCTTTCCGAACTTACTCCGTCTCCATCAGAGTGGACGATGAGTTTGAGGAGTTTACGAAGGGCCTGGACAACAGACACGTTAAGGTGAGGAGAACTGCCAAAATACACCACAAGCATTGCATAGAAAGTGTGCATGCATGTTGCTTAAACTATCACTTTCCTTTCTACTATCCATGCAGTCACTGGTGAGATGGGAGGGAAAGAAACTTGTGTGCACACAGACTGGTGAGAAGAAGAATCGGGGATGGACTCACTGGATTGAGGATGGCAAGCTCCATCTGGTAAAGTCAGCAGCATAGATCTCAGAATTAAATCATTGAAACAAATTGATGAACTGATTATTTCTGCATGGCACAAGAAGCATTTATTGACTTTTCCCATGACCTCGTTTCCCTCCAGGAGCTGCACTGCGAAGGACAAGTCTGCAAGCAGGTTTTTAAGAAGAATGTAAATGAATGAGGAGGAATGAGAGAAGCATTTTGGGAGAAGGCAATCAGTAATGAAAGGCATTGTGTGTCAGATCCACCAATGTCAACCCTGAAGAACAACACTGCAAAAAGACGGTGGTATTTTTCTCTGCAATACAGCTCCCAACATTCATCAGGAGAAGAGGAAATGTCTGTCCTGTCAGGGAATGAATTTACACCAACAGATGGCATTGTTGCATCACTTTTGGAAGATGATGCAGCTTCTTGGGGAGAGACAAAAGTCCCTAATCTGTCTGAAAAAACAAACAAAGAGAAACTATGCAAATAGATGTACTGTACATATATTTAGATATGCCTCTGTGTGTGTATATACTATATATATATATATATAGGGTGAAAGAGAGAGGATGGACAACATTATTTGTCCATCATACAACTTGTACTACTTGTAAAAACATTTAGAGCCAATGTCAGATAAATTGATTGCACAATATTTTGTTGTATTATATTTTTACTAAATAAAACTTGTTTGAAAGAGGTCTGCTTTTTCATACATGCGATCAAACCTGAAGAGATGATGATGAGCATAATGGCATGGTGCCCAGTTTACAGGTCATGCACATCAACCTAAATAAATATCTGCAGTAAGACTGTTTAGTATAAGAGAATGGGAGCATTATGTAGTGATCAGAAAGAACTCTAGAAGCTTGAGATTAATTTCTTTAAAGTGCAGCTGAAGAACAGAATTTGTGCACATGTGCAACCCATAAAGTTTTCCACTATTGAAAGAGTTGAAAGCAATGGATAATCGGGGAGTGAACAGCTAATGACACGCTTAAAATATATATATTTAAATAGATTTTTGTTTGTTTTTTAAGGTTAACATTTCTATTTGATTGTTCACTCAACAACAATCTGAAACATGGCGATACCAATCAACAAGTTACTGTCCTTTTGCATGAGTATAGTTTTAATCACATTAAACGGTAGCGTTTGCTATAGTTGAGGGAAAGCGCAGAAATACAGCTAATCACCTCCCACAACAGGTGCAACAGACTTTTCTATGCGACACAGCGATGCCCAAAACCTCCGGTGGGCTCTTAAGTCACGTGACGTAGTGTAGAACCAAAATGGCCGCTGTTGTATTTTGACGTATAATAGCTAGCTACTTTTCTTTTTGTTTAATTCTTGATACAGATCTAGAAAACGAGAGAGATTTTGGAGGAACTGTATCTTCCCATCCTCTGTATATTGGCGTCCTAGTTTTTATCTTGAGGACAATCAAGACTGACACGTATTTGTTTAACGAGTTAGACTATGCATATTCAGTTCTAATACAAGCTAGCTAGCTGGCTCTGGCTGGCAGACTGAAGCAACTGAAAGTGAAATAGCTTGCTAACTTAGCTGTGATGATGGAGGAGTTGAGCGCAGATGAGGTAAGGTGACAATGAAAAAACAGTACGTGGGGAATGTTCTTTTCTTAGACTGATGGCATACATGAGAGTTTGGGGATTCCTTCTTCACTTATTTTGGGGGTCTTGCTACTAACCGAGTTGCTACAATAGGTAGCACAGATGTTAGCTTAGTCTAAATTGGAGAAATGCATTAGCGAGAAAATCCCACAGTTGGCTCCGGACCAGAAAACAGAAATACGCGTTTGCCATCTCAATCGAAATGATGATTATTGAAAAAGGCAATCAAATAAACAAACGAAGGGACGAGAAGTTGGATCTGGGTCGTGTTTACTGTCACCGTTACCCAAACCGTTTTATTCAGCCGGGGTACAGTGCTAATTTGCTAACGTAAAGTCACAGCAGAATCTCTAGAAAACGTCGTTTTAAGATGAAACAACTAAATCAATGTACATTTATGGTGGTATTATAATATAAGAGTTTGTCATTCGTCTAAGTTTTTTTATTTAAACAAATACATGACATTGTGGTTGTTTTTTATCTGACATATCTCTTTGCTGTAGGCTAGCTGACAATCGCTAATGTTGTTTTGCTAACGGACAGAAATTAGCCTGCGAGACGACTCAGCAGAAATAAAAGGGGGAAAAATCGGGCCACCATTGTTCAGTCAACTTTGTGTGTCGACTGTTGATGATCCTATCAATGTGTTTAATTTTATTGATACCGTAAAAAAATGAAATGATTTTCTCTTAAACGTAGTGTTGGCATTACATTGGTCATAACTGTACGTTACTCATTGTGATCTGCTATTAGAGTTGTGAAATTACGAAATGAAGTAAAATTGTGGTGGATCAGGGTTTTCAACCACACTAGGATTGTCTTAAAACAATAATTTAAACTTATCTTAAACATGTGTACACGTTGGCTCTGTGTGAGTAAAATGTGTTGAGTTTATTAACTCATTTGTTCAGACCTGCACAAGATGAGGTGTCCTTTGGCAGGCAATAAATCAAGTCATGACAAGCTGTAACTTCATTTTCTCCCGGACCTAATGGAAAAACCAAGGCAGCTATCTTTATAAAGAAATATTGTGTGCGTAATTTAAATTCTTGGTGAAACTTAAAGAAAAAGCACAAGTCACAGAGGTGTTTGTCTTCTTATTAATTACCTATTAAAAAGTATAAAAGGTTACAGCTGTCATAAATGGAGAATTAACCTGAATCGCTTTGCAAACACAGTACATAACACATCCACCGGAAAAAGCACCAAAATGACCTTCAGTAAGGTCAGTCATTGACCATTTGTCTGTGACACAGTTGCATGGAATGGAATTAGTATAATAGACTTGCAGAATTTGGTTGAAACAGCCTAAATGCTACCTCAAAAAAGGAATGTATTTTTTCAAAATTTTGTTCAAATTTATAAATGCCATTTCATAAAAAGAAATAAACAGGTTTATCCTTAAGATGTGTATATATTGCATTTTTCAAAAACAAAGTTAAGTGAATCACTGATGAGCTTTTGCAAATATTATAAATGTGATTAATGAAGTTAACATGTGTAAATCTTAAAAACAGTTTGAAATTTGTGTATTACTTTAAAATGAACCCAGTCCTATTAAATTGGTGGCTCGAAATCCAATTTTTTTCATTAATGTTAAACTAGATTTAGCTTTTCCTTGCGATTGGTCCAGGTTGTACCTGCCTCAGCCCCGTCGCAACCCCCAACTGGAATAAGCAGGATAAAAATGGATGAATAGAAGAAAATAGATTCAAACATATGGGGGGAAAACGGCCAGAAAACTACTTTTCACTTTCATTGATAAGCTTTTCACAAAGTAAAAAAATAGTAAATGCTCTGTAAGTGTCAGTAAAACACGGTAACAGACCTCATAATAAACATAATCAGTCAAAAAAGCTCCACACACGGGAGTTATTACCCACACGCACACACACACATATATATACATATAGGTTTATTGTCCCACACACTTAATTCTGTCTCAACGAGAAGAGCCAGATCCTAAAAAAAAGACGAATTAATGAGGCGTCAATAAACATTTTAGCTTTCTGGATGTTGGTTGAGCAGCAAATGGTTCTTAAGTTGAATTTGGAAATGTCCTGATGTACATTTCAGATTCGCAGAAGGCGACTGGTACGACTGGCAGGAGGTCAGACGTCACAACCCTGCACCCCTCTCAGCACACCCCTGACATCGCCACAGAGAGAGACTCCACCTGGACCCCTCCCTGGACCCTCAGGTGCTGCACTCCAGCCCGTGCCACCAGCTGCCTCTCAATCATTGGGGCTTAATGTCCACAGTGGCACCCCAGCCACTTCCCCTATGGGCACCTCTGGTAAGACGTAAAGCCTACAGGTCATTGGAGGCGTTCGGTCTTTGTTTTGTACTGCAGGGGAAGTACTTCTGGGCAAAAGTTGATATTTAGGTTCAGTGCTGAGGACAGATCGGCTTTCAGAATTTTGCACAGACAAGCAATGGTGGTCAGCCCTCTTTGTGGGCTGTTGCCTAAGCCTGCCATCCCTCTCAAATTAGCTTATGACACGTTGTTTGTGACACCCGGGGCATAAACAACCTTGGTTGTTTGAGCATAACACTGAAAGGACCCCTTTATATCTTTGACCTTGATATATAACAAGCAAGAATCTATTGCACACACTGAATGATATCACACAAATGGCTTGTTGTGATCAGCGGTGTTCTGGTTTGACACAAAGCGCACAGCCTGCAGGGCACAGTGAGAATCAAGGCTTTCATCCACACTCTGCTCTGGAAAAAGCCACGTATGTATAGACGGACTGTTACCCGGCATTGTTTGTCTGTATGTATAGATTTATCTGTTGGTGGGGAGAAACGCTACGTTGAGAAAATATCTAAAATTGTGTTGTAACAGTGTAGTACCATTTTTATGGCATCGCAAGAAAAGGTAAAGATGTATCTGAGCTTAGGAAATCGCTGTGCGTCTTTATGGTTTCCAAGCAGCAAACAAAACAAAAAAATGAAGAGACGATGAGCTAAAATTCAAGGTTGCGCATGTATTTTTATAAAAGGATGAACTAGTGTGTGGGTTAGTCTCTACAGAAAAATTCAAATCTTATGTAATTAAAAGCTGATCTCAAACAAAATGTTTTCTTTTCGTTTTTTTAACAAGCAGAAAAGGATACTCTGACACCTCAAGGTCACATTGTTTTTGTGCTTTAAAGACGTTTGTGTTGCTGTTTGCAGGGGTGGCATACGGTAGTCAGAGCAGCGAGGGTGTGAGCTCCCTCTCCAGCTCCCCCTCCAACAGCCTCGAGACCCAGTCCCAGAGTTTGTCCCGATCGCAGAGCATGGACATTGACCCTGCCTCCTGTGAAAAGAGGCAAGTGTATTTGTTTCTAGGAATTCTTTTCAATACCTTATTCATGTTTTAAGTGCAAGATACCCTTCTTCCCTCTTTTCCAGAAATGAAAAGCAGCTAAGAATGAGTCATTCTCTTTCTCAGAGAGGTCACTCCTAGATTTTGAGGCTTTGTTGATGAGACATATGACAGTTTGCAGAGACTCATGAATCACTTTTCCTTTCTCTGTTCCTCAGCATGTCCCAGGTGGATGTGGACTCAGGGATAGAGAACATGGAGGTGGACGACAGTGACCGCAGGGAGAAAAGGAATTTGGCTGAAAAGGTAAAAGAGGGACGCCTGTCCTTTTAAACTTTGTTCAAACTGAGTGTTGAATGCGTCGACATGATGAGATGGAGACCTTCCAGGAACACTCGTTTCTGTTTTTTCATTTGGTCTCTTGGAAATACCTGTCTCTCATTGGACCTCAGTGATCGTGAGATTAGAATTAGAGTGTGTGGTGTTAGTTATTTTTGGTATGTACTACATGACAGCTCATACTTTTTATCACAAGGTCTCTGCTAATTTTCTCAGGAAACCTCTGCGAGCTCCGATGTCTCTGAAGAACAGGCTCTGCAGCTCATTTGTAAGATCCTCCGCGTATCGTGGAAGGAGCAAGATAGAGACGTCATCTTTCTCCCTTCGCTGGCTGCTGAGTTTCTCCAGAACCCTAAAGATGGTATGTTGCTGAGCAGCTTCTCTTTCGCTCTGTTCCAAATGACAACCTTTTCACTTCAGTCTTATTCCTGCTGTGCTAACTGGACTGCCTTTTTTTTGTTTCTATCTTCAAGTACACTCTGACTTCAAAGACCTCATCAGCCAGATCCTGATGGAAGTCTTAATGATGTCATCCCAGTCACATGTCCATAACCCCTTTGCCAGCTTGACCGCCACCTCACAGCCAATAGCAGCAGCAAAGTCCCCCGACCACCGTCTGACACTGGTGCAGCCCTCTAGCCAAGGTGGCAGCCCAATGGGCCCCAACGCAGGGTCCTTTGGTGCCAGCTCTCTGTCCAGGCAAGTACCAAGTCCTGTTGAGAAATACGGATAGTTAAGCTTCCAGAAAAGCATAAAGGCAAAGAGGTGGATGGATGTTGTATGAGGTCTTCCTATTATTCATTTGTGTGGTTGGAAGATTTTTTTCTCCTTTTTTTATTCGTTAGTCACTGTGATCTTTGATCAGCTGTCTTTGTAGCGGCGTCACCAGATCAGTGTGCCAATGATGTTCTTATCAATGTTGTCCGCAGTCTTTATGGTTGTGGTAGTCCTCACCCAATGGCTTTGGAAGCAGCCAAGAGGACTTGCTCATCTCTCTCCACTCCCACTACATCCACTGCATCCACTGTACCTTCTCCACCCTCTGCTCCGCAATTGCTCGTTCCCCCAAGCCCGCCCGCCACTTCCACTCAGAGGCACTCCCTCAATCCCCCATCTGCCCCCATGCCCATCTCCCAGCGATATCGGCCATACTCTGTCACCCCTCCTTTGGGAATTCCTTCCCCACTGAGCCCAGGTCCTCGAGGATTCAGTTTTCCTGGATCTTCTCCCAGCCCGGCAGGGCCCTCAGTTCCTCCCAACACCCCAGTTCCCCTGTCTCCATTTAGCTCCCAGTCCCTCCCCTTGAGCTCACCCAGGACTCGCAACCAGTCCTCCTCCACTGCCCCTCCTGTGGTGCCTCCTTCTCCCAGAATGAGTGCTCGACAGGCTGCCTTTGCCTCCAGGATCCCGCCCTCTAGGTACTTTGTCTGTCCTTTGCATGTCAGTGTGGAGTGCACATCCCAGCAAATGTAGAAAAACCCTAAACTTGTGGCAAGTCACCAGATGTGAGGCTAGGCAAGAGGTGAACATGTCCAATATAAATTTGCAGCCAAGTCAAGATTTTTTGTTACATATTTTTCTTGTTTTTAAAGTTCAGTCAGCTCTCATTGATAAAAGTTAAAGATGATCTAAAAAAGAATTACACATGAGTCTATAAATCAATAACTGGAGCTGTGACTTGAGCTTTTATTCACTTAAAATATAAAGAAACTACACATAAGATGGCACTGATAAATGATTAAAACGGATCACAAGATATGGACCTTGCATAACACTCCAGTTTCTCCCGATCTCCCTTCCTCTGTCCTCTTTTCTTGTGACTTGTTTTCATTCTGAATTCATTCCCTTTTCCCCCCATTCATATAACTGTCTCCTTATACCATCACAACATCGTCCCTTTCTCCAATCTGTCTTTTCTCGTCTCGTTAGCCCCCTGTCGCTGCTGTTTTTTGCCCTTTCTGACATGTCTCAGGACAGCAGTGATGAAGACTCTGAGGAGGAGGAGGATTTTGCACAGGTTCAGTTTGGGTCCAGGTACACCACTGCACGGTGTGTGTCAATGCGTGTGCGCGCTTGCTCAGAGACAGGCCCGCTGCATGTTCCAGTGGGTCTAACCGGCTTCCAGCTAACAGCGCACAAACACTCTGGTTTCGAGCTGTGAAAGATGAGCTGCTAGAGACTCTCAGGGGGTTTCGGTTGTGAGATGGTTGGCCGTCGTAACCAGGGAATGTATCTCTTTGTTTGTCACTTATTAAGGTCTTATTAAGAGGTTTTGTGTTATATACTCAATTTATCACCTGATGCATTGTTTCTATTTCAACATTAACAATGCTGTCTTATCATATACCATTCACTCATCCACCTTTATTCATGTATTTGATTTAACCTTCAAGGGGTCAGTTTTAGTTACTGTTTTGTCTGCAAATAACCAATTAAATTTGATGTCTGTGCTTGGTGGTGATGTTCTTGAAGCCATTCGTATACATGTTACAGCGTTGTGGCTAAATGTAACAGAAAGTTGAGCTTTTATCTACGCGTTTGTGAGTAAAATGTGCCTCAGTGCATATTGGATTTAGAAGTTTGCTCCAACCAAAGCAACTCTAGCAAAGAATTTCCCCCCCACTTACTGATTTGGTTTTAAACAGTAAATTTGGATTTTTCTGTCCCTCTTTTATTTATTTATTTTTGTGTGTCTTCCAGGATTCTGCAACGGTTGACTTGTTATGCCACTTACACATAATGCTAGATGTTTCATGATGCTTTTGTCCACACAGTCATGTTTGCTCCTTTCTTAAACAATGAGCCTCCCTGCCTGTCTCTGTGATTATCGTCCTGTGTGTAGTCTTGGTGCATGTGGAGGGGCGATGTCCTGCGATTCAGCCAGCGACGGCTTCACCATTGAAGCCTGCAAAGAGACAGAGATGCTGAACTACCTCATTGAGCGTTTTGACAGTGTTGGCATGGAAGAGAGGAAAGCTCCCAAGGTAAGAAATTGCAAGAGAGAAAGTCTTCATTGGTTTAATAAAATATATATATATATATATATATTCTGACCTCTTACTGAGAAGGAAACCTTTTCAGATTATAATAACTGATATTTAGCAACTTTTTGGTTCCCTTTTGTTAACTTTAGTCAGGTGCGTGTTGTACATCTGTCAGTTGCTACAACGCTGCTACTGATCATTTAAAATGATCTGAAAAAGTTTCTATAAAAGTTTCCATACATTTTCCCCTATTTAATCTCCTCTTGGTCTCTTTCTCAGATGTGTAGCCAACCGAATGTGAGCCAGCTTCTCAGTAACATTCGCTCTCAGTGTATCTCCCATGTTGCCCTGGTCCTGCAGGGCACCCTGACCCAGCCTCGGTAAGCAAATCAGCCCCCTCACTGTGAATACTTCTTATTTTCTATTATATTCGGTTCAAGTTCCACTCCCTTTCCTCTCTGTCTCCATAGCAACTAGTCTTTCACCTTGCTTCCAAACCATTTCTTTATTCATTTTCACCACACTGTTTTTCTGTGTGTCCGCTGTGTGTAGGAGCCCCCTCCAACAGTCCCTGCTGGTACCTTATATGCTGTGTCGGAACCTTCCTTATGGCTTTATTCAGGAGCTGGTGCGCATCACCCATCAGGAGGAAGACGTGTTCAAACAGGTTGGAAGCCCATATGTTGTGTTCGTCCCAGCACATGAGAGCAGAAATAAATAAACACTTAAAAATACAACACGGTAACGACCTTTCTAGACGTTTATTAACTGTGAAATATTGTCAGTACGACATGTCACAGCTACACAGAGGAGACTTATTCTTTAATAGAGAGTTTAGTTAGAACCCAGCTAACTGTTTATCTTTTCCAGATCTTCATTCCCATCCTCCATGGCCTGACGTTAGCAGTCAAAGAGTGTTCCTTTGACAGCGACAACTTTAAATTCCCCCTCATGGTAAGTACATGCCGTCCTTCACCACCAGACAAGAAATGAGGATGGACGTTGTCGAGTTGGGAGGGTTACGGGTTTATGTCAAAAAACGTTTTTTCTATTCTTTGTTGTCATGTCATTTACAGAGTTGTTGGGATTAATTCAAACCTTTATTAATTTATCTAGGTACATAATTATGATATTTTATATATTTTCAGAGAGAAATACTGTGTTAGAACCCAGCTAACTAACTAACCAACTAAATTCTCTAGGTTTATGGGTATTTAAGCATAAAAAAACAAGTGAAAAAGAAAATCTTAGCAGAAATCGTATGTGTTTTTGTTTTAACAGGCATTAGCTGAGCTCTGTGAAATCAAGTTTGGAAAGACTCACCCTGTCTGTAATTTGGTGAGTATATGCCCTAACTGGTGAAGGAAGTTCCATTACAACTCGCTTCTTATCAGTGTTTCCTTGTTGCCGAATCGTTTTGATATTTCATTTCTAAAAATAGCTCCCTCACTACAAGAATGTTGTTTCTTATTTGGAAGCCTCTAAGCTCAGGAACATCAGTTAATGTCATCATTTATTTTTTTCTTAGTTGAGTTTCCCCCCCCCCCCTCTTCATAAAAAAACGCAAGTGTTAAGGCATTGTATCCTACTGTGATATTTGTCCAACTCCTCTCTGCAGGTGACCTCGCTGCCTCTGTGGTGCCCCAAACCTCTGAGCCCTGGCTGTGGCAGGGAGATCCAGAGACTGTCCTACGTTGGAGCGTTCTTTAGCCTGTCTGTGTTTGCTGAGGACGATGTGAGTTGTTCCACAGACTGGTGTTTCTCCTTCTGATTATCTTAGATCCTAATCTGGATGAATTCCTCTACTGTGCAGAAACTTTTACACGTGTTCTCATTCTGTGTAGTCATAAAGGTCATAATGAATACCAGAATGGATAAAAAAAAAAAAAAAAGTGATGCACCAGGAGCAAACTGCACATCGAGCTAAAGCGTTGCAATATTTTAAATGCTTGGAAAGTCTTGATTGGATGCTCCTCTCTTTTAGACCAAAGTAGGAGACAAGTATTTCTCTGGCCCGGCCATCACCATGGAGAACACGCGAGTGGTGAGCCAGTCATTGCAACACTACCTGGAGTCTGCAAGGGTGAGTTTCCATAACCAAAGGCCATGATGAGGACAAATGAGAACAATGTCTCTAATTCTGTGTCTTCCATGGCAGGGTGACATGTTCAAAATTCTCCATAACATTCTGTTAAATGGAGAAACGCGTGAGCTCGCCCTTAATTACATGGCAGCTCTGGTCAACCACAATGTGAAGAAAGCCCAGATGCAGGTTGGTTCCTATTTCCACATGTTCAGAATCTTCCTAATAAACTACTTTAAATTTTAGCTTGTTCTCAGGACGACGTTGGTTGAAATGATTTCATCTTTCTCCCAGACTGATGACAAACTGGTGTCGACGGACGGTTTCATGCTTAACTTCTTATGGGTGCTGCAACAATTGAGCATGAAGATCAAGTTGGAGACGGTTGACCCTTTCTACATTTTCCATCCACGGTGTCGCCTTGCTGTCAGCCTGGAAGAGACTCGTATCAAAGCCACTATGGAGGACCTCAAAAGCTGGCTGACTGAACTACGTAAGTTAGCAAAGACAGAAACTTTTGGATTCAAATTTGTCAGAGGTTCATTTAATTATTAACAAGTGGGGACGGGGAAAGTATTCTTTCAGATTTCCAAGCCTGCTTGGTGAAATTCACAATACGTTAGCTAAAAATACTGTTTGCCTTCAAGTCGTTTGCCTTTGAATACAAATGTTTTAACTTTGTTGAAGCTAGATAGCTCTAGTATGAAGCTAGGAAACATGAGATGGAATAAAGAATTCCACTGTGTGAACATGAACAGATGAAGATCGCACCAAGTTCCCAGAGCCCAAATTCCCCACCGAGTGCTTCTTCTTGACGCTTCACACTCACCATTTGTCCATCCTGCCCGGCTGTCGGCGCTACATTCGCAGATTGCGTGCCATCCGAGAACTCAACAGGTATGTGTGCCCACAAACGGAGAGTTCATAGCCGCTTTCCAAGCATAATGGTATTTTTGTTTCCCTCGTCAGGACCGTGGAGGAGCTCAAAAACAGCGAGAGTCAATGGAAGGATTCTCCCTTGGCCAGTCGGCACAGAGAGATGCTGAAACGATGCAAAACCCAGCTCAAGGTTAGTTTGTGTATCGGCGCACTCGTCCCCCGCGTTTAAATGCTGAGGATTGCAGGATTCTATAACGGAGCATATTTCCAGAGACGTGATCCTCATCGTGTGTGACTTTGTCCTGTCAGAAACTAGTGCGAGCCAAAGCCTGCGCTGACGTGGGCCTTCTGGATGAGAACCTGCTCCGCAGATGTCTGCAGTTTTACAGCACAGTTATTCAGCTCATTCTGCGTATGGTGGACCCCGCCTACCCAAAGTGAGTCACTGACAGCCCCCGTCTGGCATCACGTTGATGTAAAAAAGACCCACTGTGACATCAGCCTATTCAAAAATAAATTCATCTTTCTCTAGTCTGTTTTTAATGTCGAAGGACATTACAGAGGAAGAAGCACTAAGCTGTGTTTACTTTTTCTTCCTGCTCTCAGCATCGGCCTGCCACTGAACCCTGAGATTCCCAAAAGCTTCGCTGCCCTTCCTGAGTTTTATATTGAAGACGTGGCAGAGTTTCTGCTTTTCGTTGTGCAGTAAGTCTTCTGCTCCTTTACTTACTTGCCCACATCTTAAGCTTTATTAAAACCAACACGGTACCTGTGTGTAATAACTCGACATTTACTTTCATGTCGGAGTGATTTTTTTGTCGTGTCCCGGCTTGGTTGTTTATTCTTGTGCTCCTTTTCAACACGTCCTCTCCTCCAGGTATTCTCCCCAAGTTTTGTATGAGCCATGCGTCCAGGACATTGTCACCTTCTTGGTGGTGTTCATCTGCAGTCAGAACTACATCAGGAACCCCTACCTTATCGCCAAGTTGGTGGAGGTGCTGTTCGTCACCAACCCTGCTGTACAGCCTCGTACTCAGCGATTCTCTGAAATGATGGAGAATCACCCTCTGTCCATCAAGCAGCTGGTCCCCGCTCTCATGAAGTTTTATACCGGTGAGTTTCATGCCCAGTAAATTCTATGAGCTGACATTAAATTGGAAATGTGCAGTGTAGCCATGTCGCTGGCACATTTTGTCATTCTTTTATTAAAATCATAAAGCGTGGGGCTTTTTCGTTAAAAAAAAAACGATAACTTTGTTTGTTGGTCAGATGTTGAGCACACTGGTGCTACCAGCGAGTTCTATGACAAGTTCACCATACGGTACCATATCAGCACCATCTTTAAGAGTCTGTGGCAGAACATCGCTCATCATGGCACCTTCATGGAGGAGTTCAAGTGAGTTGGCTATGACATAAAAAAGGAAAAATAATCATAATCAATGGAAAAAATCTGTCATCTAAGGGTAAAAGTTGAGGCTTTCAACCTGATCTGTTTGTCTCTTGTTAACATCCCACCAGCTCTGGCAAGCAGTTTGTGCGCTACATCAACATGCTGATTAATGACACGACCTTCCTGCTCGATGAGAGCCTTGAGTCCCTGAAGCGCATCCATGAGATCCAAGAGGAGATGAAGAATAAGGAGCAGTGGGGGCTGCTGCCGAGGGTCTGTGCTTTACTGGAAAATATAGGCCAATATTTGGCAGACATAACGGCTATATATGCCGAACATAAGACGTGATCATTTATTAACATTGAGCAGCTCAAAGAAATTCTGATGGAACAGTGCTCCAAGTCCCAGTAAAAAAAAATGTTTTAATAGAATTACATAGATAAAAATAATACAATTGATGGATGAAAATGAACAAGAACTATAGTAAGTAATCCCAAAGGAAAGGGTCAGCAGTAGATCTGGCCAAATAAAGCAAAGAATTATGGCAGAAGTCACAGTTCTTTTGAGCCATCACTCTATTTTTCAATCTCTTCCTAAAACTGTTCATTATAACAGTATCCTGTGTGTCTATGAAAGTGCATTTATATCATCTTAGTATTTTTTATGTGTGCTCTACAGCACTGTGGTCCTTTTGGTATGTGAAGTGCTCTATGAATAAAGCTGGATTGAATTGGATTAGATGGTGCACTACACCCACATATGATTTAATAGGCTGAATATAAAACAGACATGGCAAGAGGACGTTTCCAAACCTGTTTTATTATGGTGTTTATTTCAGAAGGACCACCACAGTGATGAGTAAGAACAAAATAAGGCTGTGGTAATTAGGAATGATGTCAGCAACATGAGTTAACTTGGTATTTCATGAGACAAGAGGACATTTTGAATGCTCATTGAGCCTAAGGGTCCCTAGTGAAGCTGCTATTTTATTTTAAGTATCCAAGTATCTTTGGTGTTGTCATTTGTCTGTACACAGTTAATAGATACGTGCAGTGTTGAAAGGGGCCGATAATGTAGTACAGAATTTCTTATGTCTGTTCCTGTACTTTGTTTAGGAACAGCAGCAGAGCCGCCAGTCCCAGTTGACTCAGGATGAGCGGGTGTCTCGCTCCTATCTGGCCCTGGCCACCGAAACGGTTGAAATGTTCCACATCCTCACCAAGCAAGTCCAGAAACCTTTCCTCAGACCCGTGAGTGCCACTGTTCTCTTTTCACCGTAATTAGACCCAAGCAGTGATCGGAGATATATTTTGAGACGGACTCTCCTCGTTCTTGCAGGAGCTGGGACCTCGTTTAGCTGCTATGCTGAACTTTAACCTCCAGCAGCTCTGTGGGCCCAAATGTCGGGACCTGAAGGTCGAGAATCCTGAGAAGTATGGCTTTGAGCCCAAGAAGCTCCTAGACCAGCTGACTGACATTTACCTGCAGCTGGATTGTGCCCGCTTTGCTAAAGCAATTGCAGATGATCAGGTTGGAACTGGCACTGGGGGTTGGGTGGGGGGGGGAAGTTTTGACACTAACATTGATCTTTAGCAGTTAATATAGACTGTCCTTTGAATGATAAAGTAATAGCAGCCTACTGTTCCAACTCGTAGTTCATATTGTAATGGTGAAAATGGGTTTCCAATAAGGCACTGAGGACTTGCCTCAGGCTGCCTTACAGCTTCTTCTTTTTCATTTCTCATCAGCGATCTTACAGCCGCGAACTCTTTGAAGAGGTGATCTCAAAGATGCGGAAAGCTGGTATAAAGTCCTCCATCGCCATTGAGAAATTCAAGCTGCTATCGGAGAAGGTGGAAGCAATAGTCGCCAAGAACTCCCAGTCTGAAATGGACTATAGCGATGCACCCGATGAGTTCAAAGGTGGGTTTGTCGGCTGTGGTTTTTCAGTAACACTGTTCATATGCTCTGTTATTATTTTCCTGTTATTGGACCTATAATGCATCATAGGCCTGGGGAAATTTTTTTTCCATTGTTTGACCCCTGGTATGTCTCCAACAGTGAGAACCCACACTGAATTCTGAACATTTGCAACAGATTTTGGAGCTCATACAGATCATATAGAGGGCTTAGAGCATGGCTATCTTGTAACCACAGACTTAACATAATCTGGGAGAGGAATGTGGTCTGCATGCCTCCTTTGATTCCCAGATATGCCTGCCAGCTCACCACAGTTGATGGGAGTGTGCCATACAGGACGCTGGAGTATCAGCTGTCTTTGTAGTCACAATCTCACATGCCAGGTTTTATTTTTGTAATGCACAGGCCCATCGCTAACAGCCCTGTGACATTTCATCATAGGGCACACGTTCTCAAATGCGCTGCTCAGGTTTTTATTGGATATTTTATTAATTGGTGTTATTATAGGTGCACTAATGTCATGGAAAAATATATGTATGCTTTCAGATCTTTCAGTTAGGCATGGCAATAACTCAGAGATGGAATGGTAATAAAAATGGATTTAATTTGTTTTAGATTACAACAAATGGAAAAGATAGCATTTACTGTCTAAGTGCCAGTTTCAAAGTAGAATATTTGGACTGCCCTTAAATGGTTCTCATTCAGTGTTTTGATGGTATTTGTGTTGTAATCCTCTTTTAAACTTGTCTTTCCCCTCAGATCCGCTGATGGACACATTGATGACTGACCCTGTGATTCTGCCTTCGGGGAACATCATGGACAGATCCATCATCTTGCGCCACCTGCTCAACTCCCCCACTGACCCCTTCAACAGGCAACCGCTCACAGAAAGCATGCTGGAGTCAGGTAACCCTTTCCATGATGGCTTTTCCTCATTAAGAACATTTCCAACAAAAAATCCTGGTCAGAATAGCCTAGAGCTCACATTTATTTCTCACAAAGGAAAAGCTAAATATTTTCATTATAGTCAGTGGGAGGGATTTCAGAACTCCCAGATATCAAGTTAGCGTCCCGCCTGCTTGATTGTGAGCGTCAGTTCTGTAGTTTCTTCTCATATTTATTTTTACTTTTTATTTTTTTATTCTACAGTGCCTGAATTGAAAGAGAGGATCCATGCTTGGATGAGAGAAAAACAGAGCGGACGGCCTCTGTAAGGACCACAGATGCCTGGCCTGTTAATCACCATGAAGGGATCTGTCCAAATTGCCTCAATTCAGTGTCACGACTACCAATGAGAACATGGGAGGGGGGGGGGAGACCTGATTGATTTTTATTTGCATTTACTCTTTTTTTTTTTCTTTTTTTTTTTCCTTAAACCATTATCATGGTTCTAAACACAAAACATAATAAAGCGAAGACTTTTAAGTTTTCTCTCATGAGTTTGTGTATATATCAAAATGTTTACATATATTTAACAGTAGTTGTTAATGCATTAAAATGCTGCAAAAACATCTTTCCAACACCAACAGGATTGGCAGCGCTGTGAACGGTTCCTTTGTTGCTCATCTTCCTTTACAGTTCTCATTTTGTTTTGTAACATTGTGTATGTTGACTTCATTTAATATGTGAAGTATTATTTCAGGGACAGTGGAGGAAAATGGAAAAAAATTGGAGTTCATCAGAGTTCCAATAAAATTTTGAGCCTTGATTTTTCTCCATAAAAAATGTGACAATAATGGACTTGAGTACACCTAAACTATGCTGGTGCCCCACAGCTAAATATGCACACTTTATGCTAATGGTTAATGTTAACAGCTGAGAGCAACCATTTGGAATGTAGTAAGGTAAACTAACCTAAAAGGTCTGCCCCCTTCTTGGCACCACAGTGAGATGAGCAGTGGCTTACACCAGCCTGCTCACATCTACACTTTTAGACACATTCCTCTCCTTCAATACACCAGAATTACTATTTTGTCAGCATGGCCTAAAGTCCTGCATTTCCCAAACAGCTCACGGTCAACTGATAATATTTAAGGGAAAGGTGAAGCAACATGAGAGGATGAAGCATGACCAACACAAACATCTTGGGAATACACCATCAAGTCATCTCACGACCTTTGACCTCTCAAATGGCACTGTACCTAACTAGACTTTGCTGCCATCAATTGTACAGGAAATTATTTCCTTTAACCACATACCTGTTTTGAAAGCTAGGATTTTGAACTGAAATAAATGATGATACACATTATAACTCGTCATTGTTATTTCCTCATACTGATAAGTTAAATTGTTATAGTAAATAGAATAGTCATATGAGGACTGACCGCATAGTTCTCACACAAATATACCTGAAAATAGACAATAATGCAATCCTAATAAAACTGAAAAATACTTGTTTCATCCTGAGTAGAGGAAAGTTAAATTAAGCAGTGTACATTTTTATATTTACAATGATTTGATAAATCTCCAGTTAGTAAAACAAGATAAATTCCTCTTTTTGATACTTTGACCTCAAATATAAATTATACGGTATGTTTGTTAAGTATGTATTGGTATATGTCATTTGTATTTCTCATATTTACTTCATGACATTCAGTGTATCATATTTCTGTGATCAAATTATAGCTTCCTGTCCCAGCTTCTTGTTGACTCTGGTTAATATTTGTTCACATTGTTAGGTTTACCAAATACACCGTAGCTTTTATTTCTCAGCCCTGGGTAAGATGCGGTGTGATCCTTTGTGCCGGTAGGTGGCGCTCTTACTGGTGACCCTCGGTGTTGCGGTGACGGCGGTGCGGGGAGCGGTAGGTAGAAATCCTGCAGTGTGGCGTCACGCTCGAAAAATGGAGAAAGACTCCACCCACTGCTTATGCTTCCTACACAGAGGCCCACTATTGGCCCCTCCGCGCATTCGTCAGCCACGTCTGCTCGTTGATTGGCTGGCCGGCCTGTCCGTCACCACGCTGTTGAGGGAGTTGACGTAATCTCTTCGGTAAATCAAGGCAATCCATCGATTTCCATTTTCGCTTGTGTGCAGATAGACGTCCGCTTTTCATCCAACGTAACGGGGATAATAACTGGTTGAGGAGACGCTCTTTATTTTCTCAAATCCATCCCGCGGAGGATACCGCTATAATGGGTGTTTTTCACGGAAGTGGACGTACTAGCAGTTCACGTTCGCGCAGTATCTGATTTAAGAAAAAAACATTCAGACGCCCGCAGGCTAACGTTAGTTCTCACCACTGTCCGGTGGTGTTATCGTGGTCAGAGTCTCCAAACTTGTAAGTATGGACGATGAGTTTGTCGATATATTTGTATTCCAAACGATTTTCCTCTACGTAGTTATTACAGTTTAATTCGTGCTGGTCTGCCGTCGCGTGTCTTAACTAATATTAAGCTAATATTAAGTCTACATATGTGTGTCCCTGGCTCGCCTAAGGGCCATTATTCTTGTTTAACGTGCACTAGGTAGGGTGCTAGTTGTTAATAATCTCTGTTTTGTGCTTGGTTGGACTGCTGTTAACACTCTGGAGGTTACTTCAGCCTCGCGCCTGTATCCCCGAAGCTGCTGCTAACATTTTACGTGTCAGTAGCTGATGTGACATTTGTGGTTTTTTAACTTTCCCCGCTGTGGTATTTAACGTCAGATGTTCGTTAGCCTAACCGTATAGGGCGAATACGAACAGAGTGTTCAGTCTCTGGCCAAACCGTGAGCATGTAACTCCTCCTCGCGCGATCCCACAACACGCAGCGGCCGAGGATTAGCCCACTTCCAAACATCGGGGAATTTAATTCTCAAATTCGGGCATTTGAGACCTCTGTGTGCACGGGATGCGCAGGGTCAGATGCAGCAGATAAGCCCGGCCGGCCGCCTCTCTGTAACCCTCACCAGAAAGGGCAGATAGAATTTCATGGGCGTATGCCTCGGCAAGTATGGCTGACTGCAAGGACGTGGAAAAACATGGGATCTTTAGGCTGCGTGGCCACCGGGCGCGGGCTGTTCAGCCTCATCCGGCTGGAAACACATAAGAAAGTTGTTGTTATGATGAAGGAAACTCTAAAACACAATGACCTAATTGTGAAACTATATTTCATATAAGGAAACCCCCCCCCCCCCCTCCCATCACCCATATTTATAGTCAGTTTTTATAGACAAACACAACACCCTACATGTTTTATTAGACTAACAAAGGTGTGATCGGCTGCTTTGTTGACAAAATGTCAAAAGCCTCAGTGTTTCTGGTCGGCCATATTTGTTGTTAGCTGTTCTGGCCGGAAATTGGGAGGCAGCGCACACTTCTGTACATTTGGCGATGCCTTTTTGGTCTGAGAGACGGACGCTGTTGTACGTAATCCGGCTCACTTTGTCTTTTTCCCCATGTAGGAGGGATACACCAGCGGTCTGACTGGGAGTCGGCCCTGTCCTGCAAACATGTCTGGGGCGTCAGTCAAAGTGGCTGTCCGGGTTCGGCCGTTCAACACCAGGGAGACGAGCAAGGACTCCAAATGTATCATTCAGATGCAAGGCAGCACGACAAGTAAGTAGCCTGCCGGCATTCGCGGGAGAGGACCCAGGCAAGCGAAGCCCTACCCCCTGGAGGTGATGGGGTTTGTCTGATGACAGAGGGTCGGTGTGGCACACATCATCCGGCGTGGTCTTCCTTCAGGGGTTTTTAGTAAAGTACAGCAGAATGAGCAAACTGAATAGAGGAGGATTTGCAGCCTGAGAGAGAATAAAAGGCTCACTGACAGAAATTCCTCCTCCCGAGGGGCCTGCGTGCCTGAGAGTCCGGGGTCAGCCCACAGCCTGACCCGCTGACACCCACAGTTCATCAAGGCCTGATCACACAGTTGGTGTTTTATATGGGATGTGTGCATGGCTCCATAGTTTATTATGCCCTTATCTCTTTGTTTACCCAAACACTCTGTGTGGCATTTTTAAAGAGGCAAATAGACATCTATGCACAGAAATAAATCGTTTACATGATTGTGTTTTAAAAATTGGTCATGCAGTGATTTTCCATAGAAATATTATGAATTTTAATGCCAACAATGTTAACAGGGTTTTACAATTTTTTCCTTTAAACAATAACAATAGTAGCTCATAATGTATGGATTCATCCAAAGTTTTGTGATTCAATGATTCAGACCTTAATGGTTTGGTATGGGAAAGGGCCTTTTGGCATTTATGTGGCATTTCTGTGAATTTCTGAAAGGCTCATTAATGACAGAGCAAGAGGAGAAGGGCTGGGCTTGGCTTTTCATCATGTGACCCAATGTGCTTACTTGTGACTTTGAGTCATCAGGTGCAGTATTAGCTGGGATGCAGGTCCCATTTCGACCAGAAGATATGAAGTCCCGACCCCCCCCCCCCCCCCGAAATTAGCATGGTAGCATTTACTGACCCTGTAACAACGCAGCATGTGACACCAGAAAGCTGTTCTTCCAGCAGCCTCTCCCAGTTTCTGCCAGCGGTGTCTGTCAGTTTTATCAGCCTCATTAGACTAAGCCTGTATGAATCTCCCATAAGATCTTGTGTCCCTTACTCGATATGGCCCGCTTGTTCTTTATCTCTCACACCCCGCCGGAGAGAAGCTTTGTCTTAAGTCCCCAGTTCTTTTACTCCATATCCTTGGGTTTTCATTATGCCAATGTCAGTGGAAGGAGCCGGAGGGTGACTCGTGCTTTGTGGCAGAACTGCAGTGGCATATGCAGTGTTTTTTTGGGGGGGTTTAGTCAGCGATCGTGCGAGCGGAGGGAGAGGAGTAGGCTGCAGCAATGCCTACTCTACCTCCTATCACATGGGCAGATTGCAGAGCAGAAAGGGAGGCTGGCAGGCAGCCATGCTCTCCCTTCATCGGGACTTCATTGCAGATGGTACACTGAGAACGCTGTCTTATTAGGATGCTGAGAGCTGGAGGTGGCAAAAACCTATATGGATTCACGTAACTAAGATTATTTAAGACGCAGGAAGGAAATTGATCTTTCTGTCTTCTTCTGCGGTATTTCTCAAATACAGAAAACTTGTGTTTTATTCAGCAACCATTCGTTGTGACGATACCTCGCCTCACGTGTGTCGCCTCCTCGCATTTCTCTGGGTTTTTTTTTGGGGCATATCATGACAATTTTAAGTACTGCCCAGTGGACCTCTCTGTGGTTTCACCAGCTAGTGTCTGCACCCTGTGCTCAACATCAACAGAACCCTCTCATCCCAAACACAGCGTCTGCGGCACGAGTGTTATCTCAGGGGATCTTTGGATCTAGATGGGGCTGAAGGCTGCCGGGCCTGGAGTCGCTCGGTCAGCTCTTAGGTGTTTGGCAGATGTGCGCGTGAGGCCATGACGCTCCCCCTGCTGTGGCTCGCTCAAGGGCGAGCGCACCCGTCTGTGTTTTCATGTGTCAACAGCACAGAGAAAGCAAGCAGCTTTGGGGGCAAGAGCAGGATATGCTGCCCCCCCCCACTTTATTTTGCCCGTCCCTCCACTACACACAGACGCTTGAGAATGACGGGGGGGCAGCAGAGGAGCCGCTAACTGATTACCCAGCGTGCGTGGCCTCCAGCGGCAGACTCCAAAGAGGCAAGGCCTCTCTCAGCAGACATTCCAGAGATAATGTAATTAAAAAGAAGTGACGAGGTAGGCAGCTGCATTGATTTGTGTCGGTGCTTCAGATGCTGAATAACTCCAGCACCTCCGTTCTTCACTTTTGGTCTCTGTCTCATTACACAATGTGTGTGTGTGTGTGAATGTAATGTCCAAAAAAAGAAACTCTGCTCATATAATCACGTCCAGTGTTCAGGATGATGATTCATGGCTCCAAGATATGGTACCATCCCCCCCATTTTAAGTGTAAAGCAAATTTTAATAAAAAAAACTGATGGAGCAGGCTGAATGTCACCACATTGGTTCAACCTTCACCTTTCAGATATGATTGACACAGAGTGTCCTTTCAATAAGAGTCCAGTGGCTGGTGGCCTTAAAAAAGCCCTGCCTGGGGGAATCACCAGAGCAGACCTAACAATGGCCCTGCCCTGTGTGGATGAATTATAAAACATGCTTGTGCCACAAGTGGGGAGCGCTGCTTTGTGTGAGGGACGGCCGTCCCTCCGCTGCCCCTCTTTTGGTTGGACCAATTGACCTGATTAGAACCAATAATCCACCGGCTTGCTTCAGGTCGCCACGCCCTGCTGCCGTAATCCGTCTGACCCTTACGGGTGTAAGAAGAGGATGTTGCTCTCCTCATCGGCTCCAGTTTAGATTGTTTTGGAGCCACATCCGTACGACTCGCAGATCAGACGCACACAGAATTTGAATTACCTGAGTTTCTGCTAAAGAATCACGACTTATTGCTCGGAACTCCGGGTGAGGAGCGAGGTCTTGTGCCGCTGTCCTCTGTCCTGGATGGTCAGATACATGGCAACATTGTTCCTCTGCTTCCCAGACATTTCAAAAGCCTGTCTTGTTTTACGCACTTTACTTTTTCAGAACACCGTGTGCTTCGGTTTGCCTCACTCCCGTCTGCCCCTGCTGCTTTTTCCCATGAGGACGTTTGGTTTAGCGAGCCTTTCATTTTGTGTGGCTTCCTGTCACAGATACATGATGGGGTTCCAGTTATGTGGATCCTGATGGAGACGATGGGTTGTTATTTGGAAACTTCTGCTCAGGTAGTCAGTTTCTTCTAGTGTTACTACGGACCAACCCTCTCAACACATTATTTCTTGGGTCAAACATCACAGACAAAATATTTTAATATTAAAATCCTTATTGTTCCCTTTTCATTTTCTTTCTAATTGGAAAAAAAAAACTCAGACAGTACAGAAAGAGTTTGTTGGTCTGAATCGGATCACGGTTATAGCTCCTTAAATGAGCCATAGCCGTTGAAGCTGGACATCTGGAAAAGCAGTTTCTCCTGAGGCTTTTTCTTCGGTTGTACTGTTCTCCCGTGAGGTAAAGTCACCTTCTGTCTGTCTGTGCTTCTGCTACTTTACGGGCCTGAAAGCAGAGGAATGCGAGCTACCGATGCCGATCCGCCAATCTGGATTTTTTAGTCCCTCCTCCCCCCACCACCTCCATCCAGCTTTTTGGCTGTGTTTGATCACCATGTTTTGTTTTTGTTTTTTGTTTTGTTTTTGGCTCGCTCTTCATTCCAGCCAGTGAATGAGCTCAGTGAAATCCGACAGAGCCTTTTGTAAAAAAAACTGGGATATGGGAGGAGGCTGGAGGGGGAGGGGGAGGGGGCGCAAAGGCTGCCACGGCAGCAGAGACGATGAAAGACGCGCACGAGCACTAGTCACGTGTAGGGAAGCGTGAAGCAGCATCACACGCGGCCGCCCAGCTGAAATGAAGCTGGAGGGGACGGAATATACGTCCATTCCTCAGAGATCTGCTCAAAACCCTGAGAGCCAGACCCCCCATAGTTGTGCATCTGTCAGTGTGCGCGTAAGGTCATTGTTCAGAGCTCCTTCCTTCCTCCCTTCAGCTGATGATCTGGTCAGCCTGTGAGTCCTCAGGCGGACTCGGGGACGCTGATCACCGCTCGGTGGTGCAGACACATCGTCACCCCCTCTGTTCCCTCTGTTCCCCTTATCACCGATGATAGGCCTGCATGACTCCGGCCGTGGGTCTGGACTTGTCTCCCTGATGACATCACATGATGGACGAGAGTGTAAACAGGAAGGCCCGGGCTCAGAGCTGTGCGCACATGAGGGAGGCAGCACGGTCCTCGGGCCTCCGCCGCAGCCCCTCTCGCATCGGACTTGCTAATGGATGTTAAACTCTCGCACAGGCCTACGAGGCTGGATATGGATTTATGTCCTAATGAATTTACAGCAGAGCGCGATGCGTCGTACAGGCGGTTTAATACCAGCTTCTCCTCTCCAGCAGCAGATGTTGAGGTTGTCGCCACAGCAGCCCACATCCACTCGCCCCCAGACTCCACGATGAAAGCGGGGGGGGGGCCGAAAAGCAGATAATGGCACGTTTGTTTTCATGTTTCCACTGTTCTGGCCCGGCCCCTCTTACCTACTCTCGGTTGGCTGCCTAAGTCGGGTTAAATGGCTGGACTTTCCCACATTCAGCAGCGTGAAGTTCATGTGCCCTCACTGACACCGCTCTCTTTCCAGACTGTATTGTTCGATTTCCTCCCACAGTCTGCGGACTGCATTCAGACGCAAACTCACAGGCTTTGCAGTCGGGGCACGGGCAGCTCGCTGGAGGCACGATGCAAATTTTGTGTTATTCATGGGTGAAAAAAAACGGAAAAGTAGAGAGACAGGCAGTGTAGTATTTTTAAAAGCCAACTGGTCCAGCGGAGGTGCCCGCTGGTCAGGGTGGCTATTAGAATCCCGAGCTGCTTCAAAATGGAGCTGTCTGATTCTGCCGTTTAAATACCGTGAAGCTAATTGAGATCAGTAGAGCATGCTCACACACTTGTAAATACCAGCCCACGCACGCACATTCACACGCTTTCAGGCTCATTGCTGTTTTCCAAAGAGAAGACTCCAAGGACGGGGACAAAAGGTGCTAGAAGTTTGAATTTAACTGGAGGCATGAGTCAGTGCTTCCCTCCACTGTTCCCTGGTTTCACATTCAAAACAAGGGGTGCAAATCAAAAGATTTGCCTGTGGAAATCGGCACACAGACCGATTTCCACTTGTCTGTGTGCCCACACTGTGTCCGTGATGTCATGATTACATAAAGCCAGAAAGCATTTAAAGTGAGTTACTGAGTGGAGGCCAGTTGAAGAAATCCAGGTCACTGCTCTGTAAAATGGGTGCCTGTTGTGTGCAGTGAATGCAAGGGCCTCTTGTGTTTTTCCCCTGTCTGCACATAAGGCCTTACACTGGCGCTCCCACTCATTCAGGCTGCCTGGACAGTATCACAATCCGCATGCTGTTTCAGACAAATTGGAGATCCGGAACATGTGTTTACCTCCTCATGAATTACACCATGGCCAAAGCCTCTTCGGTTTAATGACCCTCGCTGCTTTACCAGCAATGCTCACGTTCCCCAGTCGCATCTGTTTAGGAACTTCTTTTGTTTGAATCTCTTTGTTTCTTCATGCAGCACATGCAGGCCCGCTTCCCCGCAGCTTCCCCAGCAGGCCTGCTCAGGAAATGCTCAGCTGCCAGTGGACGAAGCGCTATTTTGGAACGGTTTTTGAACCACAGTTGCCTAAAATTAAGGCGCTGCCACTGCAGATTTTTCATGACACAGGATGTGTTGGAAAAGACCTCCGACCTATGGGGCAGCACCTGTGAGGAGACTCGCAGGCTCCGATCCATCACGTCTTGGAGCTGTGCATTTAGCTAAAGACCCCGATGTCTTATTTTTTTATTTTAATGTGAACAGTGAGGAGTTGATGACAAACTCATCTGAAACCTGACGTTTAAGCTCTGACATTGTGTCTGCGCTGTGTGGCGTGTGGGTTTAACCCCTCGTGTCATCACCTGAGCGGCCGCCTAGCATCCCTCTCTTTGTGGGGCTTCCGTTTGTTTAGCGTCTGAATGGGCTCCTGCTGGCCTTGCATGTTTTCCCCGTCCAGTGGCTTCTAGAAACTTCTCTGCGGTCTATTATTCCGCACTCTGCGCGTGAGTCACACAGAGGTTGCCCGTATCAACGGGGCTTGCAGGCCCGAGATGGGTATCAGGGCCCTGGAGCTGGGGGCAGCGCACGGTTTGGCTCCGGGAGTTCAGCGGAAAGATTGGGGCGGCTGAAATCTGTCCATTCCTTCCTGTCACTGACAGTCTGTCGGCATGCAAAGCACTAGCTGCCATCTGCTGCTGTATAAATAGACAGTAGAACAGAGCTGGAACAGCTGGCACATGGACCAAGACTCTGACCTCTGTTACTGCTTTCTAGCTTAACAGGTAACATGTAAATGTCACGTTTTCCTTTTTTTTCCAACCAGAAAAATACTCAATGTAATAATTAAGAGCAAATGCATGATTTTATAGTCCTGATTAAACAAATTTCTCTCTTTTGTTTCTGGGGTCTTACACATATTTTGTGTCTGTTTGTTCTGAATTAAACATGTTCTTAGGTGTCCCACTGTTTTTAATGTGTAATTTTTATTTTTGCACACCTCAGTCGTGTTCTGACAAAAACACCAAAGGTATATCCCCCCCCCCCCAATGTGTGTCCGTTTCTTCTATGAAGAGATGGAAGGGAAGGCAGTGTCTAAAGGGTCATTGAGTAAATAAAGCCTTATCACAACAGTGTACCTAATGTTTTGTGCAGGCTCTGTGGTCAGCTGAGATTCCCTCCATTCAGCACTTTGTTCTGGCATCTGTGCTTTTTCCCCCTCTTCCGTCTGCCCAGAGGAAGAGGGGAAACGGACTTGGTCAGCCATCTGCGTAGAGTGGGGTGTTAAGTTGTTTTGAACTAATTACCTTCCCTTACACTTCCAGTAATACCTCTGATGAGAACACTTAGATAAAGTCATCTGTTTGCCCGGACAGTTCCGGGATTCGTGCCTGGAAAACTGGACGGATTGTCATTGAATTAAAGCCCACATGACATCTTTCTCACCACACCGATCCAGTCCGGCCACTGAGGCCGCACGCATGAATTTTGTTTTGGAGATGTTTTGCACGCTGTGTTGTGGTTGCAGCAAGCTCAGCTGTTTGTCCAACGCGCCCAGCAGTGCTCCGAGGCTACTTTTAGCCCACGGCTTTAGAGCCCCGTCCAGCGATAACTCTTTCACCTGTGCTGCAGCCCCGGTAACCGAGCCATCACACACACTGTGCCAAACAAACCCCAAAACGCCCCCAGCATTTCTGTTGCCCCCCCCATCCCACCCCTTACGGTCTGTGTGCTGTCTGTTTAAGGCAGAGCGGCGCTGTTAGCCCCATTCTGGCAGTTGGCTCATGTCAGCAGCGGCTCTGCTTCACCACTCATGCAAAAACTCTGACCCAGGTGGGCGGAAACGAAGCTGTGTGTCGACAGAGCAACGGCCATGTTGGTACAGGCGCCGGTGGAAAGCAGCTCTCAGGCCCCATGCAGCTAGTGAGCGTTAAATGATCAGCCATCGTCAGCTATCTTCGAGAGAGGAGCGATTGTTCAGCTGCTCGGCTGACCGGTACATCTCTCACACCTGCAGTGAAGCTGCACTGATCACTCCCTCACGACCTTGATCAAAAGCTATTAATTATTTAAGTGACTATTTATGGGCATCTTTGAACTTGCTGACAGAGTGCAGAGATTTTCGAACGGAGCAAAAAGATCCAATGAATTACTGTGGTCTACATTGGCTGACTAATGTTTAATACAGAAGAGAGAGGAACGCTCGAAAGTAAACCAAGAAGAAGGATTATTACGCTGAATTTGTTTAGCCGTGTCTTCAGGCAACAGTTTGCAGATTAAATTTGCATACACTAAAAAGCTCAAACTGCTTCTTACTGTTTCAAACAATTCTTAGAAATTGAATTTGAAAAAAGCTTTGTGTGAGAGATTAGGGAAATGATCCTGGATTTGTTTGGAATGAACAACAGTTATGTGACACATCTCTGAGGTGTGGGTCACACCGCTGGCTGCAGGCAGAAAGAGGTGGAAATGCCATCAGAACCCATCAGTGTTGCTGAACGGCGCTCACGTGGAGCTGTGTGTTCCTTCAGCAGCGCCTCCATTTGTTGACCTTCCAACGTTTCACACATAGATTTTTCTTAATGCGTTTATCCTCATCTTGTGATCCGAAATAGACATCGATCAGTTCGAGAGAAAAGCTAACTGGTCCTTTGATGGATGCTGAAAGAGAGAGGCTGACAGGCTCCGCCATTTTAGGCTCTGATTGTCCGCTGGTCTCAGGTGAAAGCGGATGGCTTTTAGTCCTCATCTGCTGCTCGGGGACCCCCCTAACAGCCTAATTATGAAGGGGTGTTTTCCCCTTTCCTGCTTGGATTATAGGCCCCATGTTGACTACTGTGGAGGGAAATGTCTGCCAGCTATGAGCAGCTGAGTGATGTTCTTTAGATGGCAGGATGTGGTTGGTTAACTCCAATCCACCTGGCTTTGAAATGGAGAACTCCCGTGGAGTGCTGGCAAACCCGTTGGCTTCATATTCTTTGCAAGGGGATCTGAAAATGCAGAGCAGTTACGTTTTTGGACATGAACATGGGAGCCGCCCTTTTTTGCCAGCGGGTTGCGTGTCCGCACAGAGCACGAGTGCATTTCTCTGTCCTGAGAGCATCGTGTCTCCTCAGCCTGACGATGGCCAGACGATGACTCATCATCTGACCTTGTGCCCATCCCTTGTGTAGAGCCATCAGAATTTTGTGTTTAAAGCTGAATTTTTCAGCATTATTTCATTCAGTTGTTTTCCCTTAAATTTTCCGTTTTCTAAATAAAAAACAAAAAGCAACAGTTTTTTTTAAAGGTGCTTAAGATGCCGACATCAATGGGCTTGGTGACGTGTCTGAACACCACAGAGAGCCTCCTACACATTTCATAGTCATCAAACCAACCGAAGCCTGAAATAAGTATTTGACGTTCGACTGTAACTGTGTTTAAAAAAACAACAAAAAAAACACTGATTTCAGGCAGCTAATTTCAAGAAAAGCTTTGATAAGGAATGTTTGAGGGGCGAGAGAGAACGCAGCGTGCCGCATCCTCCCCTTCTGTGCCAAGTTGAAGTTGTTATGGCAACCGGAGCCTGGTCTTATACCTGTTGCCATGGTTGAGGAAGACAAATTGATGACGTTGTTTATGAGGCAGCAGAATGTGTCTTCCATTTAAAGTGAGGGTTGGAATATTTACTATTAGTGGATCTCAGATGGAGTGAACACCTGCTCTGATTGCATGTTCACGCACATCCAAGCGCGCCTCTCTTTAACAGGCTCTTAAATGACAGAGCCACTCTTCTGACGCACTAATAAGACTGTATGGGCGAAGCAGCTATTTGTTCTGAGTGGGCCTATGAATGAAACGCTCATGCCACATGAGCACGATTCACCTTTTAGAGCCGAGCGGCGTTCAGGTAGCTGCCGCGTTTGACACCTTTTAAAGATAAAACAAAAAAAAAGACTCCGCTCTGGTCCCCGAAAGGCACCGTGGGGAACATGACTGACAGGACGGCAGAAAGCTCACATCACGCTTGGCTTTGTTGGGACACACACCTGCGGTGGCCTCTAACTCTGCTCTGTCACCGTCAGTCTGCCGACGGCGTGCCCCACGTGTGCTGCCATCTTTCTGTTTTTTACTTCTGCGTGGTCGCACTGACGGGGAATCAGAGTTCATTCTGCCTCTAAATTAAGAGCCACTGTAGATTGTTCCAGTGAAAGGGTAATAAGGACGTCGGTAACCTAAACCTCCCTTCATTTCTTCATGCCCTTTCTCTAATTTCCCTTTGGAAGCAGGTCAGGGGTGAAAATGGGCTTTATTTAGCCACCTTTCTCGCTGTATCCTCTTCCAGTGCCCAATATGGAAGCCGCCTCTGCGCACCTTAACCTGAAGATTGTAGACAGCCAAAGAAAAAAAAGAAAGAAGTGTCGGTTTTACTCGTGCCCGGTTGTTACTTTTGCGGTTGCAATAACCATCGCACGCTCCGGAGCGGAGCTGTCAGCGAGCTGCTTTCTGAGGACATGCTGTGCCTTTCTGTCAGCAGGATGTGACCCATGGAGGGCGATATGCAATCCCTGTCTCTCCACTTCCCTTGCATTATTGATAAGTGCACTGAAATCCTCTCAGCACATAAGGCACTCTGCTGGCGACATCTTGATGCAAAAGCCTCTGGAGCACCCTCGTGTTGAGGGGCCGGAGCCGGCTTTAATTTGCCCATTAACCAAGCGCAGGATTTGCTTGAAAAAAGGCTGTTACTGCCTCGTTGTTGGCCCCGCAGACTTGCTTAAAAAGAGTGAAAATGCTTTATATGCCTAACATACACAGCTTGCCCCTGCTTGGCTGACTTTTTAAGCCTCCTTTTCACTCCTCCTCTCCCTACCTGCCTGTTTCTAACCGGTCCGACTTCAACCGTGATTTAAGACACCGTCTGTTATGGCTGCAAATATCTTACAGTGAATTAGCGTCACGCTCTTCCCCTCTCACATATCCGGTGCGCAGTCTTAGAGCTGGTACACTTGTCCCAGGGGGCACGGACCAGCGTGGTTGAGGGGGATGGCATACCAGGCGTGGTAGCAGATTCTTTCTCATTATGAAATGTGTGTGGCCGTGGCTTTGAAACACTGTGTCAGCAGACGCTGTTCAACAGGTGAAATGTCGCAGCAGAAAGTGGGCTGTGTTTTGTTCCCCCCGAACTTTGTTAACAAAATGTGATTTTAGCTTTAAAGGCTGAATAGATGCAGAGGGGATGGGATTTGTTTGGTTCATGAAACAAAAAACAAAAAAACAGTTCCATTGTGTCACTGATTCATGTGACTTTCAGTTCCAAATATATCACCATTAGCTCTGCGTTTGAGGAACCAGAGCCACCATTGCACAACCTGCGTTTAGTGAATGTCTGATGGCTCTCTTTTTTTCTTTGTTAAAGTTTTAAATATTGAATATTTCGGCCTTTTAAAAAGCAATATAAGTGCATGTAACTGACTATTGCAGAGTTTTGCATAGGCCTGAATTTAGTGCTTGTTCCTTATACCTGATGAAGACGCACAGTTGCGGTGAAAAACTAACAAATAAATAAAATGTACTTTCTGGGTCATCTTTATTTGTGAGAAGAGGGAAATGATTTTACTGTAGTCCACTAATACAGCAAAGGACATTACTAACTAACTTATGTGCCACGTAGCATTGAAATGACATTGTTGACTCACATTAAAGTATGTTAATGACATTGCTGCTTGTCCACAGCTATCCTCAACCCCAAAGCCCCAAAGGAACCAGCAAAGACCTTCAGTTTTGATTATTCCTACTGGTCCCACACCACAGTGAGTTTCACCATGTTCTCTGTTCAGCATAATGACCTAAAACTCTCCAACAGGGTACATCGTGTATTTTCAGGTTGTACATTTTGAAGTATCCTTTTCTTGCCTCACAGCCAGAAGACCCCAGCTTTGCATCACAGAATCGTGTGTACAATGACATCGGCAAGGAAATGCTGGAGCATGCCTTTGAAGGTTATAACGTCTGCATCTTCGCCTACGGCCAGACTGGAGCTGGCAAATCCTACACTATGATGGGCAAGCAGGAGGAAGGACAGGAAGGAATCATTCCCATGGTTCGTATGATAGACCCTTTTCAAATTTCCAGACAGCCTTCAGCTACTTCGCAGATGCAACCTCTTTAGAACACCCACCTTTTTCCTGATTTTACAATCATTCTTTTTGGTTATATATGCTATTGATCAACCTCTGTAAGGCTGCATCTTAATTTAAGAGAATCAATCTTTTCAAGCTGGTACGGAGATGGAAACATGTCTCTGATACTCGTGAGGTCATTTAACTGAGTTGAGCTTTTTTATATACTGTGTTAGCCCTTGTAGCTGTTTATCAGATTTTCTTATTTGGAGAAAATGTTTTTTTATTGATTGTCTTGTTTTCCTTGGTTCTTTTTAAATTCTTTTTCTTGCCTTCCAACATGCCATTAATTTAGTCTAAATTATCTCTCTGCCTTTCAGCTGTGTGAAGATTTATTTGAGAAAATCAATGAAGACAGCAACAAAGAGGAGCTCTCCTACTCTGTGGAGGTGCGTTCTGGAGAGATTTCTGGGTCTCTCATCCCTGTTGTCCAACCCTGACACCTGATTATTGGATGAGGCACCGCTCGTCCTCTCCTTACAATCAGACCTTGAAAACACTGGGCTTTGTTTGGACACATGCAGTTAGCTTACACTCAAAGTACAGTGCCATTTCATGTGAGAGCGGGGTGTTGGAAATTACAGATATATTGCTATAGAGCCATGTGTGTGTGCACAATCTAGAGTTTCATGAAGAGACCCTCAAACCTGACCTCAGGTTACTTTAGGCATGTATGTTTCTGAGGCAACTGAACAGACGCTGTCCCTCTGGAAACCGTTTCTAGGTTAGTTACATGGAGATCTACTGCGAACGGGTGCGAGATTTGCTCAATCCCAAGAACAAAGGCAACCTACGAGTGCGAGAGCATCCGCTGCTGGGTCCCTACGTGGAGGATCTTTCCAAGCTGGCGGTCACCTCCTACACAGACATCGCTGATTTAATGGATGCCGGCAACAAGGCCAGGTGAGCCAAGCTCTGGGACTGGGATGTGATCACTTTTCCCAGGGATGCTGAAACCCACATGAGTTTTAGGCTGCTTTAAAACAGATGAGGATGTTCAGGATCATCACATATGAACATTGAATGAGTAACTCGGCACAGCAGATGCTTCCTAGTGTCTTCTAGCTTTTTATGGATGGCGAGTGAAGCCATCTATAAAAATCTGATCTGACTAACTTGCCTCCCTCATAGAAATAATTGCATGTATTGAATACATCTGAAAGAAATAAGTGCTTGCTATTTTTTTAATATCATGCATCTGTGTGTATGTTTAACTAAGTGTGTCATGAGCCCTCCTGTGGGGAGGAGTGAACAGGTTTAATCTTTCTGTGCTGACTCAGAGGGCTTATTTCTAGAACGTGGCGTGTAAAGCCCGTAACTCCCCTGTGGCCATTCTTCCGAGTGCGCCTTGTGCCTTTCTGTTTGGTGTCCTCACCGTATTATCTTCCTCCGCTGCACAAAGTAATCCCCTGACTCAATTCACTCTAAAAGGTGTAAAAACCCAGCGGCAATGGCACTTGTAAGAGCCAAGACCAACCAATTCGGGGTCAGTCATTGTGACTAACTCAGCAGGAGAAGAATATAGAAAAAAATACACAACCTTATGATTTTGTGTTCTAACTAACTCTTGTGTGCTAACCTGCAGAACTGTGGCTGCCACCAACATGAATGAGACCAGCAGCAGGTCCCACGCAGTTTTCACCATCGTCTTCACACAGAAGAAACACGACAGCGAGACAGACCTCTCCACAGAAAAGGTCAGCCAGCATCACATCCACGCCATGTCAGATTGAAGGCCTAGCTGACCTGCTGCAAGGAATGCATATGTTTATTTTATTTTTAGAATTGTGTTGAGGGCTTTTCTTCTCCCAGATGAGCGTTCCTTTAATTTCTTATTTTTATTTTGCTACTCTGGGGACTGAAACGTCATCAGAACTCACGCTCACTCTGCAGACAAAAACTCGCTCTGTTCAAACACGGGCTCTCAGACGTCACACAGGCTTTTTTGTAAAGAAGGGCCGCGAGATATGTGGTCGTCCCGATTTGGACATTAGCAGTTTAACATGCAGCTTCTAAGAGTTTTGCTCTTTTGAATGTGTGCAAATGTCTTCATCCAGCTTTTAGTGAGGAAGTGGGGAAAAGGGGGGAAAAATCAATTTTAGATTTGGCCTTCTGCACTTCCTCTGACTGTGGAGGCACAAAGACCCCTGTGTTATTTTAAAGACAATACCCATTGTATCGAACCACTCTATCAGATTTTACTGCCACGTTGCAGTTTACTGGTCACAAATGTTCAGATTGGGGGGAGATTTGCACTTGTTTACAGATATTTTGAGTTTGTTTTACTATTTCAAAGCATTTTTTGCTCTGGATATGCTTAATCTTAGAGAGATTCCCTCTCTTTAATTCAGCTTTATTAAAATCTAGTCAAGTTTGACCAAAAATCAATTTTTGATTCAAAGCTTCTCAGTAAAGTGAAGAAGTGCTACACAGCCTTGTCCGTGACCACTGTGACACTTACAGCTAACCAAGTTTGCTCAATAAAATGCTCTCATTATCAAATTATTAAACATAAAATATAAAGGAAATGGCATTATCCTGAAAGAATCCATTTCTCTCCCTGAACAAAGAACACTAAATGAAAGGGTCATTTATCGACAGCTGTTTTGACTCTGTGGAATTTTGTCTTCATTTCGCCCACATTTCTGAAATCTGTTTGTTCCATGGAATAAACAGACAAGCCTCATAAATCCTACGTGAACCATTTTGTGCCCCTTTAGTTCAAGCGTGTATTATTTATACGGCTGATGCAGCTAACACGCTTGCTCGCTCCCTCCCTCCAGGTCAGTAAAATTAGTCTGGTAGACTTGGCAGGAAGTGAACGTGCTGATTCCACTGGAGCTAAAGGCACCAGGCTAAAGGTAAGAGTCACATCTTCAGTAATGCCTTTAAACAACATTTATAGACAGTTGGCTAATATCTGGATGGCTGTGTAATGATCTGTTTTCTTTGTATTTGTAGGAGGGAGCGAACATCAACAAGTCTCTCACCACATTAGGAAAGGTTATCTCTGCTTTAGCTGAAGTGGTGAGCATTTTATGTGGTCTCTTTTTCTCATCCTTTACAGTTTGTCTCTTTCCATCCACTCTTTCCTCTGAAGGACTTGATATTTGTAGCCTGGCATGCTGTAATGTCTGCCCCTCTGTTTTCTCCTCTCTTTTCCTCGTAATGTCTGCTTACACAGGATAACTGTACCAGCAAGGTAAACCCTTTGACAGCTCAAGCACTAACCTCTAATTCATCCCATGAGACGGATTTGACAGATTTTTTTTGCTTCGCGCGGCATAAAAGTGCTTTCTCACCTGAAGTGCTCTTGGGCACCATTATCTCCACAATCATTGGCCTCTGCTCATTTAAAGAGAGCTTTGACATTTTTCACCCTCCATATTGAAATGTTAACACTTAGATAATTTTTTTCCCCTCCTGCCGAATATTAACGTTGTTTTTTTTTTTTTATTCAGAGCAAGAAAAAGAAAAAGACTGACTTCATCCCCTACAGAGACTCAGTCCTGACCTGGCTGCTGAGGGAGAACCTCGGTATGAACATTAGTGTAAACTCGATAAATAACCGTCACTGGTGGAATTTATATCTGTTAGCTGTTTAATGAAATCTCCAATGTCTGCACAGCAAGACATGCTTAGCCATTTGTATAATGGAATAAGATGGAGGGGGTGAAAAAAAAATGACTGGAGCTAGTGTACATTACTCTCTACCAGTTTAAGAAGAACGCTGTCAGCAGGCTGTATTTCACCATAACTACAAATGGACACTCCTCCCTTATATGGAGAGAGGTGCAGTGTGTCTTCACATGTAGTGGAAGCCCAGACTCATAATGTAATATTTCAGTTTTTAGTTGATTTAAGTTTGAAACTTGTTTGATTTTGAAGTAAACCATACCTTCTTCTGATTTACATTACGTCTCATTAGTGACATCTCCACTAATCTGTTGTCATTAGGTGGAAACTCCAGAACGGCCATGGTCGCTGCCCTCAGTCCGGCAGATATTAACTACGATGAAACCCTCAGCACACTGCGGTAAGCTTTCTGTTGTGGGTCAAAATGGCCGACTCGCAAAACAATTAAATGGTTTTTAAGCAAACATTTTCAAAACTATCAACTTTCCATCAACATCATTTTGTAGCTATGCTGACCGGGCCAAGAACATCAAATGCAACGCCGTCATCAATGAGGATCCCAACAATAAGTTGGTGCGCGACCTGAAGGACGAAGTGGCTCGACTGAAGGAGCTGCTCCGTGCTCAGGGCCTGGGAGACATCCTGGACAGTGAGTGTAATGCCACCGCACGGCTTCTACTCTCGGCCGGGTTCTACCACAAGCTGGCAACATCTTCTATCTTCATTACCGTCTCATAGCCGTCAGCCACCTCAGTTTGTTTTCATTACAGGGCCCCTTCTTGTCCATGGTACAATCGGAAATTCTTGTCTTCCTTATGATATCTCCTTGTAAATACAATATGTAAATTTCTATCCTTTTTTGTTGAACACAAAACTAAACAAAGAGAACACAACTCTTCTTGCAACATTTAATGAAAATGTGTTCAGTCATTTGTAGCTGATTGTGACTGACAACACAAAGTTAAAGTTACATTAGATATCACACACCATTTGTTGTACACAAGAGTAATGGCTCATAGCCTTGTCAATTAGAGACATAATATCCCCATTAATAAGTTCTAATAGCTGAAGTGATTAATAACCTGCCAACTTGCTGATGGCTGCTTGGATGATGTGTAATGACATGGCACTTAACCAGTCAGTCCATGGCATTTGTTCTCATCCTTGTCATAGTTTCCATCCAGTTTTTCTAAGAGCTCTCGGTAACCTTTGCCTCTCATTCCGCTGGTGCTGACTTCTGACCCTTCTCATCTTTTCCTGCCTCCCCTCAGTTGATCCTCTGGGAGATGATTGCCCAGGAAGTGGAATCAAATGTGTGTATCTGTGTGCCAGTGATGCATTGTATATTGCCATTTTGCCCTATTTATACTGGCTAACACCCGTTTATCAAAGCGGCTGCCGGCTTTGCATGTAAATGCTTTTTAAAGAAAGCAAACTTAGAAACGCGAGGCTTCTGCAGCAGGGCTGGTTTGGCAGGGTTAGCATGCCACTAGGTCAGCATGCCGTGCTTGCTTTTTAATTATGGGGGTGAGGCAGCTATTTTCAGGCCCAGATCCAATTATTTTACTGGCAAATTTTAGAATTTCCCTTTTAGAAACATCATTCAGAGTAGTGTGTTCGTCTTCCCCACCCCCAACGCAAATGCATCGTTTTATGACCTTTTCTCATCTTCTGTCCCTCACTCTTTCTGACGCTTCCTTTGCTGCCATTGGCTCGTGCTGCTTTTTATTGTGTTTTCTTTCACTAATCATCCACTACAGGTGACAGTGCTCAAAGCTTTAGAATCCCACTGCTGAGTCCTCAAAGTGAGGCTCAGAGCTGCAAACGGAAAGGTGCATAATTTTTTATTTCTAAGTAGCCACACCAGAGGTGTGCATGTATACAGAGTTGGCTAGCTGAGTGTGCTTTAATAGTTTCTGGTGAATAGTTTGGTAGTGTGCTGTATTCCTAAACCTTCCTAACACATCTGCCTTTTTGTCCTCTAACAATGCTTGGGGGGGTGATTGGTATCACCACTGTTGGAGGATGTTCTTTCATAGGTTTAAAATAAAAAAATCAATCACAGACGTGACAAAAAAGATTACTTTAATAGATAAACGTCATGCATTTATGAAACATAACTAAAACAAAATAGATTTGAACAATATTCAAATATGCTAATTACCTTACAAGCTGCTGTGGGAAACATGGCCCCAACAAAAGAGCTGGCAGTGGAAACGATGGAAGAACTCACAAGTATTTAACTAAGAAAACTAACTTTTTGTCCCAGGATGGGACTCTTAAAAACCCATACAATGGGCCGAGGAATTTTTAGGAACATTTTTAAAAGTGTGTTTTACAAATACAAAGTCTTCAAATTGTTTTATGCCACATTTGTGATAAAAACATTTTTAAAAAGACATTTGGAAGAAAAACCCTGAGTGCGCATACTTCAGAAGTGGTGATTTTCTACAGTTAAAGCTGGAGGTGTATGCTAATAATTTTGGCGCTTGGTCTGAAACTTTCAGGTGTGTCTTTCTCTTTGGAATTTGTAGATTAAAGGCAGCTTTGCCATTGAATTGTGTTGTTCTTAAGTTGAATCACTTTTGCTTTGGGTGTGTTTCCCAAAATAAAGAAAGAGCCCGTATCTTCTAAAAGCCCTTAGTCCCTAAGGATTCGTCCTGCTCTTGTCTGATGAAATTGTCGGCTCTCCGATGGCACATTGTGCGTTAACCTAGACGTCCAGGGAGCCGCTGTGTTGACGCAAGCCGCCGGACCTTTGAGTGAGGCTGCAGTGGCTTTGTTTTTAGTGCGAGTGTCTGCGAGTGCATGTCAGCAGTGACTCAATCCACTCAACCACGGGTTGAACTTTGGCAGCATGTGTCTGTTACTCTCCTCTCTTCATCTCCCTCCCATCCCGAAGTTGATAATCTGATAGCAGTTTTCACACCGAGTGTTGTTTTTTTAAAAACTCTAAACTAAGAGCTGTGAGCGTATTGCTCCAGTCTCTAATTCTGACCCTTACAAAATTCAGAAACAAGAAAACTCTCAGTAGATTTGTTTTCTGCCCTTGTAAGGAGCGGAGTCAGACTGTTAAAGCTGCTGGAGTGAAAACTGCTGCCCTCTGTAGCAGAGCATCATGCTGAATGTGTGTCTTAACCCTTTAACTTACAATGTATGTCTTACATGGGTCTCTCCTCCCCTTTTGTCTTTTCTCTTTCCCTTCTCTCTCCTCTCTTCCTATTTGGTTCCTCCATTTTATATGTTTATTCCCTCTATCCCATATCCTTTGTCTCCCCCACCTCCCTCTCTGTTGTTCTCCTCTTTCTTTCTCTCCCATTGTTGGCTTAGACCTCAAAGACATTCAGAACAATAAGCATAGATACTTGATAGCCTCAGAGAACCAACGCCCTGGCCATTTCTCCACAGCCCCTATTGGTTCCCTGACAGCGTCTCCATCCTCTGGCACTCTGAGCAGCCAGGGGGGCCTGCAGTCTGTCACAAGCATCCAGGAGCGAATCATGTCCACCCCTGGAGGCGAGGAGGCCATCGAAAGACTCAAGGTATGGTACACGGTGCCAAATGCAGAGCTCCTGTTCCTGCATTAGTGAAAAGCAAAGGAGAGTCTCGCAGCTCTCTTCCCACCCTTTTATTCACCTTTAGAATTCACCAGAGATGCAAAAACGTTTGACCTTTTATGGCCTCTCAGTCCTATTAGCAATGAATCCTGAACAGAAATGCAGATTTTGTCAATCTTTAATAAAAACAACATGTCAAACTGAACTTAAGCACGATCCATGCCTGATTAAAGCATCAAAACAGAATCTTTACATAGTATCTAACGTCATAATATAATAATAATCAGAATCTATCAACTCTATATTGAAGTAAGCGAGGCGATTATTTTATAATCGCTTAAAAAGTCTTTGAATTGGTAAATAAATGAGTGAAAAATGAAAAAACTTCACACAGTGATAATCGAAAAGCTCCAAGACCCCCGGCAGTGTATGCAGTTAAGTTCATTCGGTGTCGGCGTGGCTCTTTTTAATTTGACAAATTTGTTAGGCGTCTCGGTCCACATGTGGTCTCAGAGCTTTAAATCTGCCTTGCTCTCAGTGCGCACTCTCCGTCTGTAGATGAGGCAGCACACAGGACTGAAACGCCCTGCCACGAGGAGCTGCAGTTTCCATAGCAACCACGGTTCCCGGTCTGTCCGTCATCCCAATGACGTCAAGCGCCAACGCAAATACGAAGGAAATTAGACAAAAATAGATCCGAGCCTTATTGGCTTTCAGCGTCTCAATTTAAAGGTGTCGCTATTTCAGTGACCTGGAAGCAATGAAGGCTGACCTTTAATTCCCCCTATAAAGATGAAACTGTCCGTAGACCGCTTTTTATCTTTCTTTTGGTAAATTCTGCCTCATTAAATATTTACAGCTCAGCACGTCATTAAATAGATCAATATTCAGAGCAAGCAAAAGCCCTCTCTGCTTTTGAAAGATAAGGCTCAGACGCAGTTTTGTGTGCTCACAGGAGAGAAGAGCCTTCTGACAAAGTCGTTTTGTGCGTGTTTAAACGGTGTCTCAAGCGAATTAGAAAACCGATTTGTCGCTCACATAAAATAATCAGTCTGTTAGAGAGCTGAGTTTGTAGCCACCAGACACAGCAGGTGGCCACAGATGCATTCCACTTGGTTTGATTTATTTATTCCTATTTTGCCTTTTGTGCTCAGGAGTCAGAAAAGATCATTGCAGAGCTCAATGAAACCTGGGAGGAGAAACTGCGGAAGACAGAAGCGATCCGCATGGAGAGGTCAGTTTGATCATCTACATCTGTGTCGGGGTGTGTGTGTGAGTGTGTGTATGTGTGTGTCCTCCGTGTGCGTCCATCCCTCCAGTCTTAATTGGGATTTATGGTCTGTCTGAACTGCACGTCAGATGGTCTGAAAGCACTGGAGAACTCCCCCCTCCCCACCTTTGTGACGTCAAAGCTGGAGTCTGCGTTGCCCGTTGTGCACCGCGCTCCAGACCAGACAGTCGGTCATTCACAGGAAAACTCACGCTGTGGTCGTCCAGCTGTGAGAGGCATTGTGCCTCTCTTTTCCTCCCATCTCTCATTTCATTATTTCTATTCTGTGAGAAGCTTCTACTCTCTGTGCCCTTTGGAGAAATCTAAAGGAAAATTAGCGCAGTACAGGATGTTTTCCTGTGTGGGCGCTAGCTGCCAACCCCTTCGTTAGCAGCACGGTCAGAGAGCAGGTCTTAAGAGGAGCTTGGACTTGCTACGATATAGCTTTTGAAAAATTATTTTTGTCACTATCTTTTCTGTCTCTCCCTTTTCCCCTATCTGTCTCCTCTGCACCCATTCTGTCCATTTCCTTTGGCTTCTAAGTCGTCTCACACTGCTGCACAAACACCCCGTCACACCCTTTCTCCCCCTTCTCTCACTCATCTGTGGCTGCAGACATCAGCCCTGTTACTTTTTGTCCGCTGATTCAGACCGTAAATCACCTCCATACCATTGATTTAAATGCCCGTTCGCTTTTTGTTAAACAAGCAAATGTGTCTCTGTTATCGAGTCCAACTAAACATATGTGAAATCGAGAGTAAAGACCTGTGTAGATATGAAATAGCGGTCCTGATTGCCCATATCTTTTGCCTGGTTGCAGGGAGGCTCTGCTTGCAGAGATGGGTGTGGCGATCCGTGAAGATGGAGGCACGTTGGGAGTGTTCTCTCCCAAAAAGGTAGGACAGATCGGACGGGAGAGGATAAAACACGAGCTCTGAGACGGCCGGCGGGGTGACATTGTCATGTTTCCCATGGGAGTTTATGCTCTGTCCTCCATCAGTTCAGTTTTCAATGTTATCTTTATCCCACGAGAGCCTCCCCCCGAAGTGTCACAGTTTGTTCTCACGATCCACTTCTTCTTCCTCTCTTTCTACCTTTTGCTTCTTTATTTTCTTTAAATGCTTAGCTTAGCCACGATGGGCCATTTGATGAGCAATACGAATGTTTTACTGCCAAAAAGGTTTGTTCGATTGAATAAGCATCTTCTCTGCACCAGAATTTGCCCCCAAAACTGGTGCTTTAGTTTGTAGTTAAAATAAGTTTTTACTTCCCCTTCTTTTATTTGAACCGTGGTGTTTTGTTTTGCTCTGAGTAGATCAAGCTTAACCAGTAGATGATCCCTCTCTGTTATCATTAATAGACTTAATAGATTACAGGTAGCAGTGCTTCCCTTCCCTAATGACCCTTTCCAATTTAAAGACCAAAGGATGGCTGTGCTGCTGGGCATCATTAATCATGATAAAGAGTTGATCTTTATATTATTTTATATATTTATTTATTTATGCTCAGTTTAATCCTCTGTCAGGGTTGTTTTAACCCTTGAATCTTCTGCTTCTGTGTCATGTTTTTCTGTCTTTCTTCAAATGAATTTGTCTTCCGTTGTACATTTACTTTTTCCTTTTCTTTTTTTCTTCTTCTGTCATTCGCCGGTTAGCATTTCAGTGAGAAGCCTTGTGATCTCTATACAGATTTTAATGGGGTGTTCTCCCCTAAAAAGGTTGGTGGTTTGGAGGAGTAGCTTCTAGGATCGTTTGTAGCCGTTCAGACTCTAGAGCTGTCGTACTTGTTCCTGTGCCACTGAGTATCTGTGTTTAAATACATGTGAAATCATGGCTAAATAATAATGAAAGAAATGTTGATGGGATTTATTCCTCGTTGTCTGCAGACTCCACACTTGGTCAACCTGAATGAGGATCCTCTAATGTCAGAGTGCCTGCTCTACTACATCAAAGATGGAATTACCAGGTAACCAAAATCTAAGTGATAATACTGAAATGCCAAAGCAGATGTTGTATTTCATTGTCTTTTTTTTTTGCTGAGCTGAAAAATCTGCGTGTGATTGTCATTTAGCGTTTGTTTTATAACATTTTAAGTGAATTATCCTCCCTCTTTGTCCTTTTGGTTTCCTCTGTGGATTACTGCCATAGAGTATTTTGTTACATGTGGACCTCAGGGGGCCAATAAGTGCCGAAAGAGCCGATTGTGCTTTAAGTGATGGTTTAAAAGTGCCATTTTTCTTCTGCTGCTGACCTTTTAGCTTTCACGAAGAAGCAGTCCACGTTCTCAAAATGGTGTCTGTGATTGTTTCAGGGTGGGTCAGGCTGATGCTGAGAGGAGGCAGGACATCGTTTTGAGCGGGGCTCACATCAAGGAGGAGCACTGCATCTTCCGCAGCGAGCGGAACGCCAACGGCAATGGTGACACTTTGTGTTCTGACCACGTAGTTTCAATTAAAACACCCAGAGCTGTTTTCTCAGTCAATTAAATAAGTTAATTCACTCAGATTTTTTGTTGTTCCTGGTAACACAAAATCATGCTTGACAGTAACACATTGAACAGGAAAGGATATATTTGACTCTTTGTTTTTTACATTTGAATCAGAATGAGCTTATTAGACTGGCCAATGAATGGTTGGTTGTTCTGTCTTTGCTGCAGTTATCGTCCTGCTGGTGCCCTGTGAGGGATCAGAAACCTACGTCAACGGCAAGCGCGTTGAGGACGCCATCCAGCTCCGTTCAGGTGCAAAATCTATGACAGTAATTAAACACATCGAAGTGTATGTTTAATGTTGAGAAAGTTTGCTGATCAGATTTCATCGATACGCGTGTTCCATGGGCTAAAAGTTGAGTTTTCTTGAGTTGTAAAGGAGGCCTGTGTTTTCTAACGTCAGATTTTTTTAACCTTTTTGTGACCCGTCCTTCGGTTAGGCAACCGTATTATTATGGGAAAGAACCACGTATTCCGGTTCAACCACCCAGAGCAGGCCAGAGCAGAGAGGGAAAAGACTCCATCTGCCGAGACCCCCGTGGAGCCGGTGGACTGGACATTTGCTCAGAGAGAGCTGCTGGAAAAGCAGGGCATTGACATGAAGCAGGAAATGGAGAAAAGGTATTCAAGCTGTTGTTCTCACTGTGTCTTAATGGATTTCTGTCATAATTCTAAAGTTTCTAATATGGCATGTGAAGTAATTAACTATCGTTTGATGAATTTCTGAATATGTTTCACTCACTCGTGTAGGCTTACCGAGATGGAAATCCTGTACAAAAAGGAGAAGGAGGAAGCAGACCAGCTCCTGGAGCAGCAGCGACTGGTGAGTTCAGATGAACTGAAATCTCATGAGACCCACTTTGAAATGTTAAATGCTCATAGCTGTTATATTCTGTCAGCATTTTAGATGATTCAGATAGGTTAGTGCAGAGTGGGTTTTAGAGCCTAGTTACGATTTTGATTTGTGTCATAGATAGAAGCTACTTGCTACTTTCAACCTATTTTGTGTGTTTTTTTAAGAAAATGTTCTTCTTGAAGTTAAAGCATGGATTTTTTTGGTTAATTACAATTGGAAAGCTTGTATTAGTTCCTCAGAAGATAGTTTAATCTGGTCCATTTAAGCCTGGTACTAATTTTCACTCCAAGTGCTGACACTTGAGATTTGTGTGAATCACTTTTACTCCTAGCGCATGTCTGTTCCTCTTGCATGGAACTTTCTCTGGTTTTGAGTCGGATGGGCTTTTACTTGCTTTCATCTTGAGTTTTTTTTTTTTTTTTTTTCCGTAGCAACTTGATTAAATGATTAAGTTAGACTATAAAGCTTTCCCCTCTCCAAATTCCCTTTTCTTGTGTCGTCTGTAGTGGATCTGAATCTTGCAAAACAGCAGCTTTACGCTGAATTTGATGTCAATAAATTTGAAACTGGTTCAGCTTTGGCCCTCAACCAGGCTGCAATGCCAGCTCTACCCCAAAGAAAAATAAAAAACAAAACAGATGCTGCTTTTGCATGGTTCGTGTTAATAGCATGTTTTCTTAACTCATTCAGTACATGTTCCAGACTAAGTTGCAGTGTTTGCTGTTAAGCTGGTCGACTCTGAAGTGGCTGTTGATTTGCTTGGATTAGATTTCTACTCTAGTTTTCCTGCTCTGTTTTGTTCTGAGTTCCATCTCTTCAATGCAGTTGCTGACATGTACAATGCATTGTGATAACAAAAAAAACTACAAAAAAAAATCCTGCCGTAGTTTTTGACAGATAGAGATGTGGTTTCTCATTGACTTCTTTGGCTACATGTTCGCTGCCAGCCTTACTCGGCATTCACTGAAGTCACGGCTCTACAACAGAGTCAGACGCTGGTTTTACGTGCACAACTCCAGGCATACATATCAGGCTCACAGGGACATAACATGTCCAGTCCTCGCCATAAACTCTCCCTCAAACAGAGCTGAACATCCCACTGGTACCGACTGGTTGTGATCTGTAATGTTTCCTGTCTACAAAAAAAAATGAGAAACTGCATTCTTGTTTCCGACTAACAACTTTCTTGTAGTGGATTAACACTTACCTTCACTTCTGCCTCTCCTCTCAACTGGCTTTCTTATCAACTGCAAGAACACTCTGTCTTCTAACTCACCGCTTATACTAAAGCAACTCAAATCTTCTGGACTAAAGGGGGGAAAGCTCCAGAGTCCATCTGCACGCATGCCTCTGTAGCATGTTTGGGACACAGCTGTCAAATCTCAGAGTTCTCACTAAAGAAGAGGAATATCAAATCAAACTTTACTGAGGTGCTCCAATCAGCAACTATCATCTATTGATATTTCTTTTCTAATCATGACAGACATGCTTTACCTTTACTTTTAATATCAGTATGCAACATTGGGAACCAACATGGAAAAAAAAAATCATTACTCCGATTACTTAGAGCCTTAATATCTAGCAAATATTAAAGTTTACACGAACTCGTTACTGTTATACAAATCCCATGGAAAAAGTACGAGTAAGAAAAACTGAAAACAAAGTCAATGAAGCCACAGTTTAGGGTGTGTTTTCGGTTATTTTTTTCTCTCTGGGCTCATTTTGATTGTAAAGTGGAAATGATACTGCATGGCATGGTGCCATACATCTTGTACAGTAACGATGTATGCAAAGTACCTTTATGATATTTTCTTTAATAGTCCTCTTTGGCAAAAATCTCTCACTCCAAAACGTTCAAATTTTTGGAAGCAAATCTTCGTGTTCTGATTCAACTTTGAATTGACAAGTGGTTTAAGTTCCCATGTTGCATATTTATACCTTTTTTTTATTCATTCTTATTTTAAAACCATCCTTTCATCCTCTCCCTGATTTCCCATTTTAATTTCTCCTTTTTTTTGTTTTGGGAACCGTTTGGTTTGTGTCCTGTGTTGTTTTCTCAAGGATGGAGACTCTGATAGTGGGGATGACTCAGATAAGAGGTCTTGTGAGGAGAGCTGGAGGCTGATCACTTCCCTGAGGGAAAAGCTACCTCCCAGCAAGCTGCAAACCATAGTGAAAAAGTGCGGATTACCCAGCAGTGGCAAAAGAAGAGAGCCCGTTAAAATGTACCAGATCCCTCAGCGACGCCGCATCACAAAGGACTCCAAGTGGGTCACCATCTCCGACCTCAAGATCCAGGCGGTCAAAGAAATCTGTTACGAAGTTGCTCTTAACGACTTCCGGCACACGCGTCAGGAGATCGAGGCGCTGGCCATTGTGAAGATGAAGGAGCTCTGTGCCAGCTACAGCAAGAAGGACCCCAACGAGCGGGACTCGTGGAGGGCGGTGGCCCGAGACGTCTGGGACACGGTGGGGGTCGGCGACGAGCGCATCGAGGACATCATGACCAACGGCGCTCGCCCCGGAGGGGCCGTGATGGACGAGCTGAAGGTGCACATCGACAAGCTGGAGGACATCCTGCACGAGGTGAAGAAGCAGAACAACATGAAGGACGAGGAGATCCGAGCCCTCAGGAACAAGATGGTGAAAATGGAGAAGGTCCTGCCGCTCATCACCCCGGAGGGCCAAGACAAGCCCCCGACCGCCGGCGCCGCCGGCGCCTCCACGTGTGCGGCCAGAACTCCCAGCCCCCGAGAGGGGAAGCCTCCTCTGCCCGAAAAGCCCGACGGGGAGGACGGGGAGTCGCAAACGAGCCAAAGCTGTGGAGATGACTCCACCCTCAAGCGCGGGCAGATGCGCTGGATGCGTCAGGAGCAGATCCGCCTGAAGAGCCTGCAGCAGCAGGAGATCTCCAAGCAGCTGCGCCGCCACCCGGGCCCGCACCGCTTCATCCCGCCCGAGGACCGCAAGCTGCGCTTCCCCTTCAAAAGCAACCCCAAGCACCGCAACTCCTGGAGCCCCGGCACCCACATCATAATCACGGACGAGCAGGTGATCGAGCTCAAGGTGCCCAAAGAAGCCGTGGAGGAAGAGGAGGCGGAGAACCAGGCCGACGCAGAGCCCCATCCAAAAGACAAGATGGCCGCATCGGTCGTCCACACGGCGCCCCCGCCGCCGAGCCCGCCAGCGCCGCACTGGGGCAGAGACTTCGAGGGTCACAGACACAGCCACAGGGGCGGCCAGTACCAGCCGCCCCCCCACGAGCGGGGCCGCAGCAACTCCTTCAACCACCGCCAGCGGCCCTCGGGCTCCATGGAGTCCCTGCAGCAGCCCGACAGCAGCAGGAGGCACACGCAGAGCTTCTGCGCGCCCCACCGCCACCACCACCACCACAGCCAGCCGCCCCCCCCACCCCAGCCCTACCACTACAAGGGCGTGATGTATTCAGACGGCAGCTTCAATGGCTACCCGCAGTACCACCCCGCCGAGCACCCTAACCACGCCGGCAGCTTTCAGGCGCCACCACGCATGCGCCGGCAGCTGTCCGCCCCCAATCTGAAAGCCAGCAGAGAGACGGCAGTGTGAGCTGCGCAGTGAGCAGCTAGCTTCCATACACTTTTAAAGTAGGCAGGCCCTTTCCGATTCCCAACAGCAAAAAAAAACTGACTGTGACTTTTGCACTTGTTCAGCGTCTTTATTGGTTGACCCAAGTATCACATGTACTGTAAAACGGCGTTTTCTCACCATCATCCTCATCACCATGTTTGCCATGCCCATCCGTGTGTTGTCAGCGTTAGCCCCGGGCGAGCTGCTGTCAACAGAGGTTCACTCGGACTTTGTTTTTGCAGCAGGGACACACCGTTGTGCTTTGATTTGCCAAAACTACGTTCACAGCTGACATTCTGAGTTTACATTTTTGCCATTTTCAGTACTGATTAACGTTGGATGTTTGTAACCACTACACCATGAACACATTGGGTTTTCTTAAGACTTGTTGTTGCTCAAGTGAGGACCTGAAAAACGCCTATATTTATTTCCCTTCTAAGTATAGCTAAACCGAATGTTAGGATGGGAATAGAAGTCCTCTTGGCAATAATTACATCTTGTTTTGTACCTCAGCATATGTTCCGTCATAAATCATAATCAGACTTGATCAGCAATCACTTCTTTTTTTTTTTTAACTATTATCGGAATAACTTGATGCTTAAGTCAACTTTGTGCCTTTTTCAGCAGAGACTTAAATGATGTTTTATGTTAAACATGGTATTAAAAAGTGCCTTTTAACGCACTAACTCCCGTTAATCCTGCTATGCATTAGCTACTTAGTGTTTTCTTTTCCCTCTCTAAGTGTATTTGCAGGGCTTTTTGTGAAATGTTCTCCTAATCAAAACTAACTTAAGTGTATTAGCGCACTTATTTATTCAAATTTGTAGTAAGTCCTGAAATTTCCTGATTTATTGCTTTTCATTTCCCATGTTTTTATGCTTTGATTCACTTCAAAGATGTAACTGCCACTCGTGTTACAGCATTTGCTACTTCTGTGTATTTAGACGGGAAGTGCACTAATGCTAATTTCTACGTCTTTTTTAAAAATTTGATTCCTGTTTTTTCAATAACTTATCATTGCTCTTTGAATCCTGGTGCTCCCTAAGAACTCTGAACCACTGGAGTAAAATGCTAGCACACAGATTTAGCTGACAGAGTAATGAAAATAATCCCTGTGTGAAAGTTTTTTTTTACTGTAAACGGGAGAGAATTTTCAGGATAATTCCCATTCCTTTTTTTTTTTTTTTTGCCAAACATTATGAAGAAATCTTATGATTTGGTTTAATCCTGTCTTAAAATTTTAGCGTTGTGGTTCGTTGGGTAAGCACAGAGCTCGCTGTGTTTCGAACGGATACCCACTGAGTGTTGTCATGGTTCCCAAAGTCTGGCCTTTAAAAAATGTTGGAAGACGGACAAAGACTTGAGATGTTTGCATAATTGTTATTCAGGAGAAATACCCATATCAAATGAGATTTTGAGGACTGCCTTGTTTTTGCCGCGCACACGCCGTACCCCAAACTGGTGGTTATGAAATCATTTGTCCACATCATCGCCTGTTTTTGTGCTTTAGCCATTTTTATGTATTTCTTTCTTCATTTGTAGCTTTAAAAGATCCCATTAAGTAGTGTAACGCGTTATAGGATCATTTCATTAGAAACTGAGACATTCAGCAGCGTGGCCGAGGCCTTCAGAGGACTATCAGTGTTAATGGAGTGATCACATCATTTAGTTTTATAATGAGAAGTTTTGACTGTATGTTTCCTGACTTACTATGCCACTTTGACTATCTTTATGCTGCAGCGTACAGGTCGTCAGCCTTAATATTTGCTCTGTTAAAGAACGGTATTTAGCTTGGGATCTACCCCTGATGACGACTCCATGTAAGCTGGAACGTATTCAACACAGTTGAGCTATGTACAGAAAACTGTTTGTAATCCTTATGACAGGTCTCAATCCAGTGAGTATTGCACATCAGCTTTTCGGATCCACAATATCCAGTGCCTCATTGTGACTGTACAGAGTTATGCTGCTCCCTCATCAAGTTTTTTTCTTCTTTTTCTTTTTTTGCAAACATGTTTGAAGAAAAAAATAATAATAACCTGTGTTGCTGGAGGTTTATTTTCAAATGGCTGAAATAAAATGACCTGCTTCATGTGCAGTTATTCAATTTAAATGGGTGGTGATTGTTCCTCTGTGCCAACAAAGAGATGAAAAAAAGGTGTTGATATGTATACACTAATAGGAGTAACAGCTTGACATTCGGCAGATCACACCTTATTTAAAAGCTCTGTAAATGTTTCTGTAGTTTTTGCCTAAATGATCTCCATAAAAAGGGAGGTGGCAAGTACATTCATTACTTATTATTTGTTAAAAATCTGTCATTTCTGAACTTGACATTTCTGTCATGACATTTCAGGGGCATTTATTGTTTGTGTTTCAAAGACAAATAGCATATTTCTAAAAACCAGTCATGTAAAACAGGTTTCACGTGTTGTAGAAACTGGCTTTAATGGGGATGCTGTGGTGGCTTTTAACGGCTTTAAGTTTGGGTGTTGGGCTGTTGGTGGAATATCAACAGGGAGGAGGTCAGGGACAGATGAAAAGGCTGCATTGTCTTCTCAGAAGACTGTGAACAAACAGGATGAGGTCATTGGGACCGAAGCTTGTCCTCCCCCGATGATGATGATGATAATGATGGCGCCCCTCATTGGATTACAGTTGACTCAGCTACCACACAAACCTTTCTTCTTCTAATGCAGCCATTTTTCTGCGGATGTTGGCCCTTTTACTCATTCAGAGAGGGGTTTTGCTATCACAGTTTGTCTTTTGCTGCACTTGCTTTATAAACAAAAAGTCATTTAGTATTTGAACTCCATTTGTGTCTTCTGTTGGGATCTTGATTAGAACAGATAGTTGTTTTGTTAGGACTGCACATATGATCATCTTCTAAATCAATACTTTTCCTGTATGATTCATCCATTGCATAAGAATATGAATATGAATATGAAAGCAGCCTTTGATGCTCACAATTATTCTATGCATCTCATCTTACATTATTCACGGTTGTCAGTCCATTCCCCTGTTGGTTTGCATCATTTCCACATCCAGCGGAAGGCTCCATCTGATCAAAGTATTCGGTGTTGGGTTTTGTGCAGTAAACTGTGCGGTTATCCTGACATCGGCCTCGCAGTGTCTTTGGCCTTAAACGGAGAATGTGGAGCTCACCTGCCGTTGCAGCTGATGGACGGCTGTCCGTCTTCTCCTGTGTTGGTGTCCAGGTTTACGAGAGCAAGCTTCAGGAGCTTCAGAAACAGGTGGAAACTCGCTCTCTGGTAGCAGAGACACCAGACGAGGAGGAGCTGGAGGAGGAAGAGGAGGAGGAAGGTGTGTATTGCTGTGTCTAGCACTGGGTCTGCAGCACTGTGCGTCTTTTCCTGTATGGAAGCTACAAATGTAATATGTATAAATGATACTTGTTTTCTTCCACCTTTCGTGTCCAGAGCCTAAACTACTGGGATGTGCGTATAGAATTTTATACATGACATGTACTTAAAATGACCTTCATCAGTGTAAAATGTATTAATAGCACCATACTAATTACCCTCTGAAGATACAAACTAGTCTAAAATAATAACATCATCTGGTTCTTTTTAAGTGAAACGCACAACTAATTTCCCGTTAACCGTTGAAAAAGTAAAAGGACCAAACCTGAGGGTTTTCATGCTTTAGCCCATTAGCGTGTTAGCTCTGTGTTTTTCATCATCTGATTTTGGCAATTGTGTCATATATATAAGATGTGACAGTGTATTCAGTTCTTGGTAAAGGTGACCAATTAGAGCAGAATAAGTGACAGAAAAATAAGTCTGTGGTGGATTTAAAGCTTTTAAAGCCCCATGGAATGGTCCTTTTTTCATTTCAGTGACTGTGACTGCGTTTAAAAAGTGTCCCTTGTGTGTAACTTGAACATCAACTCAGCCCTGTCTCTGCCTGCAGTGCCGTGGACCCAGCATGAGTTTGAGCTGGCTCAGTGGGCCTTCAGGAAGTGGAGGTACCATCAGTTCACCTCCCTGCGTGACCAGCTGTGGGGGAACGCCGTCTACCTGAAGGAAGCCAACGCTATTAGTGTGGAGCTAAAGAAGAAAGTAAGTGAAAGGCTCTTCCGGTTTTTGTGGTACAGCATTTAATGGGCTAAATGGCACCTTTAGAGATAACAAAATAGTAGTTAACCATTTCTTACTGTAAGGTCCAGAAGCAAAACGTCAGTTCGCACAAATCCTCAGAGTTTAACTTCATTTTGATTATGTTGATCTGAAATATAGATGATGCAGTCCATTCTGTTCATGGGCGATTTACTGAAATGCAGGCGGACCTGTTCCCTGTTGCCGACCAGGAACACAAACCCACATGACGGTGCCTCCTGGCTATGGGGAGCATCACGAGGGGAAGATAGATGGCGCCTGCTGGTGTAAACCCACAGTTACTATAGGCAGCAAAAGACACATGATAATAAAACAAGGTCATTTTGTTAAGAGGGCATTCAGATTTTAAAGGGGCTCTGTCTTCTGTATAGTGTGTATCGTAAAACAGCGTTGATTGGCACTTAGATTGGGTATCAGTTAGTTCCCTTGTCAATGTGCTGCCTGAGCAACTGAATGTGCAACTTTCCAGTCTGCACATTGTGGTCTGTGCCGAGGCAAGTGTTTTAAATCATCCAGAATACAACATTGATTCACTGTCACACAGACAAATGGAATTGGTTGCAAATCAAAAGCTGCTCGACTGTCCTTTTCCATCAGGAAGCCAGCTGGATTTATACACTGCACTTCAGATGCTGCACGATTGATATTTCAGAAGGTTCATCTGTCAAATGATGTTTTCATAGCTTTTTTTATGAAAAATGTGTCTTCAGGTTACTGTCCGTGTTTGATTTATATCCGGACTTGTTAATTGGTGTAGCAGAGCCCCCAGAGGATGCTGGGCAGAGAGATGATGGGTTTTTTTCCCTGTTTTTTTTTTTTTTAAATGCCCCTTTCCCCATCCCCTCTCCTGTTGCTCAGGTGCAGTTTCAGTTCGTCTTGCTGACAGACACGCTGTACTCTCCGCTGCCTCCTGAGCTCCTGCCCCCGGAGCCGGAGAAGGAGCGCGACCCCAGACCTTTCCCCCGCACCGTGGTGGCTGTGGAAGTCCAGGACCTGAAGAACGGAGCCACGCACTACTGGTCGCTCGAAAAGCTCAAGTAATGCCCGTCCCTCACCAGCTATCCCGTTATCTGTTCCTTTAATTAGTTAGATTGTACACATCATACTTTTGAAGATCCCTTACGAATCTATTTGAATGTAAGAGATGCTGTTCACTAAAATAAAAAAAAGGGGAGTATATAAACGTTACGACTTGGCATCTTTCTTACAAACTCAATGTTAAAAACCACCAATCTGCAGAGTCTGCATTTTCCTTCCCGTTTTATCAGTTCTGCAGCCTATGGAGAAGACACAGCAGAGAGCATTGTTACGTCTTCTCCCCTCCTGCTCTGAAAGGTGATGCATTCTCCAGCCCTGCTTCCATTAATACTGAGTGCACTCTGTCGTCCTTTACAGGCAGAGGCTGGAGCAGATGAGAGAGATGTACGACCGCGCAGGAGAAATGGCCTCCACTCACCAGGAGGACGGCGAGGGCACTCTGACAGGAAATGACCCCTTCTACGATCGTTTCCATTGGTTTAAGCTTGTCGGGAGGTGTGTAGCACATAGTACACACATTAACACACAATTAAGTCTTACCAGAGCGCAGGATCGATTGCTGGGCTGAGTGTTGCCTGTTTGAAGAGTTTTTTCTTTTCTTTCAAATGATTCAAATCATAACGTAGCAGGTTTTGGGTTTAAACTTGATTTGTCAATTTTTCTTTGCATTCCATTTTTCGCTGTCCTCGCATCATGCATTGGTGATATCATATGTGTGACATCATGTTTTTGTTTCTTTCAGCTGAGGTTTTTGTCATGTAAATGTTTCAATGTGTTTTTGTTGTAGAGGGCTTGTTGTTTATTTCCTTCATTTTATGCCACCTACCCATTTTTGTATTTGTATTATTTGACACCACGTTTTGAGTTGTCCTCATGTCATCGTAAATCCTGTCTCTTTTCATTTGCGGCCCTGTCTGCAGCATCCATTCTCATCCACCCTCTGTAGTTCGCACAGAGGCTTGTTAACACTGTGCTGGGTTTGGATAATGTGTGAATGTGCAGCATTTTGTATTTTATCCTCCTCCGTCCAGGATGCATGAGAAGATTTATATGTTAATCCCTTAAAATGGAATTTCATTTCGGTTTAAAATAATCACGTTTCTATAAACTGCTGTGACACCTGATATCAGCTTAGTATTTCATGAAATTAATCCTAGTGCTGCTTTTGCATTAGTTCCTTTAGTAGCTTCAATTTGATTTGATTTATCCCTTGTAATTACTTCTTGAAAATGACTAACAAACGGCTGCTTTTAGTCTATGACGTTTGCATTTTTCTTACATGTGCCCTAGAAGCATCATCTGTCAATTTCTGGTCAAACGTCAGTGTAAAAAGTCAGGCTGGTGCTCTTTAGAGCTGCCGTGGCCTGTTTTAACTCTGCTGTCACTCCACTGTTGCCTTTCCTTTGGCTCTCGCCATCGTTCCCAAACTGCCATCCCTCTCAGCTCCCCCATCTTCCACGGCTGCGTCAACGAGCACCTGGCTGACCGCACGCCCTCGCCCACCTTCTCCACCACCGACTCGGAGATCACCGAGCTGGCGGACGAACGCCAGAGCGAGATGTCGGACTTTATAGACGACGAGGCGTTTGTGGACGACACCAGCTCGGACGCGGGCACGGAGGAGGGCTCGGACATCTTCAGCGACGGCCAGGACCCCTTCTACGACCGCTCCCCCTGGTTCATCCTGGTGGGAAGGTTGGTGACTGGCACTGGCCTTTCCTCGCCCTCCACACGCACAGGCGGGAACAGGAGAGCCGATGCTGGCTTAGTGTGGCTTAGTTTGTTTTTGTACTGGATGCAGACGCCCAAATTGATGTTCCCCCTCACAGCCAGAGGATAGTACTTGATACTCGAGCAAATCTGAGCTGTTGGCCGTAAGCATATAACGTCAGAGCCCTTTTTGAACTCGATATGATTTATAACGCTTCTGTGCTCTGAGGCCAGCTTTTTAATAGCTGCTTTAAATTTAGACTCTGCCGAAAAGCCACCATCTTTTTCTGTCCACGTTCTCCTGGAGCAATGGCTCATCCTCCACTGAATTAACTCTCATCTGTGTTTGAGAATCGTGATTCACTGTGAACATGCTGACTAAGTATTTGTCATTACATGTTTTGTATTTGATTGTTTAAAACTTTAGTGTTTTGTTTTGTTTTTGTGTCTTTTCTTTCTTTTATTTTTTTAAACATTGTGTTGAAATCATTTACCACTCGTAACCTTGTTTGTGTAACACTGTTCTTAAATATGTATTTATATCTGTATTAACTTGCGAGCAGCTGACCGGCACATTAACTCCTACATGAAGGTGTTTTTATCGTCGTTCACCTGCATTTGATGGGATCGTACACAGAGGACATAGCCTCAGTGCTGTAAACACAAACAGCTCAGTGATAAACATCTGAGTCTGAGCAGGTTTCCACCCTAACTGCCGTAGCTGTAGCTCCATGACCTGCAACACTGTGACTGAGAGCTCTACAAGAGTGATGCCTTTCCCCCCTATTGGCCTTGAGACTCTCAGTGCAGGGAGGGGGGGTCGTGGGGAAAGGCTGTGTGGGTAGGTCTCTGTGGAAGCAAATCAAGTCCCGCTAAACAAAATGTCAGATAACGTGTGACTAAGAGACAAACCGCCACAACGCAACACTAAATCATTCTTTCACTGCCATCAGTGGGTGAAAAACAGGTTTTTACTGCAGCTTATTTCACTGCTCGGTCGTCCTTTTTAAGTTTATTTTAGTTATTTTTATTTATTTTTTTTATTTGCTTGCGTGTTGTCCTTTCACATAGTTGTCACTAATATTTTATTTGAATGTACTTGGTCCTTTCTAAACAAAGAAAGTGATTTTGCCCATGTTGGATGCTCAAACCCCCTGTAGGGCATGCTTGTCAGTATGTAAACACTGCTTTCCGTGGGTCTAATTGGGTGGAACAGATAACACGGCAGCTCCAAACACCCCTCTGATCCAGATGATTTCTGGATGGAGCACTGCTGCAGTGTTTCCACGCTGCGCCACTCTGCACCACGGCCTCTCACGTCTCTCCCCTCCATCTCACTCTCAGAGCGTTTGTGTACCTGAGCAACCTGCTGTACCCTGTGCCACTGGTTCACCGTGTTGCCGTGGTAACGGAGAAGGGCGAGGTGCGAGGTTTCCTGCGCGTGGGGGTCCAGGCTATAGCTGGTGAGTAATTAATGAGCTTATTTAATGAAGAGAGCTGGTGAAGGAGATATAGAGGAAATGTATATTTGCTTATTGGTGGTGCAGGCTAGATTGAACTCACACCAGATAGATGTGTACAGAGGGTGACCTGAGGTTTTAAAAGCAACATGACAACATGTGGAATGGCCCTTCAAGTGCCTGATCTGCCAGAGGAGCAGAGATTCCCTCAGATCCCTTATGCATTCCCTGTGATGTGCTTTGACGGTTTAAGTCAGCTGTGTCTGGGACAGATTCAGATAAAAGGATGGTTTGTTTCTTTGTAGCTGACGAGGAGGCTCCAGACTACGGGTCAGGAGTAAGACAGTCAGGCACCGCCAAGATTTCCTTTGATGATGAGTACTTCAAGAAGGTGAGCCCGGAGTGAGATAAAAGAAGTTTAAAGCTCAGTTATTCACTTTTTCTGTATGTGTGTGTGGCAGTGGGTGTCTGACATCTGGGCTGAAACACAGCGTTGGTGCTAAAAGATTTTTTTGAGTTTTAAACTTTGTCTGATTATTCTGTTTTACTCGAGACAAACGAGGATTGTCAGATGGCGTTTCAAAGCTCCATCAACAGAACATAAACCCATTAATTCCCACGTGTGGGTCTGCTAATGTTGGAAAAAGCCATGCCAGCTATATGCTAATGTCCTCTTCCACCTCTTCTACGTGCGCTATCAGAATGACTTCCCCTCCACGGTCATGACCCGCTCTGGCTTGTCCCTGGAAGAGCTGCGCTTTGTGGAGGGTCAGGGTCAGAGTTCAGAGGTCATCACACCCTCAGAGGAGCTGAACAGAATCAACGACATGGGTAATGCCGCCATTCTTCAACCTCTCCACTCATAAATGTCCACCTCTCGTGTCGGGGGGAGCACAGCAGCAGATGGCCCTGTGAGATACAAAGAAGGACTGAAAATATGTCGTTATGCAAATTAGATTTTCGAAGCACCTTTTGCTTCATGAAGGAATTTGCCCAAATGCTGAACTATTAATGTAAACAAAGAGGGTTTTATAAATGGTGGGCTTGGAATTTTGCAGCAATTTCTGCAGACTTTGGAATTCACATGCAGATTGCAAAGCAAAGTGCCGTGATGGTCACTTTGAATAAATCAACCTGCAAACCTTCCCTTCTTTTCCTCTTTTTTCAGACCTCAAGCTGGGTAACATTGCAGACACCAAGCTGAGTCCTGGTGAGGGCCTGGCAGGACAGCTGGAGGTGGGCAGCATCTTTACCTTTCGCGTTACAGTCCTCCAGGCCAGCGGCATCCCACCGGAGTACGCAGACATCTTCTGCCAGTTTAAGTGAGTTTCCATTCCTCAGTCTAACTTTTAAAGTTGTAGTTGCAGTAGTTGTGAATGTACTGTAATGTTCATTTGAGTTGGAAATAAAACTATAAAAGAGCATTGCCCATGTGGCCACATTGTTATGAAAAGAAACGAGTCAAGCAGAGTCAGAACAGGCAGTCTCCTGTTTTTGTGCTTAAACATTGATCAGGACACAGTGACAGCTGATCACTTTTCTTCTTTCAGTTTCCTTCATCGTCACGATGAGGCTTTTTCCACTGAGCCTTTAAAGAACAGCGGCAAAGGAGCTCCTTTGGGCTTTTACCACGTCCAGAATGTGAGTGCTCACCTCACAAGCTGAATATGCACAGGCTATGCTTTGTTACAGTGGGCTGACAACTTCTTATTTCACTGTGCGATCAGATTTCAGTGGAGGTCACGGAGTCTTTTATTGAGTACATCAAGAGCAAGCCCATTGTGTTTGAGGTGTTTGGCCACTACCAGCAGCACCCGCTGCATGTTCATGGTCAGGACCTGATCAGGTAGGTGGAGCTTGAAATGGTTTTTAGAGATATACAGACAGTTTGTTTGTTTCCTGTACAAAGTTTAATCACATGTTCTTAAAATTATTCAGTTCATTGTGTATAATATTGGGAAAATAACACATTTCCTGTAGTTACAGTTTTATTTCTTTTAACAGTCCTCCAACACCATCAAGGAAATACTACCCCATACCCATGCCTCTGTCTAAACCAGGTAAAAGAGTCTGTCATCACATGACAAGCTGAGAGCAACCGTCACCGTCAGTTCAGCTTAATTTCACCTTTCTGCGTGTTTTACATAAGCATGCCTCATATGTCCTTATCCTTTTTCCATTTCTTGCTTCCTTTGGATTTTTATTTAATCGTCCCTCTACAATCCAAAATCCTCTTATCTACTATTTCCCTCCCCTTTCACGTCTCTCTGCCGTTCGCACAACACTGCACGCCCAGACCACACTCGTAAGATCGAGCTGATCCGCTACCTTGTGAGCGGCTATGTGAACGGCAAAGTGCTGGACACGCTGTCCGAGCACGCCAACGCGCTCGCCTCCTCTGCCGTGGCCACTTTGGAGGATGAGGCTGACCAGCTCTCACACTTCCCCTTCCTCCCCGTGACCCACGACCTGGTGCTAACTGTACCCAGGCACCATGGTTGGTACCGTGGACGCTTAAGCCGCTAACAAGCCTGGCATTAGATGCCCCCGCGCTGTGGTGGCTAGTCTAGCGCTTTGCTCTCGTGGTGCTTTGTGACTACAGCCAGGTGCGCAGTAGAGTAGAGCAGTTTGTGTGTGTGTGTGCAGCAGCTCACTGCAGGTGCACTGAGGCCAAGTCAACTCAGTGCAACCTTCCCCCTGTCGCTTCCAAACTTACCCGAGCTTAAACCTTTGAGTAGATGGTCTAGAATTTCCAAAGCCAAATAGAAAAATGAGATGGATCGAAAAGATTGCTGACGCAGTCTGGATCGAACTCCAGAGGCCTCTGTCTTCCCAGGCTTAGCTCGGTTCCTATTATAGCATTTCATGTGAATTGTGTGTGCGTGTTAGAGATTAGCTTGTTTATCAGCGTCAGAATCCTGGTAATGTTTCAGGTAGCGAGGTGCTTTATGTGATTGTGTAATCTGGGATTTAGCCCCTCACAGAATCTTTTTTTTTCCTGTGTAAACCATCCACGTGTGGCTTTATTGCTCAGTATCCACTCATCAGTGTGTTCGATCCACGTGTTCCTTTTCCACTTAGCAACCCTAATTGGGCAGTTAATATGTGCCTCTCATTTCATGAGTCCCCCCTGAAATTTCTGCAAATTTCAAATCAATGATCCTGACCCGTGTGTGTGTGTGTGTGTGTTGCTGCATTAGTTCCAGCCACCAAGCTGAACACCATCACCAAGTCCAACCTGGGTCACTGTGTCAGCAAGTACGACCTGCTGGTCTGGTTTGAGATCAGCGAGCTGGAGCCCACTGGAGAGTATGTACCAGCCTTTGCACCTTTTTATTAGAAAAAACACAAAGTCAGCTGCATCTAAGATGTAAATGAAGTGTAGATTGGATTATCAGATGTGACTCACTCCGTTCACAGGTACATCCCGGCTATAGTGGATCACAGCGGAGGACTGCCCTGCCATGGCACATACCTGCTGCACCAGGTACTGGCGAAGGGAAGTTATTATTCATTCCCTTCAACCACCACCCTGATCCTAAACTCCTGTTGTCTTTGTTGCAGGGGATCCAGCGAAGGATCACTGTGACTCTCATCCACGAGAAGGGCAGTGAGCTCCACTGGAAGGATGTCCGCGAGCTGGTCGTGGGTGAGCAATCTGACCTCACGGATTTTATTCATCACTGCAGCAAATTGGCAACCAAAACCCCCAAATAAAGCTGCTGGCACAGGTAGAGGTGGGAGGGGTGTTGTCACGTGATCAGACTATGCAACACCTCTTTATCAGTGTTACGCTGAACGGATACCTCGTAGTCTCCTCAGTCTGAACACGATTCTGCTTAGCTTCACGGTGCCTGTCACTCCAAAATAATCACACTTCACATTTCAGACCCGTCAGCAGCTGACGTTCACACACATAGGCTTTCAGGGTGAGGATACACGTCCAGGTGATGGACACTGATTGGGCTGCACATGGACAAATTCGCCGTTAATCTCTGCCGTTCTTCCTTCGGCTTTCACATTCCGCCGAAACCAGTTACAGTTCTTGTAATTGTATGCCTGTGCCTGGCTGTTCGGTGTCTCACCAGGTCGCATCAGGAGCAAGGCCGAAGTGGACGACAGCGCGCCCGATGCTGTCCTGTCCCTGAACATTATATCTGCTAAGAACATTAAGTCATCCCACAACACCCACAGGTAGGATCAGCGCCCTCTGAGATTTGGTTTACACGCACTTTAGGTGTTCGAGGTCTGAATCCATCCATATTTAAACATTACAGCCTAAACATTTTTTCCTTTATCTTTTTTGGCCTTTTAGCCGCTTTATCAGATGATATGCTCGCCTGTGTTCTTGCCCTTCTGTTTATGCTGAAGGCAAATCAGGATCTCTTGCATGACCGTTTCCATTTTCACTGCTGTTAATGTGTTCCATTGTCCTTGTTGCCTGACTCTTTGTGCTTCTCTTTTTTTCTTTGCACTCTTTCCTCCTGCTGCGGCCGGACTCATGATTGCGCTCAGGCTTTCTATTGATAAGGATATTGATAGGTACTAGTGATCAGAGAACATAAGGCTCCTTCCCCTGAAGGACCTTTATGCTTCTTTCTAGTCCTGTAGATTCTTAGAAAATAAGTGCTCCACATTTTTTAAAGATTTCCTTGCATGATGCTTGTGTCTTTGCCCCGATTGGCATTCAGCTTCCATTAATACGATTTCCAAATGTTAATGGACGTGTAAATACAGTTTTTGTGTATTCATCAAAATTCGTGGTTCAATTAAATTTTATTGATAAAAGCGCCAAATCACAACAACAGTTATCTCACAGTGATTTCCAAACAGAGCAGGTCAGACCATACTCTGATGTTATTTACAGAAGCCCAACAATTCCCATAAAGAGCAAGCACTAGGCGACACAGGCAAGGAAAAACCTCCTGGTTCTTGTGACACCAGCTCCAACCACACTGTGTTGATTTTCTGTGGCACCAAATTGTTTCCAAGTGAATTGATTCCTCTCACTTGTTTTCCCACTGTGTGAAACTCCACTAAAAAACAACAAGGCTCTCAGTCTGTGTATATCAGCGCCACCTGCTGCCAGAAACAGGAATGTCGTAGCCTCAGTGAGAGCCTCACAAACATCAGCTAGTTCATGGATTTCTCTTGAGACAATAAGGCAGATTATTTTTAAAGTAGCATGTTGAACATGAAAAGTTTGTTGCAGTTGATCCTATTGTCCTCATATTTTGTCATGATGATAAAGTCTAAGGCCACATCAGAGCTTTCTATTCCATCTGTTCAGTTTTTATTAAGAATGAGTCAATTTCAAACCTGTCAAAAACCTCAACGCCCGCACAGATCCCCTAAACTGTGCTTTTTGTTCAGGCTTCATTCAAGACAAAACTCAGTGTTAACTGTATCTTTCTTTGTTCTCCCTCCTCAGAACTTTCTATCGCTTCGAGGCAGTATGGGACAGCTCCCTGCACAACTCCCTTCTTTTAAACCGAGTGACTCCCTATGGAGAGAAAATCTACATGACCCTGTCCGCCTACCTGGAGGTCCGTCTGCTCCTCTACGATTTAATGTATCCGTTTGATTTGGGCTCGAAGGTTTACCTCTCTGCATGTCAGCTCACTGCCCGTGTGTCCTCCTCACAGCTGGACCACTGCATCCAGCCAGCTATCATCACCAAAGACATCTGCATGGTCTTCTACTCCCGAGACGCTAAGATCTCCCCTCCCCGGTCACTCAGAAACCTCTTTGGGAGCGGGTACTCCAAAACTCCAGACTGGTAAGGCTCCCAGCTGTCACGACCCAGCTGTTTCTGTCATACAAGTTTAAAGCTTTTCTGCCACATTGGACTGTCACCAAATCAGAGCCTCCTTTCCTTACAGCAACCGGGTCACCGGCATCTACGAGCTGAGCCTCTGCAAGATGTCCGACTCCGGGAGCCCAGGTGAGCAGACCAAAGAGACAAGCGGCAAATAGAAATGTTTATAAAACTTCCCGCTTAACGGGCGGTCTTTATTATGAGCAGGGATGCAGCGGAGGAGGAGGAAGGTCCTGGACACATCAGTGGCTTATGTGCGTGGAGAGGAGAATCTGGCCGGCTGGAGGCCCCGAGGAGACAGCCTCATCCTGGAGCACCAGTGGGAGCTGGAGAAAATGGAGCAGCTGCATGAGGTGGGACCTGAAAATATATTTTTTTACAGCCACAAGCTGTTTCCCATAGTTCCCTGTACTCCGGATCTCTCTGCTACAAGAAGTCAAATGTCCTGCTTTCCTAAAATTTCCCTCCTCCTCTGTCATCCGTCCAGGTGGAGAAGACCCGCCACCTCCTCCTTCTGAGGGAGAAGCTGGGAGAAGCCGTTCCGGTTGGAACAGCTCCGACAGCCAAGTCCCTGAGCGAGTGCCTGTCCCCCAGCATGAGCTCGGGCACCCTGTCCACGTCCACCTCCATCTCCTCGCAGATCTCCAACACCACCTTTGAGAGCGCCATCACGCCCAGCGAGAGCAGCGGCTATGACTCCGCGGACATCGAGAGCCTGGTGGACCGAGAAAAGGAGCTGGCTACCAAGGTGAGAATGCGCGGGGATCCGTGTCCAGCCGCCTCCCCTCTGTTAGCGACTCGGGCTCATCAGTCTCGTTGCCTTGCAGTGCCTGCGCCTCCTGACACACACCTTCAACAGTGAATACAACCAGGTGGTCAACAGCATCAGCGATTGCAAGGTCAGACGAAAATCCAGGCCCGTCGAAACGCAGGCCGCGCGGCGGGCGCTCCTTTTGTGTGTTACTCTGAATACTGAGCATGTTTTTTTCCTCTCCAGCTGTCTGACATCTCACCCATTGGACGCGACCCGTCGGTGACCAGCTTCAGCAGCGCCACCCTCACCCCCTCCTCCACCTGCCCCTCGCTGTCCGACTCGCGCTGCGGCTCTTTAGACCAGAAGTAAAGCCTTCTGCTAAACATCTGCTGATATGAAATATTGTTAAACGCATCAACTGATTGTGGCAGTTTGATGCTAACTTGTCGCTTTATCCCCAAGGACCCCAGAGAACTGTTCTCGTGCCTCCAGCCCCTCCTGCTCAGACTATGAGAACTTCCCGATGGTTCCCACTCTCGAGACGTCCTACCTTGCACGTGCTGGAAAGAACGAGTTCCTCAACTTGGTGCCGGACATTGAAGAAATGAGACCAGGGTGAGCAACGCTATGCTAGCTGTATTTCTCATTCCTCACCGTTGGATTCGGTGTGCAGAAGCGTGATTAAAGCGTTGCCTGGATGAGACGTATCGCTTAGCCCCAGTACAAATAGATAATCCTGTTTTCCAGCTCAAGCAGAAAGGATGGGAATTGATCGAGCTTGGATGACTTCAGCCAAACACCAATTGATCTGACTCTTCTTTAATTGAAACAAGCTTGTCCTTTGAAGAAAAACAACAAAACATATGCCAATTTCTATTTTTTTCTTCTATTTTTTCCAGGTCTGTTGTGTCCAAGAAAGGCTTCTTGAGCTTCATGGAGCCGCGCTCTAACTCGTGGGTGAAGCACTTTGTGGTCGTCCGCCGGCCCTACGTCTTCATCTACAACAGTGACAAGGACCCTGTGGAGCGCGGCGTCCTCAACCTCTCCACGGCACAGGTGGAATACAGCGAAGACCAGCAGGCCATGCTGAAGGTAGGCCTTCAGAGGCATCAGCACCTCTGAGGAAGCTGCCCACTGAATTTCCTTTTGGGAGTTTCCTGCAACAACTCACATCTAAAGGCACGCATAGAAGAAAGGTCTGTTTTAGCTCCTGTTGCAGTGAGGCTCCTGCTCTAAAGAGGCTAGTTTGGTCAGAAATGCTGGGGCTGGACCCCAAAAAAAGACATCTCCAATAGTTTAAGACTAACAACTTTGGGTCCACTGTGGTTTTGTATTTCTGCAAACATGTTGCACGCTCAAAAGAATTCACAATACTCTCAAGGAAGCCATAATCTAACTTATTTAAAGCACATTTGTGCTGCTCATGTGACGGAAAGCCCACGGACCGATGCATCACTGCATTTGTTTTTCTTCTCAGACTCCCAACACGTTTGCTGTGTGCACAAAACATAGAGGGATCCTCCTGCAGGCCAACAACGAGAAAGACATGAACGACTGGCTGTATGCGTTTAATCCGCTGCTGGCAGGAACGATAAGGTGCACACATCACCCCTGTCCCCTCTGCACGTCCCACGCAGCGACCGGGAGACCACGTTCTCACCCCCCTGTGATTTGTCGTCTCCGCAGATCTAAGCTGGCGAGGAGGCGCAGCGGCTTGATGAAGAACTGAGTGGAGCGGCACACCAACATCCATCACTCCCACTCCTTCAACAGCCTTTGAACATACCAAGTGTTAACACTTATTAATCATTGTAATTCTCGGGTTTTTTCTCTTGTAAGTAGACTTGTGGCTTAAGTCTCCTTTCATGCGACTAAAAGTTTCAGTTCCAGAGAAACTTGCCTCCCCGTATCCCTCCACCAACCCTCTGCCAACTTAGCTTCCCCTCCCCTCCCCCTCAGCTTTTTGTGTTTCTATTTTATGACGATGTTTGGGTCTAATTTGGTTCCACTTTGTTGTCATTCCCGAACTCCCTAACTAGTAGCATGTTGTAGTAGTCGACTTGTGTGTGCACGGCTCTTCAAAGACTCATTTTCAGTTTGCAAATCATCGGTAAACAAAATGTTGTTATCAGTGTTATCTGTCTCCCAAAACAAGTTTTTAATCCACCTATTTTTTTCTTTAGCTTTTTTTTGTTTTCGATGACGAGCTTGCATGATAACTGCAGCATTACTCAGGAGAAGACCAGGTTTTGCTCACTGAAAACAAAACAAATGAAGCGAATCCAAAAACCTAATGCTAAATCATGAAGGAAAAATCTCCAAATATCCCTAAATGAGTTGTATTTAATGCTCTGCTACATGAACTACTGATGCTAATGAATTGATAGTTTCTTTTGTAATCTTAAGGCGATTTGCTTCGGGCTGCCGTTTCGTCTCCGAGCAGCCTCTCAGAAATGTCTCCAAACATGAAAAAGTCATGCCAAACATGCCAAAATCATGCCAAGCTCAGCGAGACATGATGGCAGCACTGGATCTGCATGGCGTCTCAGTCCCATTCCTCAGCCTCTGTACATACACCAACTCCAGTCCTCCGTAGTGCCAGTGTCAGTCAGTGCATTCGCATCATGATAAAAAATCCACGCCCACTTGATAAAGCAGGCAAAAAATATATGAATTTTGTATCTTTGCAGTGGAAATGCAAGGATGGATTGACGCTGCAGGAGTAGACGCTTCCCCTTTTTTGCTATTTACTCTCTTTAAAAAACAGGGTTTGGAGGAAATGAGGAAGAAGAGAGAATTCCATTTATAAATGCGCTTTTTTGTGCTGGGATCACTGAGAAAGTTAACGCACATTTAAGACATTCCTCTGAGCTCCTCTAGCTTCCGCCAACATGCTGAGCGTCAGAAATCTGTCGTATGTCCGCGGTGAGTCTGAGGGAGGAAGACGGTGAATTGGGAGTGTTTGGGCCTTGACGCCGGTGGGGAGCTGATGAGGCGGCTCGGCCCGGGGGACAGATGATGATGACTCCATCCACTCGCTGCTTCATCAGTGTTGGATAGAAACCTCCAAAGCTAAGTGCTTACAGTTCAGCGACACCACACGTGACCGCTCCTTCAATTTCTATTCCTGTTCCTGAACACAAACCTCTTCATACGATTCAACTCGCATTGTCTTTTTCTTTTTTATTCTTACAACACTTTTTGTTCTCCTCTTTAACCCCTCATCTTTTTTTCATTCCACTGTGATGTTTTTTTTTTTTACTAATTGCGAAAAGGGCATTTATTTCTTAGTTTGTAACCAGCATCTATTGGTGTCTCACCTTGTTTTGCACATTAACTCATTAATATCTATCGCAAGATGAAGGCAGATCATGCAGGGATATGTCCGAGCATCAGGAACAGTGATGAGAGCACATATCGAGGCTACACTGGATGATAGCTGTTTGTCAAAAGGTTTACGAAAAAGAGATATTAAAGGGATGACATATTCAAAGGTTTTATTTCTAATGTTGCTCATGAAAATGTTTGCTCTGCGTGGCATAACGACGCCTCTGAATTTGGCTAAAAGCTCGTTCAGTCCGAGCCGCCTCTGTTTCTACACGTCGGAGCTTCGTTACGAGCACAGACGGGCATCATCAAACTCTGGCCTTCCAACCAGCAGTGTGCCCACTGTGCGACCTGAAAGGGACATGCGGGCAGAAACAGAGGCGCTTCCTACGAGTATTTGTGTGATTATTGCTTGTTACAGACAGAAAACATTTGCATCCGACGACCTGTCACTGCCTCTCAGGTCAGCCAGCCTGTGGGAAAGAGTGATGAGGACCTTTTGTTTTCTGTGGAAATGTCTGTTTAGGGAATAACTTAAAGGAAACATTTGAAAAGCATCCGTGCACCTATTTAGGCTCAAAGAGCAGCATACCTCAAATGGACCTGAACAAGAAGAAATATTTATTTATATGATACCATGTCAGAGCAAACATTTTCACCTCAGTGGCTAATTTGCAGAGGTGTGTTATTTTGGACGTGTATTTATTGTTTGTAATGTATATATTAGTTTGCAGCTCTTTGCACATATTAATAAAAGGTTCAACTAACTGATCAAATGATGTCTGTGCGGTTTAGTTGTTCTGCTCATAATGAACCAAATGAAGGCGTGGCAGCCTCCTCCGGTAGAACTGGGAGAGAGTTGAATGTACGATTTAAAGATGTGTTATTTTTCTTTGCATCATTTAAAAAAACAAAAAGAAACAGGGAAAAGAGACCTAAAATGTAACCCACTGCAGCTTTTCGGGCCGAGCTGAGTTACATTAGTGCTTCCTCTAAATCAGGAGGTGGTTTGAGTGATTAACAAGTCTGCTTTTGTTTAGAAGAATATTCACCAACTGCTCACGCTGGCCAGCTGGGTTTGACCGAACCAAGTTTTTGGTTTTCATTTAGTTTCCTTTTTTTCTAATATCAGGGAATTTAACTCAAAGTAGCTTGAGAGATCTAAAGTGACAGGGCGCCCTTGTTTATTGTGGCAGCGTCCTTCATCACCTCATCGCTTTTATTTCCGTTGATGCCTTTCATAAACAACCCCTCTGATGATTAAAATCAGTCTCCTACGTTCCCTTTCAGATTCCTTCATCAAAAAAAAAAACCTAAGGACAAACCGTGACATTAACACTGTACATTATTTGTCAGACTGGTTTCATTTTCATACTTATTTTGTAAATATCTGTGTTGTATGGAGCTTGAACTAAAATGTAAATATGTTTACTGTATTTGTAATAATCCATTCGCTGTATAGCATAGATGTGTCATGCAGATATCCTAATTCTGTGTATGGTAAACTTGCACCATTGAACTGTTTAGTGAATGAGGCAACAATAAAAGTGCAAACTGTGCATTAGCAGAACAAGTGATGCCTGTTTGTCCCGTCCTTTGTGCCCGGCCTCACTGCAGCTGCCCGCTTTTGACCTATTTAATCCATACAGAAAAGACAGCACTCAAATACTTGTAAGATAACTTGTTAAAAACTTTCTGTGTAAAACAATAGAAATCAACACTTTATTCTCAGAATATTTTATTTGATAACTTTCTGCAAGTACATATGATGCTTAATTAAAGACGTCCTATTTTTGTATTTTTAAAAAGCCATTTAAGAAAATTTCAAGTAGATAAATGACTAACAGGGCAGAAAACAAACCTGTTCTTTGATCACTTTAACCCCATATTTTCTGCCCTGAGCACTATTCATGCATGATAAGATTTAATGGCATTAGGGTGCTTAAGTTCAGAGCATTTTTCCTGTGAACTGCCACATATTTCAAATAGTTTGGAGAAGAAACGGACAGTTTATGAAATATAAATTTGGATAAAAAAGGCATAAAATGAAATGAAAGACTGGAGCGTATACCAACAGCTGGTATTTCTATCAAAGAAAATGTCCCTAATTTTGTTCAGTAAACCAGATTTTTAATAACGGAAAATGACAATCACTTGGAAAAAACAAAAAAACACTGCAGCAAAAATTAGGTAAATTCCCAGATTGGATATACATGTTAATTCCACAAGTTAATAAAACTTTGTAAACAAACAAGGAAAACATAAAAACATTTCATTACTATGCAACACTGCTTATTTTGTAAGATTCTGATGGGAAACCAAAGTGTGGCATTATAAACCTGTAGAACTGAGACCGTGCAGCGATTTCCACTTCAAAATTGTATTTATTTAAATGGAGGCCCCCTAGAAGCTTCAAAGATCAGGGCTATTCAAATATTAGTTTCTGACCTTGTCCCGTTAAAGTGTGTGTAAAGATGGGCATAGTCATTGTGTGGCACATGTTTGTATAGGCATAAAACTCAACATGAAAATCACAATATATGATGAGCCTCATATCTACACATAGAAACAACAGTGTTTAACAGATCTATCAAATGGATGTGTGATTTAAATTCAAATGACTGTATTTTGTATCAGTTTACATTTTTTGGTAATACACATTTTTAATTTGAATTATCTGTCACTCATCGGCTAGTTTGAAGGATACATTAGTAAAAGAAAAGCTGGAAAATTATGTTGCATCAGCATCTTGTATATGCGTGTAATGTCTGTGTATTGCCCACTTAGTTTTTATTAGATTAGATCAAATTTAAATCATATTAGAACTAATCTCTTTAATAGAATTCAAATTTGCAACCATACATTTCTTAGATGATCATTTTTCAGTAATTGACAATCTTTCATATAAGCTTTATTATATCTCAATCTATTGCTTGTAACAGAAAAACAAACCAGATAGTGGTCACTCGCGCTGCTTTCACAGGTAGTCCGGAATGGATGAAGTAATTTCAAGCAAAGTGAATATATAAAGCTTTCGGTAGAAATTTCACATAGCTTAGAAATGTCTAAAATACTTTGACAGTACGCTAGCCTATGCCTTTCCAAAATGTTCGTGAAGGCATCGTCTGTTACCCTTTCACCTTGTAGGAAGTAGGAAATTCCCTGTTCACATATCACTTCGAACATAGCATTTCGCCATTTGACGTAGGCGTGGCTGACGCAAACTGAGTGACTGCTGCTTAGACCAATAGGAAAACGGTAACGTCTGCTCAGCGTTCTGAACAAATCACAAATCATAGCGAACATCATTTCACTTGTCTGGACGCCCTCTGATTGGTGGATGCTGTACGTAGGCGTACGTAAGCCTTTCAGTCATTTGGATCAGATCCGCTGGACGAGGAAGTAAAAAACGAGTCAGGAAGAAATTGGCAAGACGTTATTGGCGTGTGAAATCAGCGGACTCTTCAACGTTTGTCTCCTTACTGTTACTTTATCCTCAAAGCACGATGGCACAGTAAGTTTTCTGGCGAGTTAGTACTTTTTCGAAAACGGAGAAGGGCGAGTTACCTGCTTGTAGTGGACTATATATGAATAATTTATAGTTGTTTTGTCTGTTTGAAAGTAATCCTCTTTATCGGTTAGTGTAAAAGTACTGTTATCTTGTTATGGTGCCGGCCAGCTCTTATGTTTAGCAGAAACGCACTTGCTTGATGGGAGAACTTAACTGAATGACTGACACGGTAACAGCTAAGTGTTCTGGGAAATGAAGTGTGATTTCAATGTTAGAAAGCCTTTATTTGCGTCTAATAAATTAAAAGAACATCTTCTTAATGGACCTAATGGGGAAACTGTGAATGTCTTTTTTGTTGTTGTTATAATATATCCCAAATATTCCCAGGTCATCAGAATAAATGTTATCTCGGTTTGTTTTTTATTTTTAGAGCAGACATTGCTCTCATTGGTTTGGCTGTCATGGGCCAGAATCTCATCATGAACATGAACGACCATGGATTTGTGGTAAGACCATCATTTGCATTGATTACAGCTTCTTAAAGCAACATATTTCCCCAATATCGTTTTGTGGTATGAACAAATTTGTGTCCCACAGGTCTGCGCTTACAACCGAACCGTGTCCAAAGTGCACGACTTCCTCCAGAACGAGGCTAAGGGCTCCAAAGTGGTGGGTGCCGAGTCCCTGGAGGATATGGTGTCCAAGCTGAAGAAGCCCAGGAGGATCATCCTGCTGGTCAAGGCTGGGCAGGCCGTGGACGACTTCATCGACAAACTGGTTCGCACCAAACGACATCTAAACCAACCGAAATAGATTTTAATTTTTTTATCTTCCATCTTAAACCTGTACTTTGATCTCTCTCACTCAGGTTCCACTTCTGGAGGCCGGGGATATCATCATCGATGGCGGCAACTCTGAATACAGAGACACAACAGTAAGTGGCTGAGAGTTGGAGCAGAAGCTCTTTATTTAGCCCTGCGCCTATCCTCAGAACTCTCCCTTGTTTTGTGTCGCACAGCGGCGGTGTAAGAGCCTGAAAGAGAAGGGCTTGCTGTTTGTCGGCAGCGGAGTGAGTGGCGGCGAGGAGGGCGCGCGATATGGACCGTCACTCATGCCAGGTGGACACAAAGAGGCCTGGTAAGCCCTGACAAACGGTGGTACGGTGTCTCAGAGGCGTTGCATTAGGAGTGTAACATTTGCTGTTCTCCCGAAGGCCACACATAAAAGACATCTTCCAGAGCATCGCTGCTAAGGTGGGAACAGGAGAGCCCTGCTGTGACTGGGTGAGTGCAGTGCTTTTTCTGTTGCCGCTAATTGTGTGTTCCGTTGATTATGGCGGGACACAGAGGCTGCTGTGAGTCGGCTCGTCCTACAGCGTGGATGTTCTCTCGAGCAGGTCGGAGACGAGGGGGCAGGGCATTTTGTGAAAATGGTCCACAACGGCATCGAGTATGGAGACATGCAGCTGATCTGTGAGGTCTATCACCTGATGAAGGACGTTCTGGGCATGGACCACGACGAGATGGCTCAGGTGAGATCGCCGTCCCTGCCCGCCGCCGTTTCCATTGACGGGAACCGTCGGTTGGCAAAAGCAAATACGGTCGTCTGTATTTCTTTTCCCTGTGGCTGAAACGACGCTCAGGCTTTCGACAAATGGAACAAGACGGAGCTGGACTCCTTCCTGATTGAGATCACGGCCAACATCCTGAAGTACAGGGACAGCGACGGGGCGCATCTGCTGCCCAAGATCCGGGACAGCGCCGGGCAGAAGGGCACGGGGAAGTGGACGGCCATTTCAGCCCTGGAGTACGGCACACCTGTGACTCTGATCGGTAAGAGGAAGAAATGAGGGTGTCGACGAGGAAGTGTCTAGTTTCTCTCTCTCTTCCTGCTGTGCCGGTTGCTTCCAGTAAAGGCCGCTTCTCAGCACGACCCAGCAGAAAGCACAAAGCCACCTTCATACGCGAGAGGACAGCCATGGCCAGTCACACAGCTCTAAGTGAGCTTCTTCCCCGGGCCGTGATTCATATGAGGCAGCCTTTAAGAAGATTGAAAGCTCTTCTAATGGCCTGCTCATCTCATGTGACATAAGTTGGATTTGGCTTTGCTGTTTGCCGTGACTCTATGAGGGGCTGTGAACGGGCTGACAACAGCAGAGAACTGAACCATGCTATAGGCGTTTAGGAGCCTGAGCCGAGCTCCCACCAAAGCACGGCGGTGGTTTTTATGTTTAGATTGATTACACGTCGCCTGCTTAGGTCCCGTCTGAGCCGCACATCCACTGATAGGGATGTCCGCCATACAAAAGGCCTCATTGTGTCAGCGTTGATCCGGCCGGTGCGGATGGATGAAGCGTGCATGGCTGGATTTCAGACCAAGAAGGGAGGGCATTCCACTCCACGGTTTGCCTTGTATCATGTAGCTGGGTAGTTTTTTTTAGCAAGTCATGGTGACTCAACAGGTTTTCTTCCTCTAGTCTTGACACATTAGCAAGGAAATAATCTTTTTTTTTTTTTTCTGTTATGTGGCAACTGGCAAGCCTTTACTATTCTCCCAAAGTCAAGGTGACACACCCTCTTAAAAAGGTAGAGTCAGAAGTAGTGCTGAGTCATGCTGGTCCTTGGACATTGTCCGAATGAGGGCACAGTGGTATTATAAGCCGTTGTCTTCTCTCACAAACAATTTGCAGTGTGAGATTTAATGTATTTACTGTATTATAGATGACTGTTTAGATTCTTTTTTCAGGATGAAAGAGCTGCCTGTTTTGGTGTGATGCTCACGCACTGCGACGTGAACAGAAAGTGGACCCTGTCCATGTCCATTCATCCGTTTTCTCTCTCCCTCTCTCTCGTTTTGTGTCTCAGGGGAGGCTGTCTTTGCCAGATGTCTGTCCTCTCTGAAGGATGAGCGAGTGGAAGCCAGCCGCAGCCTCTCAGGGCCCCAGGGGGTCAAATTCAGTGGGGACAAGGCTACTTTCCTGGAAGATATTAGAAAGGTAGAGCACCCAGTGTATGTGTGTTTTAGTGTGTATGTGTTAACTACAGGGTTTTAAAAAGACTTTTAGTGAGGGACAGGTTACTGCGTTATTGTGTTATAACTGTTGTAATGTAAATGTCATCACTTTTCACTTTTACAAAACCAGAGCAGAACACATTTGTTTTAAGTGAAGTTGAAAAAAACATCATTTAGCAACCAAAATGATGAAGTAACGCAAGCCATAACCTCAAACTTTGGCAAATGCTCAACAAACCTGCAACAATTAGCTGAAACATTTTTCCTCTCTGTGACCGCTTGTCAACACTAACCAATAGTATTTGGTAGATTTCTCACACTTTCTCTGTGCTAACTGGGTCTAATTCTATCAGATTATTCCCACATCTCATTGACATTTTGATACTTTTAAGGGAGTGTGAGGAAATTGGTTCCAAAATGTGCCTGCACCAAGCTGACGGCAGCCCGGCCTGATAGGGCATGGCCAATGCATCGGGTTTCACCCTCTGACGTTATCTTCTCCTGAAATTCTGCACCTTATTTCTATCCAAACATGCCTCTGCGTATTGAATCTTCACCGGTCCACAGAAACTCAGTCATATCTGTGCTGGTGTATTTGAAAGCTCTATCTCCAAACGGGCTTCTCTGCCACCATCTAAGAGCTCACACCTCTTAGCGTGTTCAAACAAGTAACGTTCCCCTTCACTTTTCCCATTTTAAAGGTGTCCAAGAATAAATCCCTTGAGCAACCGAAAAGGACCGACTGCCTCATCCTTAACTTCATAACTTTCTTTTAAAAATGTGCCCGTTAGCCTCTCTGTCCCATTCTGCTGTCCACATTTAGACCACAACGCCCAGACCTTTCGTCTCGCTTTGCTTTGGTGTGTCTCACCAGATGGCACCTATTGTTTTTCGTTCTCCAGGCCCTCTACGCCTCCAAGATTATTTCCTACGCGCAGGGCTTCATGCTGCTGCGGCAGGCGGCCAACGAGTTCAGCTGGTCTCTAAACTACGGCGCCATCGCGCTGATGTGGAGAGGAGGCTGCATCATCCGGAGGTGCGTCTTTCCTCACATGTTGCTTTGCCTTTAGGGGGTCTTGTGCAAAATCCTCTTTTTAGAGACGGCGTGGACGTGGTCGGTTAATAAGACAGACTGCCTATTGAGAAAAGGAGAAGTTTTTATGCAATGCGCTCAAGGGGTTTAAAAAAAAAAAGGGAGCTCAGTTGGAGGACAGCGCGGAGGGATGTCTTCCTCAAGTCAGCGAGAGGGAAGAACTTAAAAGTAGAATCGTAGAGGAAGTTGGGTTAGAAATGGGATCATTCTTGTTGGTTCAGATTGAGAGAAGAGTGAGGAAGGCATTGTGACATTGGTTTGCTTTCTGTAACCCTCAAATGTTGCATCACACTAACTCAAACACAGGAGCCACAGCAGCTCAGGGTAGATTTCAGCTTTGTCTCTTTGGCCTCAGTTTTCTAACCGCGCTCTCTCCTCTCACCAGTGTGTTCCTGGGAAAAATCAAAGAGGCTTTTGACAGGGACTCCGACCTGCAGAACTTGTTGCTGGACAATTTCTTCAGTAACGCCGTGCAGGACTGTCAGGTATGAGGAAGGAGGAAGTGGCCAAACACAAAACCTGCAATCACCACTCTGATAAGGAAGGAAAAACAACTAATTTCATTCTTTCCAAACGGAAATGAATTAAGCAATACTCGCTGGCTTCATATATCATCAATTGTAAAATAAAACAGACTAGAGATTTGGATTCAGCTAAGTTTTATTAAAGACTTTATTAAAGTCCAGTTTCACAGGTTTGGTTAAAACCTTGAATGGTTATTTTTGTTTTTTAAAAGCTAAAAACTAACTGGGACCAGATTTACTCCAAACAGAATTTTAAAAAATCAGCCCAGTATACTGGATTTAAAAGAAAACAGGCTGCTAATGGGCTGACTCTTTGCTTCAGGAGTCATGGCGCAGAACAGTGAGCACTGGCGTCCAGCACGGCATCCCCATGCCCTGCTTCACCACAGCTCTGTCCTTCTACGACGGCTACCGGCACGAGAAGCTGCCCGCCAACCTGCTGCAGGTAAGCTGAGGGCAGCGACCACTGAGCATATGGACGCCACGGAGATTAAAAAGATCAGGTGTGGGGGGTGGCGTGTCGGGATCCCAGGGCTTTGACGCTCTGACAGCGTGAGGTCAGGGGGGATGTCACACTTGACACTTCTGTCTTTTAACCTTTTTTTTTCCTCTTTTGCAATCATGTGAATATTAAACACTCTTCGATCCGCTGTGAAGCTTATGGAATATCAACAAAGAGAAACACAAGTATAAAGAATAACATTCTGTTTTTGTTTTTTAGGCCCAGAGAGACTACTTTGGAGCCCACACATATGAGCTGCTGTCCAACCCCGGGCAGTTCATCCACACCAACTGGACAGGCCACGGCGGGAACGTCTCCTCCTCCTCCTACAACGCTTAAGGATGATCTCCACCTCAGTGAAACCCACAAAAGAGAGTGAAGGCTGAGGATGAGGGAACTCCTCCTGTGAGAGGAGGCGTTACACATTCCACCTTCATAACCACCCTATCCACCCCAAAAAACACTTTCATCCATGTTTTTCTTTTTTTTTTACTCTTTTCAGAGACTCGATGTAGTTTTATTTATCTTGGAATCATAGATAACCTGTGTTGAGCATCTCTCCTGTGCTCTGATGTAACAACAGTCACAGGAGGAGTGAAAATGTGGCGTCTGGCCACTGTTCACCTGTCATGCTGGGCCCAGGGTTCACGGTGTTAACACTGGATTAAGGTGAACTGTTGCACAGTACTGTAATAGGCTAAATAAAGATTTCAATCCCTTTATAATTAGCTTGCATGGTCCTTGCTCTCTGGAAGCTGTAAACAAGATTGAGGTATGTTTGTGCGTACCACTAAATTAGGAAACAAATATGATGTAAAGGCTTCATAAAACACACTGACTGTCAGCTTACTCAGTAAGCTGTTTTCCGAATTACCACCTCACTGTTAAAGGATTTAAACATGAGTCATATCATTTGTTGTCCAGTAGGTGGACCCCCTGCCACTTGAAGCATAACAACAACAATTTAGTGAGTAAAAGTATTAAGACCCAATCCCAACAGAAAACATATGACATCATTCAAGCTACAGTAGAAAGCCTCTCCATGTGGCTATGAATTTGACATTTCTAAGGCTAATAACTGGACTAAAAAGCATTTCACAATGATTATTCAAGTTGTGGGATTGTGCAAATAAGAGAAATTCAACAGTATATATCTTTGACATTACATTAGGGAACAAGTATCAGATGAGTTCAAAGGCGGAACAGAAGCTCAGAATATGGACATTCACCAGAGGGTTTACAGTTTCACTAGAAAACAATCGAGAGGTTTATGAAACCTAAGAAACACTATTCAACCTTGCATGAGGAGCTTCTTGAGTCTTTCTGGTTGCCTTTGTATGGCAGCAACCGGGATTCACATCCAGCTGGCCTCTGTTCCCATACAAACAACACCTGACACTTATTTTTCGGGACTTCTATTCTGGATAAGGTCTTCTTCTCCAAAAAGCAACACAATCTCTGATAAATCTCCTAAATCTGGAAGGGAGACATCAAATAAACCTCACAGATCGGGTGGTAAAACCCAGGGGAGCCAGAACATCCTCGTGCTGTGGAAGGTCAGACATAAAAAATAAACAGCTTGTGACGCATTTTTCCAAGAAGGCCGTTCTTTTAACTCTGTTCTAATAAAACAGCTTCTCGAGGGAGCTTTCAGCTTGCTGAAATGAAGGCGTTAACAGCGCGTCCTCCCACTGCAGAGAGAGGAGCCGTACCTGACAGCGGTGAGTCACAGGTGTTTTAAACACCTGCTGTTAAACTGTAAACAAAGCCTTCTGCCAGCACCTCTGCCGTGAAACCTCTGGCTGCTGCCACACGGATGAGAAGCTACAGCGTCTCCACCGCCATCCTGGGACACTTCAGAGGCCTCTGCGTTTGACTCCTCTTGTCGGAGCTTTGATCCTGAAGAGGAGCAAAGCAGGAAACAAAAAAGGAGACAAACTGCACGTACACACTTCAAACAGCACAAAACAGCCTGCTTAATTATCAGTATGAGGATGGGTGAACTTTTAGGGCGTTGTGTTCTTAATGAGGGCTCATCGCATGCAGATGTTGTGCTGGAGTGTAAGAGACTATTAGACCACGGAGAGGGCAGCGTGGGCGGAAGACTGAGTCATCTGCAGGAATTAAAGAGACACCAGAGAGTAAGATAATGAATCATGAAGGATTCCTAACCAATGGCCATGCATTGAATACCAACAAATGTTTGCAGGTTGTGCCTTTGTGCTCTGATAGAAACATCTTTTGCCATTTTATTAGGTAGTAATTAAACCTATAATGCCCCAGGATGATCAGATACTTATTTTATCTCAAGTCTTAGTTTGACTGAATTAAAACAAACAAAAAGGATACACTGCATTTTGGCTAATGTGAACATGAAATCTTTTGTCCCAATCATGATAATGATGCACCAGCGTTTTGTAATGTTTTTTTGTTTTTGTTTCATATTTTGCCCATTAGACATTTAAAATCCAGGTTAACAAAATGACATCTCTACAAGTATTGGATCAGAAAACCATTACTAGGGTGGGCCTGGGTGTCCTTCCTCTTTAAAAAAAAACATGGCACAGATGCACCATCCGCAGGCAGAGAGTTGAAACTACTCGTAATAACCAGCAGAAGCAGCTGTGAAGCAGAACCCCTCTACACAGGAGCCTCAGCCGAGCTTCCCCATGAGAGGCTCCTACCCGACAGCACGGAAACTAAAAGATGGAGAGTGACTGTGCTTATCAACACCGACAGACCACAGATTATTAAAAACAAAAAACCTTTATTTTACAATGCAACACTTAATATCTCAATACATAAAGTAAGTGTGTGCTGGACTTTGCAGTCCAAAAATAAAAAGCAGTCAGCTAATACATAGAATCATCTTTACAACAAAATAAAAGACTAGGACAACTTCCAGCCATACTGACCATAACTCCAAAACAAACATCTGGCTACAGCGGATAAGTGGTTAGTGGCTGTATGGAAGAGGCGGAATAAAACACTGACTATCTGACGGAAAGGCAGAATTTGCTTCAGGATTTGGGCAGAAGCAGGTGCGAGTTTAGGTACAAAAATATACCTAGACTGTTTGTGATTAAGTAAGGTCCGTTCTAAATTTGGTGGTCCAAGGCTTCTTGTTAGCGAGGTGATGTCGATCCTTTCAGGATTAAGGCAGTTGTGCAGTAAATCCAGTCTGGTTTGCACCAGCTCACAGAACAATGGCTTCATCTTCCATGTTAGTGACGCCAAGCTGGGCTCAGACGATAACCTGGGCTTTCCATGTCCGCTGCCCCTATACATGTGAATTAAAGTGTTGGCAGTTCAATTAATGTGAAGTCAAAAACAAGTCACTGTCAAGAAGGTATTATACCTAGTCAAATTCACTTTTATTTCAGACTTTCCTTTGATTCACAAAACATAGAAAATGCATTCGTAACCACTTCAAACAAACTTCTAAATGGAAACTTGTCAAACATTCAGCATCTCAACTTCTTTCAATCTCCACTTTCATTGCCCCCCTCCCCCACAGACTTCACTAACACAAAGTCACATTTTCACACACAGAGGGTGGTTAACAAGAAGAAACTAAAGCACACAACCAAACGCAGCATTCACATCGTTTCAGAAAGCAAGAAAAGAGCTACAAAAGGATACAGATACTCTTAGCACTTTGAATTTCACTGTGATTTTGAAAGAATTAAGGTTGATAGAAAATGGCGTGAGAAAGCAAAGAGCTTAGGGATCTCGAGATGCAAGAAATGTCCTTGTGATGGTCACCGGGAACACACTCGTACGTGCTTCTTCCTCACACACGCACAAAGCCACAGGTTCTTCTCAACTCTCGCAGGCATTTGTCTTTTTAAGGAAAAAAAAAAACTTGGACAAACAGTTCTTCTCACACTTGCTTTCTTTCATTTTGCTCTCCCGTTCGCTCACTTTCACTCGGTCCATCACCAATTCCATTCATCGAGCTCGAGAAGCGACAAACGGCAGACAAGATTACTATATCCCGAAAAAAATAGGGGAGAGGAAAAAAAAAGACAACACCCACCGTCTAACACAGTATATGCAGAGTGAAGCTCTGTTCTTGGACGACAAAGCATTTTACACATTGGAGGAGGGGAACTGATACTGAGATCGGCCGAACATTGCCGCCAATGATGAGATTCCTACCGGGAAATTGCGAAAGAGTTGGTGAACTGCAGAAGAGACTTTTATGAAGGCGTTTCCAAAAGATGGAAAACAAACAAACAAAAGGGATACAATAAAATGCACGTGGATATATACATAATCATATAAGGCCCATTGAACAGTGGGCTGTGGGGGATCTCAAGATGCTCGTGCACGTTTATAAATTATTATGGTGCATGCACAGTCATCTTATTCTCACAAACTAAACAATATGTGGCAGACCCACTTACAAACATAACTTTCCACCCATTCAGTGCTTGACTCCACAGTCAGTCACACAAGTATAAATCTTCTCTTTAATAAAATAAAAGGCAGTGTCATTTCTTTTTAATGACCCCCACCCCACGGCCCCTTGTGAGTATACTTACCAGATTAGCCTAACAGCAACTGAAAACGTTAACTCGTCTACATTCCCCAACTAGAGGACTTAGACTCCATAGACGTGCCAAAGCCGGAGCTGAACCCGCTGCTGGAGGGGGCGTTAGTGCCGGCAGCCCAGCCCAGGCTAGCTGAGCTGGGGCTGCTGTAACTGGTGCTGTTGGAGCTATAGGTCTGATCTCGGGTTGTGGTGGCCGTGCCCGCCGTCGTGGTCAGGCCCTGCTGGTTAGCCAGCATGCCCATCATTCCCCAGCTGCTCTGCAGGGCCGCCTGGGCAGCCGCCACCATCGCTGGGTTTAGGCCCAGAGCGCCAAAGTTAACCCCGCCACTACCGCTGCCGAGCCCGCCGCGATTCCCGCCGTACCCCTGACTGAACCCCCCGGCCCCGAACCGTGCACGATCCATCATTTGCCTACTATTATTGTGTTTGGGCTCAGCGTTGGAGATGTGCACGCTGACACCCTTGACGATTAAGTCCTCTCCGCACAGAGCCTGAGCGACCTGGGGAAGAAGTGAAGGAGGGGGATTAACGTCATTCACTCCTTACACCATTTCTGCACCCAGCAGTGGAAAACACTTCATCTGGAATCTTTCTTTACTCCCCAAACTCCACCGTTTTCACTTTCAACAACTATTTGTAGGATAGCCTTCATTTCAGAAAGATTGAGACACTGTATAAACTGTGAATTTACGAAAAAGACAATGATTTCCCAATCTCAACCCAATATCTTAAAAATAACAGGAAACACGTCGAATGTGGGGAATTGTACCGCTTCATTAAATGTAATAATGGATGTTCAGACTTCTTTACTCCAGTGATTTTGTGACAAAGGATGGGAGAGAAATGCTGTCCTATTATTGACTAATATAAGATGGCAACAATAAAAGTGTTGCCATGTTTTGGGTTTAATGATGCATCAGATGGTTAAATTGGTTAAAGGTCTGTTCTACAGGCAGATCAGTCAAGCCCTCAGAGACTGATTCTATAAAGCCCTGTTGTGACAGCAGGTTGTTTCGCATCGTCTTGCTGAAATATTAGGTCATTTGAATGGGAGCATATGTTCCTCTAAAACTGACATATTTTCCAGATGTGCAAAGTGGTCAATAATGCGTTTATTTTGGATTCCAATACGAATTCAGAATATTGACTCATCTGACAGCAAAGTTATTTTGATCGTATCCGAGTCTATTTTGAGCTTGGGGCCAGAGAGGATGTCATTTATCAGGCCATGTTCACATACAGACAAAACGTGACATTTTTTTTCTTTGAGTTTGTCGTTATTAATCATCTATAAAGGTGCCATCTGCAAGTATTCAAACTCTGCCAAGAGCGATAACTCTTACCTGATCATCAGCAAACGTGACGAATGCAAATGCCCGGAAAGGTTTGGGGATGAAGACATCTGTGACTTCACCGTACTGCATGAAGTACTGCCTCAAGTCGTCGGTTGTCATGTCCTCTGTGCAGCGGCCAACAAAGATTTTACGGCTCCGCATGGGCTCATCAGGACACGCCTGAGAGGGCACAAAGATGAAGCCATATGCAATGTACGATAGATATAGATGGATAAATATATATATATAATGGATAGTCGTCTAGCAGTGCCTACACCACGCTTAAGACAATCTAGACGGTTAATATGTTTTTCCAAGATGGTGGAATGATCGACCAATCGCCACAAGAACAGCAGCGTCCCTGTCTATCTTTAAGAAACTCTTAAAGATCCACCTCTTCAAAGAGCATCTGTAATCCTAACTCTTACCCATACCTCTGAACCCCCTCTCCTACTCTTTCTGCACTTCCCTCTCTCTCTTTGCTGTCACAACTGATTCTGACTAGGAATTTTCCTCAAAAAAAACCTATTGTCAAATTGATAACTGTAACATTTTGTTTACTTTGTAGGTCGCTTTGGATAAAAGCGTCTGCTAAATGCATAAACAAATATATTTATTTAAAAAGAAAGCCACTGGTTTATATTGTCAAAATCCACTTTTGTAACTTGTTTAATGCACACTTAAAGCAGGTAACAATTACAAATAAATAAGGATATATAAAATAACAAAACTATTCATTTTGAAATGGTTTCATACGTACCTTTGAATTTGGAAGTTTGCAGTCACACCATCGGCCATCAATCATGTGTCTCTGTGCGATGACTTTAGTTTGTGTCTCATAATCAGTGAACCGTACAAACCCAAACCCTTTTGAGTTGCCCGTTTTTGCATCTCTCTTTACCTGGGGTGAGCAAAGAACAAAACTGTCAGCTTACTGTTTTACCTCAGAATACCCTAAACACACTAGAAGGATGAGAAAAGCCATTAACTACATACCTGCACCATGATGACCTCCCCAAAGGTACTAAAGTAATCTTTTAGGTCTTGCTCAGTTGTTTTCCACGGCAACCCGAGGACAATGAGATCTGACGTCTTCTGAAAGCCTCTTTTAATTTTCACAGCTGACGCAGCATCGATTTCATCCATCTTCCTCTTGTTATCTGTGAAGAACAACATTTTATGTCAGATAAACATGTTTGTGAAACTTAAATTGAACACAAAGCTCAGGCATAATACCTTTTGGGCCTCTAAATTTACTTTGGAAGTACCGCAAACTTTAGCTGCATGCAAAAACTCTATCCCTAGATTTAATACATAATACATCAAAAATCCACACAAACAACATGCCATTATAGCAGTTCCCCTCCTTCCTAAATAATTCAACATGTGCAGTAAGTGCTCTAGCAGTTTCCCTGTATTGAGCAACAAGACTTCACATCACAAAATACTTGAGATTCAGCTCTGATTTCACCCTTAGCGAACATGACAATAACTTCCTTGACAGACTCCATTTTGATGCACATCCTGACAAAGAAAGCCTTCGTGATAACTCCATACACGTTTTGGAGTTTTTTCCCCAATTGCAATTGCTATGCTCTCTTCATCTCTCCTCTAGATTATGTTGGACAAAAACATCAGAAATACTTACTCAGGTAGTCCTATTGCACACAAAGACCAGTCTCACCTTTTGGGTAGTTGACGACATAGACCAGGTTCCCCCAGTCATTCTCGGGCGCGTGCAGGACTCCCTCCACCAGCCGGACCCCCCTCATGCACTGGGACTCCGGGTTCCTGTAGCGCAGCCCGCAAGCCCCTGGGAACTGTGCGGCCACCGAAGACAGAAGAACGGTACCGTCGTCCTCTGAGGGGATCTCCATTGGCTCTTCGTTTTCATCCTCAGCCACCCGAATGTACAGCTCTGACATGGTGTGCTGGATGGCTGAGTCCTGGTCCAAGTGGAATCAGCTGACGGAGCTCAAGTTATTAGTAAACACTGTAGTGCTGCACACGAGTTTGCGATGTCGACCCTGGTTCAACTATGCTTCAGTTTAATATGTGAAGCAAATATAAAGTAAAAAAAAGTCAAAACCACATACACTTAACAGGACGCTCACGTTACAAGTGGGGCAATACAACTCTGGCCACCATGAAAGCGGAATGTTTTGTCACGGCACGCGTAAACACGTTAGCAAGCTACCACATAAGCTAGCAAACTCAAGACAGATGGGGAAATGAATGAGCCTCCAGTTCCGCGTAAGGTATGGTGGCAACTAATGCACGAGTCCCTCGTTTATCTATGCGTGCGTGGCCTGAACATGTATGTGGACCAAAAAACAATGACACGTTTTCCAGCCCTCCCTAATTTAAACGGAAAACATCTACTGCTGCATGCGGCTAACCCCTGTAACCTCAGGCTAGCTAACAAAATGGCTGCGGACCGCTCACCTTGTAAAGATGACATCATCGACTCGGGAGGGCGCACTTTGGACTTTTTGGTAGGGAGGTAAAATTAAAGGCAGAAGGTACTTTTTTACTGTCCCCCTCGGGTGGTCAGTTTTATCTTACCTGTTTCGAAATTACGTTCGAAGTCTATTTGGGTTTTGTTCATCTGCTTGAGCTACAAAGTTTGGGATATGCGAAGTTTGGATCAGGCGATTTCAGTTGACATGTTAAACAGCTACGTACACGTGGACAGCCCAAACAAAATTTGTGATTCTTATGTTTATTTGACACAGAGGAAAACAGTTCCATACAAAAACTGCAGATGAAATAAATGACTAACCAATTAGAAGCATCAGTTACACCAAAATGACTAGTGTTCAAATGTTTTTTTAGTTGGTTTCTGTCATTTGGAAAGTTCCAAATGGGGATGTATTTTCTCCTAAAATCGTCTAAATCCATAACTCTTTGGTGTTCAAATAGGGTAATTTGAATTCACTACATTTAAGATTATATATGAACTGAAATTAATTTAAAAAATGAATTCACCAATCTCATAAAGCCTGTCTTACCCAATAGAATTTTCAACAAATTTTGGAGATAAAAGAAGAAAAAAGAATCAGTATCAAATCTGGTGTAAGTGCTATGACCAGAGGCTGTTTGGTCTGCTACCTGTCAACTGAAATAAAATAAAAAAATCCAACGAAAAGATTAAGATCAAGGTCTTGGGCTGAAGGTCAGAATGACTGTGAGTACGAGGCTGCGGAATAATTTGGCAGAGCCTGGAAAACTGCTCAACCAAATGATTGTGATTTATCTTTAAACTTGAGTAATTATTGTATCTGTTAAAGTCTTCCTTTGTTTTTCAGTGGTTTGTTTAAGAATTGATGTTGGATGTGGTTTTTTCAGCCTTGTTTTTCCCTAATTTCCAATAAAAAACATGTCTTTCAATTCTAAAGCTTTTCTTGTACATTTAGAGTCTATTTTCAAAATCAAAATGACAACGACTATTCACTGAGAAGTTTTTTAGCACCAAACCTAAAGTACGTTGAAGTAAAAAAAAATTTTTTCCTTCTCCTAGAGAGCAGATGACTTCCCTTTTGGAGTTTTAATTAGCTCATTGTAGTTTCTATCTGGTTAAGCACTACCCTGTGAATGAAATAATATAGTATAATACTTAACTTCCACTTTTCATTGTCTTCCAGCCATCTAGGGTAATCTTTGAACAAAAAGTCCAACTAAGAAAAAGAACTACCCTCTTACAACAACGCTTCACTCTGCCATCTAGTGGTCATTTACAAAAAATACAAAGAATTAATTGACTGACTGGACTCGTGAAAAAGGTTAAATTTCAGTTTATCCACGATCAAAAGTACTTGTTTGCAATTGACTGATTACGGGGGGGGGGGGGGGGGGGGGGGGGGGAATGTATTCACTATGTTTTATTCAAAGTAAATTCTGAAAATGAAATGTAATAAAAAAAAAAGAATTGCAGGTGTTTACCATTGTGTTTTATTACTTCTCCTTTTAACAGCCTAAGAGAGAGGTTTGCCAATTCTTGCATGCTGTTGGGGTTCTATCCAAGTATTCAGTAGTTTGGGCTCTCTTTAATAATGTCACAAATGTGTCAGTGGGAGTCAGGTTTTATTGCAGACTGGGCAGTTTGGTGGTATACATTTAGACTGTGCCTTGCTGAACAGAACAAGGTCGTCCCTAAACTAACCCGTAACCGTAATTCAGAATTTAAAACGTGCAAGTCGCACGTAAGCTGACTTGTGGACTGTGAACATGTTATAAAACAGTCAGGCTTTTGTCATTTTAGTTCAAATGATGCTGATCCCTCCCAAAAAATTATATCTTTGATTTGTCAAAAAAAGGGCAGTTTCTATGTCCACTCAGTCCATTTTGAAAGTTGTTCCAGAGAAGGTGTTTCTGAATCTTGTTTGTTTTTTCACTGAAGCAGATTTTTTAAGATTTGTATTTTATTTTTCATGGCGTCCCACTGATGTAGCTGATTAGTAATAGTAAAATCCCCAAATCTTTCCCCATTTTTTTATAGTGACAAATTTGATTCTTTCTTTAATAATTAGTCAATTCTCTGTACTGTACTTTTGAAAGACTCAGTCTCTGTGATCTGTGTCTGTGGATTATTACCCAAATTAGAAGTGAGGGTTTCCCCTTGTTTCATTTTATTGATACGTTTTGGAAATTTTTTAAAGCTAGGTTGTTAGTTGTTGGTTTAATCCAGTGGTGCACTGGGTGGTGTCAGGGTTCCCATTTTCACTAACACGGTTTTATTCCTGTTACATGTTAGTGCAAACCGTGCTGTGGAGCACATTTTCAAACAGAGAATTGGTTTGACCAAACAAGGCAGCTGTCACAGTCACATAGACCATCAGCGGCGTGTCAGTTAACCAGACAAAGAGCTTCCCCGTCCATGAGCCAAAGGTGAATTTGTAACAGCTCAGATACTCCAGATCGACGTAAGAGCTGCAACAACAACAATCTAAAGGGTCATAACTGTTTTCTAATGCAGGGGAGAACAGATTTCTTAAGATATACACCCCTTAAGTATTATTTTGACTCTGAAACATTTAAAGCAGCTTTGTCTTAAAGCCCTGTGGAGGAAACGCTCTTTTCTTGTAACCCGTCTGCAGGGCGGATGTTGTGCTCACCTTCAAAGAGACAAATCACAAAATGCACTGGACCGTGGCGAGCACGCTACCATGCAAAGGTGAGTGTGCTGCTGATGAACACAGTAAAACTAAAGAGGTGAGTAATTACTGAATGTTATTGTGACCACCGGCTATTCAGTGGCATTTAATGCAGTCGAACCAGGCACTGTTTCTGGGGAAGAGTCCACGTTGTCCAATCATTCTCTTGTTGAGAAGTCTGATACATTCCAGTTCTTGGTTTCGTGTTAATTTTCTGTTGTTCGGTTTCAGCGCAGCTCTACACGTTGGGATTAAGGCCTTCTGATGGTTTGGCTTTAATTCCCCTCTGTGCCACACGCTTCTCTTATGTTTGGAGTCATGGAAGCTGCCGTAGTCAGTGAAGGCTGACTAGACAAGCAGGATTACCAACGGGCCTCTGCCAGCCACTGCCTCAGGGTGGACATTATCCAGGCCCAGATGATGCGGGCGTTAAATAAACATGTCTTTTTCCAAGCAGCATAACAATCGGATGGTGAGCCAGCCTGTTAGTTCAGCTGAATTCCACCTTTCAGAGGGAAGGAGCGCTGCGTTCAGCTGTTTCGGATTGATTTTCAGAGTTTTCTTTTCTTTTTTAAAATGAAATACAGTTACAGACAAAGCCCTCATTTCCCTACCGTGCAGCTGCTTTAGATGTCTTTGTTGCAGTATATTTGACTAACAGGAGAGGGCACTATTGATTGTGTTTTCACGCGTCTTTCTTGACGGGCTGCAGCCTGCATCCAGATGGTGTTTTCTGAATTAACCAGTTTTACGTCTTTTTCCCGCAGACTCATTCTGACTTCCACTTTTGTTTTGTCTGCAATAAAAGGTGATCAGCCTGATGAATAAAACAGCCCTGGCATGAGCAGTGGAGACGGGAGTCTCACAGTTTATCCTCGGCATGGTGATCAATTCGTTGCTTTAGATGCATTATAGATATATTGCAATCTTAATAATAGCTGCTCATATGGAGCACTGATTGTGAACGAAAAGGCCGGAAGATTTTTCGCTTTTGTTTTTCAGCCTTTTGTTTTCACCTTTGTTATTGTGACCTCTTTGCATGCACCAAAGCGTCTGTAAATGATAACACCGTAGTATTACGCAGTTACATGCATCATATACAATGGGCTCTGGGGCAGAAAATCTAAACTTCCTTGTGCCTTTGGTTACCATCTGCTCAGTGAACTTCTGAGCAGGAAATGGAATGAGCGGAGAAAAAAAAACACGCCAACATCCTCCTTCTTTTCATGTGGCCTCTTTTGGCCATTACCCTATCTGTATTCACTGTTAAGTGTCTTTACAAAGTTAAAAATCCCTTTCATGTTCCACTGTTTCTTTTTTGTTTTAATTTCAGTCAGAGCATATGGTTAGCACATCTGGGAGATGCTAATCTTGGTGGCACCCAACCCCCACTCTGCTTGGGTGAAGTGATCCATATATGGTCTTCATTGTTATTGCTCATAATCACTCATCATTATAATAAACAAGTTCTGTTGATCGGCCGCTTCGAGTTTGCCGCTTAGTACACTTTTATAATTTCAAACCTTGTATTAACGATAAAGTTTTTGAATTTAACTTTTTTACTTCAGAGTGAATATTCCTACAGAATTATTTTTTTATATCCAACCCTGCAAATGAATTTTCTTTGAATTTTCCTCCATGGAAATTCTCTCCGGACATTTTTGCAAACACAAGTGTCTAACTGTTTGATTTGAGGCCATCCCTGTAATGTTCTCGGCCTGAGCTTTCAGAGTAGTCTAATAAGATGAGCTGGCGGCAAACTGTGTAACTTGCATCATGCGACCACAAACAAGCAAAAGGGACATTTGGTAAGTGGATCTCATTTCACCTAATTTCAGAATAACTGCATTTAATCCTACATAATAGAAAGGAAGTGCCATTAACCAGCAATTCAGTGACACCAAAGTGAAGTCAAAATCACTATTGTGTACAACTTTGGGTCATTAAATGCCACTTCACCATGCTCTGCTCTGCAGCTCTCAGGCAGACGGGGTTTCATGCCACTGGAGAGGCATGTGGAGGAAGAGGGGGAGGAAGGCTATGTGTGGCTTTGAGTGGTTTGCTGGGCCTCTTCATCTCGCTCGGCGGGTAATTACAGAATCATGGGTCAACCACGCATGTAACCACGGTTACGTCGCACAGTAGCAGATGTGCTCATGATATTATCCAGCACCAGAGCAAAAAAAAAAGGTAAATAAAAACAGATGTGGCTGGTTGCTACGGATCTTGGCCAAACTTGCGCACACTCCTAATCGTTCCCATGTGGGCCTGCTGGGCCGGAGTAGTAAAAGGGGTGGGTATACCCTGTTTAAGAATCGCCCGTGTTTTTCAACGGGAGAAATTTATGAATGGGACACGGAGCCTCCGGTGGTGGTTGCGGTGGTGTGTTTATACTGTGCTAATGTGTTTGGCTTTGGATGGAGTAAAAACACACTTCAAGCCCATTCTTTCTCCTTTGCCTCTCTTGTAAGGGGAGCGCATTACTCCCATCCTCCAGGCCATCCCTGAGCATCCCGGCGGTGGTCCCGAGGCTCTCTGTGT